GAGAAAACGAGGCATTTGCATATAGCAAAATGAGTAGAGAGACAAAGACCAAACGAGAAAGAAGCAGAGAAGGAGGACAAAGTAAATACAGACACTACCACAAAGGCAGCAGAAACAGAAACAATGAGAGTGGGAATGAGAGAGCAAAACGGTTTCAACAACAAGGTGTCAATCAGTTATCAGAAGACTCTGACATTTCAAGATCCTTGGTAGCAGAGAGAGTGGGGGAGACAGCATAGGCCAAGAGAGAGGCAGTTTCAGCATCATGATGCAAGAGGTAGCCAAGATAACTCAAACGTTGTTTCTTGGCTAAACGCTCTTGATCAGAGGATCGGGATGGTGGTTTAGCAGCAGCAGAGGAGGAGGAACGAGCAAGCATTTCTTCTTTCAAAATGGCATCAAACTGGGCTTGGTTGATGCGATCATACAAAAGAAAAGAACGAGCAACAGAAACACGGACAGAACGACGGACGAAAGACAGCGAACGAAGGCAGCGAAGGTTTTCGACCTCAATGGCCTTTTGGACACGCAGATCACGAGAGAGAGAAGCAAATTTGGGATCTTTGAGATTGACTGGATCACATGGATCAAAGTCAATCAACGGAGAACAGCCACGACCATGGAGATGCATGGCTTTGGTGAGGGTGAGAACATAGTCGTTGTGAACAAGGAAAGAAATCACATTCTGTACAGGATATTGAATATCCAGCACACGAGAGTTATTCAATCCTACGCCTTGAACAAGGCGACGCAGCTCAGAAAGACGACGGCGGACAGGAGTAGCATAGTACACAAATTGATAACCAGATGGTATATCACTTTGAGGAGCAAAAAGACGAGCAAGAGTAGCAGATGCCTTGGTGGCAGATGGAGGAGGACGAGCAGCAGGCTTCTTCTTACGCTTTGCACCTGCATTGGATGCAACGACGGCAGCAAAAGATGGTTGCGTTGTAACTTGAGATTGGGAGTAGCTGGGGGTAGACTTGGGGGCAGATGTTGTTGATGGTGGTGTTGGAGTGTTCGACGATACAGCGTCTATGGTGGTGGGAGCAACATTGGTGGTGGATTGAGCGTTGATAGCTGCCAATTGAGCCGCAAGGGCGTCTCTAGCAGCCTCTGATTCAGCCAGGGCTGTTTTTAACTGCGCAATTTCAGCATGGGCAGATTCTAATCTGCTCAAACGATGTCTGACCTCAACCATAAAGGTCGACAACGCAGTTTGATCAGTGGGCGAAGCAGGTGGGAGGGAAGTGAGACCAAAGTCAATCGAGTTGGGGTCAACATCGATCGAGGATGTGAAATGAGATGCTTTGGAGAGGTCTTGAGGTTGCATTTTCTTTGCTTTTAAATGTTGAGAGATATCAGCAGCAAAGAAAGGTGGAGAGAGGGTTGAAATTGGCCTTTTTTGACCGGACGAAAGGGTGTCAGCAGGTGTAATCTTGTTAAAAGTGTTTTGCTCGGTTATGGTATTGATATAGCAAGTACTTGATGGGAGATGATGGGTTATAGGAATCTTCGAGATAATTCGGGCTATGAAAGTATATAAAAAATTCTTTAGCGGAAAGAAAGGTGTGGGGATGTAGCTCAGTTTAACGTTGATTTTTATTATATACATGAATTCAATGGGCACTCGATGGGAGCATTAGCCTAGAATTCTAGAAACAAAAGAGTAGCAGGTACAAAAAACCCTTATGGGGACACTAACTAAGAAAAAGGGAAAAGGAAAGTGTGGTAGTGGCAAAGGAGCGGCATGAATACTGGTATTGTTGATTTGATCTGGAGGAATGACCAACGGATGGGAACTTTGATAATTACTTGCCACCGTGGCATCGCACCGAGAAAGCAAAAACAACAAACGTTCATCAATGAGCAGAAAACCAGAGCGATCCAGGATCTGGATCTGGTGGGATCACAGCCAGAGGATGCACAAGGCAATCAATGGCATGCAACAAAAGGAGCAAAGCAGACCAAAAGTACGGTGGACCAGCTGAAGCTTTGTCTGGAAGACAGTTCAGAGCATGATCAATGCGATGGATACCAGGTGGAGCAGGTGGCAAAGCATCAAAAAAGGTACGGTCCAGAGCGCGACATGTCAGAAAGTGATCTCGGGAGATAAACTCACCGGTAGTGCACGGACATTCTTCACGCATATTGGTGAAACGTCCAAGACGCCACCGCACAAGACGACTACGAGCAGATCGACCAATAGGCAGATACAGAATGGGATCTGGACGAGAGACAGACGGACGACAAGCACGGAGGAGGGTCTGGGTACCAGAAACAGCAGCAGCAGCAAGTTGGGGGATGTAGCTCAGTTTAATATTGGTTTTTTATTTATTTACAAATGTAGTCAACTGCGGAATCGGTATGATCATATGTTGCAAGACTAACAGTGATTCGGCGGGAAAAAGCATGTTTAAATTAAAGGTTGAGGGGAGCTGCTAAAAGGGAGGGGACCAGTAAAGTAAACGGCATCAAAACCCACCAGAGAGGAGGAGAAACAGAGGGAGGAATAGCAATGGCCGCGCCGCAAGACGGGGGAGACGAACAGGACTCAAGGTAGAAACCGGCCAGACGCACCGCAGCACACCTAAACGTGCAAGCACAAATACCGAGTAACATGCCAGGTTAGAAAGGCGGAAAATATGGATGCGAAGGTGGGATTCGAACCCACGACCTCTCGGCATACTCACTGCTTCCGCATGAAGCTCTAACCAAGTGAGCCATTCAAGCATCCATGGGGATGTAGCTCAGGCGAAAATTTATGGTTGTTTATTGATTACAATGAATTAGCAATGTAAAAAATATAGACTTATATGCATGCGATCTTTGGATCATTAGTTGCAAGTCCTGAGAAGCGACGTACAGCAAAAAAGCTTAAATTAATAGTTTGATCTCCATGCAGGAACAACATGCAAGTGTCCAGAAAAGGGAAAAAAGGTCCTAAACTAAAAACTAAACTGGTAAAAAAAGAAGTACAGGCAGGAAAAAGGAGTAAAACAAGTGAGATAAAAGGGTAGAGAATAAGAAGCTATGGTGTATGAGACATGCAATTGAGGATACCTCGATGTTCAGACAGCAGCACAGACAAAATAAACCCACAGACCTCAGTGGCACAAAAAAAGCAAGAAAAAAAAGGAGAAAACGAGGCATTTGCATATAGCAAAATGAGTAGAGAGACAAAGACCAAACGAGAAAGAAGCAGAGAAGGAGGACAAAGTAAATACAGACACTACCACAAAGGCAGCAGAAACAGAAACAATGAGAGTGGGAATGAGAGAGCAAAACGGTTTCAACAACAAGGTGTCAATCAGTTATCAGAAGACTCTGACATTTCAAGATCCTTGGTAGCAGAGAGAGTGGGGGAGACAGCATAGGCCAAGAGAGAGGCAGTTTCAGCATCATGATGCAAGAGGTAGCCAAGATAACTCAAACGTTGTTTCTTGGCTAAACGCTCTTGATCAGAGGATCGGGATGGTGGTTTAGCAGCAGCAGAGGAGGAGGAACGAGCAAGCATTTCTTCTTTCAAAATGGCATCAAACTGGGCTTGGTTGATGCGATCATACAAAAGAAAAGAACGAGCAACAGAAACACGGACAGAACGACGGACGAAAGACAGCGAACGAAGGCAGCGAAGGTTTTCGACCTCAATGGCCTTTTGGACACGCAGATCACGAGAGAGAGAAGCAAATTTGGGATCTTTGAGATTGACTGGATCACATGGATCAAAGTCAATCAACGGAGAACAGCCACGACCATGGAGATGCATGGCTTTGGTGAGGGTGAGAACATAGTCGTTGTGAACAAGGAAAGAAATCACATTCTGTACAGGATATTGAATATCCAGCACACGAGAGTTATTCAATCCTACGCCTTGAACAAGGCGACGCAGCTCAGAAAGACGACGGCGGACAGGAGTAGCATAGTACACAAATTGATAACCAGATGGTATATCACTTTGAGGAGCAAAAAGACGAGCAAGAGTAGCAGATGCCTTGGTGGCAGATGGAGGAGGACGAGCAGCAGGCTTCTTCTTACGCTTTGCACCTGCATTGGATGCAACGACGGCAGCAAAAGATGGTTGCGTTGTAACTTGAGATTGGGAGTAGCTGGGGGTAGACTTGGGGGCAGATGTTGTTGATGGTGGTGTTGGAGTGTTCGACGATACAGCGTCTATGGTGGTGGGAGCAACATTGGTGGTGGATTGAGCGTTGATAGCTGCCAATTGAGCCGCAAGGGCGTCTCTAGCAGCCTCTGATTCAGCCAGGGCTGTTTTTAACTGCGCAATTTCAGCATGGGCAGATTCTAATCTGCTCAAACGATGTCTGACCTCAACCATAAAGGTCGACAACGCAGTTTGATCAGTGGGCGAAGCAGGTGGGAGGGAAGTGAGACCAAAGTCAATCGAGTTGGGGTCAACATCGATCGAGGATGTGAAATGAGATGCTTTGGAGAGGTCTTGAGGTTGCATTTTCTTTGCTTTTAAATGTTGAGAGATATCAGCAGCAAAGAAAGGTGGAGAGAGGGTTGAAATTGGCCTTTTTTGACCGGACGAAAGGGTGTCAGCAGGTGTAATCTTGTTAAAAGTGTTTTGCTCGGTTATGGTATTGATATAGCAAGTACTTGATGGGAGATGATGGGTTATAGGAATCTTCGAGATAATTCGGGCTATGAAAGTATATAAAAAATTCTTTAGCGGAAAGAAAGGTGTGGGGATGTAGCTCAGTTTAACGTTGATTTTTATTATATACATGAATTCAATGGGCACTCGATGGGAGCATTAGCCTAGAATTCTAGAAACAAAAGAGTAGCAGGTACAAAAAACCCTTATGGGGACACTAACTAAGAAAAAGGGAAAAGGAAAGTGTGGTAGTGGCAAAGGAGCGGCATGAATACTGGTATTGTTGATTTGATCTGGAGGAATGACCAACGGATGGGAACTTTGATAATTACTTGCCACCGTGGCATCGCACCGAGAAAGCAAAAACAACAAACGTTCATCAATGAGCAGAAAACCAGAGCGATCCAGGATCTGGATCTGGTGGGATCACAGCCAGAGGATGCACAAGGCAATCAATGGCATGCAACAAAAGGAGCAAAGCAGACCAAAAGTACGGTGGACCAGCTGAAGCTTTGTCTGGAAGACAGTTCAGAGCATGATCAATGCGATGGATACCAGGTGGAGCAGGTGGCAAAGCATCAAAAAAGGTACGGTCCAGAGCGCGACATGTCAGAAAGTGATCTCGGGAGATAAACTCACCGGTAGTGCACGGACATTCTTCACGCATATTGGTGAAACGTCCAAGACGCCACCGCACAAGACGACTACGAGCAGATCGACCAATAGGCAGATACAGAATGGGATCTGGACGAGAGACAGACGGACGACAAGCACGGAGGAGGGTCTGGGTACCAGAAACAGCAGCAGCAGCAAGTTGGGGGATGTAGCTCAGTTTAATATTGGTTTTTTATTTATTTACAAATGTAGTCAACTGCGGAATCGGTATGATCATATGTTGCAAGACTAACAGTGATTCGGCGGGAAAAAGCATGTTTAAATTAAAGGTTGAGGGGAGCTGCTAAAAGGGAGGGGACCAGTAAAGTAAACGGCATCAAAACCCACCAGAGAGGAGGAGAAACAGAGGGAGGAATAGCAATGGCCGCGCCGCAAGACGGGGGAGACGAACAGGACTCAAGGTAGAAACCGGCCAGACGCACCGCAGCACACCTAAACGTGCAAGCACAAATACCGAGTAACATGCCAGGTTAGAAAGGCGGAAAATATGGATGCGAAGGTGGGATTCGAACCCACGACCTCTCGGCATACTCACTGCTTCCGCATGAAGCTCTAACCAAGTGAGCCATTCAAGCATCCATGGGGATGTAGCTCAAATGGTAGAGCGCTCGCTTAGCATGCGAGAGGCACTGGGATCGACGCCCAGCTTCTCCACTTTTTTTAATTTTATAGAAAGGTTACACTCTATAGAAGTTTTTAGCCATTTTATCACAAAATCAATTTCGGATTTGAATCTGCTTTTCTCTCTACTACTAGTTTTTCTTAATACTGTTACAAATTGATTTTGGTTTTGTAACTGAATCTTTTTTTTTTTGTAAATTGTTTACACTATCGAATAAACTACGTTTCACTGCTTACTATATTGGATTCTACTTCTGTTACTACAAATTGACATTAAACTGTCAAATGCTTTTTATATTCGAATATACTCTGAATCCTATATCAAGAATGACAAATCAGTTACCACTTAGCCTCGTATCATTTTGACAGATATACAGTGCACGAAAAAAAAAAAAAAAAAAAAAAAAAAAAAAAAAAAAAAAAAAAAAAAAAAAAAAAACGTTCCGGTGTTTTGCCAAATTGCACTTATTGCCAGTTTTCTCTGCAAATATCAAAGCTACTGGGGTTTACTTAGTTTCATAAATAGCCTAAGTAGTTGGCTATCAGATGATATATTATGCACTTTTTTCACGTAATTAGAAAAAGAATGGTAGCGTCATGAAAAATGAAAAGTCGAATTTATTAAATTTTATAAAAAAGCTCAATATTTAGTTGGACCACCTTTACTCTTGATAACCGCTTTGATTCGGCGTGGCATGCTGCCTATGTATTTAAGACAGTCTTCTTTTGTAAATCTATACCATTCCTGTTCAATTCTGTCTTTTAACTCAGAAAGGCCGGTGGCCCCAGTAGGGTACTTGTTCAAACGACGTTTTAGTTGATGCCAGACATGTTCAATGGGGTTTAGGTCAGGGCTTTGGGGGGGGGGGTGTTGTGCCAGAAGGGCTACAACTGTCTATAAAGATTAAGGTATTCTTGATGGGTAGATATGTCTGTGTTGTGCAACAACATGGACAAGCTATGATAAGTGAAGTGCATCTCAGCTATCTAAATACTGAGGTTCACCAGATGTGATAAGCGTTGTACAAGATAAATTGCTACTTTGACATTCAGAACTTAGTATAAATAGAATAACTCTTGTCTTCATCAATAAATCTTTAGTTTTTGTGTCTGATCTTATTCAAATAAGTCTTTTCTTGTTTTTATAATATCGAACATTTTTAACACGCTACAAATAATAATCCTTTTATTCTTTGTGCTTAACAGGGGGCATTCAAGGACACTTTGAACAGAGAATCCGTGATGCGTGAACCATTTTTAATGGGACCAGAAGTATGTGGTCTTGCTTTATCTTGCTGGCATCTAAACGTTTTCTTGCCCAGCCCATAGTACTCGATAGTGTCTAGCAAAGATGAGTCCAGAATTTCAGCATAACTTCTGAGTTAATAGTTCCTTCGGTAATGGTGGAGCCATAGCTGGGTCCCTCCGCTGTTATCATGCCCCAGAAAACAACGCCACCACCATCTCCCTGAACTTGAGCCTCAGTTTGATGAGGCATCAACTCAGTGGGGGGCCTGTCAGTCCAGTAGAAAGATTCGCCGTCAGATCCCCACATGTTGACCCTGGTTTCATCGGAAAATCCCCATTTACGCCAATCGTCCGCAGTCAAATGTCGATGTCTCTTGGCGCACACAAGACGCTTTTTCCGGTTCTCCGCAGACACGAAATTGGTCTTTACCTTTCTTTTAGCCTTGAACCCTTTGCGCTTGAGTATATACTGTATATTCCTCAAAGTCATCTGAACTCCCATATGAGCAAGGTAGTACTGCACACCCCTGGGGCCGTCTAGATTACTATTGCGGAGATTCCTCTCAATGTAGTTCATATTCTGCATAGTGATTTTGCTGCGTCTACCGGGTTTGGCTTGTTTTGAATGACCAAGAAACTTCTTCCTGTAGCAAGAAAGTACACTGACGGACAAATCTGGGAAAAATTTTTGAATGGCACTGAGGGAACAACCTTGGTTGAAAAGACCCTTGACAGGTCCTTGAACCTCCTGAGGAATAAGACGTGTCATGTTAAAAAAAGTGATGAAGTAAAGATGGTAAAATATAATGAGGGAAAAGACCAAAATCTCAGGCTTCTTTATACTTTTTTAAGCATTCCTCGGATAACTAACATTTTAAACATGACTGATATAAAAAATTAAGGTTCTCGCATTATTTTCGTGGAATGTATACAAACAATAAGGTCATCAAGCAATTTTTCCAATTTTACAAAATGGAAATTTTTTTCTTTACGTCAGTTGCACTAGCTCAATATCTACTGTATCAATTATTTTAGTAGCTCATTTTGTGGCTAAAAACCCAAACTTTCGTAGGCTTATTTTAGTTTTAAAATTGGAGCAAAATTGACAGAGCTGTAAGTGTAAAACTACGAATTGGCAAAACACCACTGGAACGTTTTTTTCGCGCACTGTAGAATAAAAAGCGTCGATAACTTAAGGATTGAGTCTCGTACAATGCAAAACATCAGCGACATTAAATAGAACTGTAATTTACCTACTTCTTTGGCAGCACGACATTCTACGCCTTATTTTTAGGCCAGATTCTGTCCAAACTTGGGCATTCTGAAGGACGAATAACTCATGTTACAGAGCGTCATGAACGCTCGGAATAGCGCCAAACGAGTCTTCTTAACTGCGCTTTACTTACTAGTGCTTTATATCAATTTTTTTTTGGTCATTACAAATCCATGAAAATCCTCATATTTTTCATGTGTACTAGTAAAAAGAAATTCTTGAAAATCAGACGATCGCGTTTTTCAACTGAAAAATGAAGACTTTTGTTATGATACATATCAGATCAAATTGATTGTAAAGATGGAATGCAACGCTGGAAACCCTCTCTATGAGACGTGTATATGCTAAATTTTGACATATCCACAGAAAACCTGTTTTCATATTTTTTCAAATTGCTCATTATTTTCGGTTTGAAAGTTGAATGTAATCAGCATCAATCGATATGCCTTCATTGACTCTTTATGAATGCATTAGAAAGTAAAGTATAACAATGCCAATTTTCATAGTCAAATTTAGCAAAAACGTTTAAAGGATGTCAGATCAAGTAAAATTTGAACACAAAAATGACAACTGCACAAATCCAAATTTGAGTGCCGCAGCGACAGCTGCTGTGGCAGAAGACTGAGGCCAAATTTACTAGCCGTGACGTCGGATAGGGCGCCCTCTCATTTTTCCATATCCCCGTTTTTTTTTCCTTTTGCAAAACGCGTTTAGTATCAAACCATGTTGGTTTGGAAACCGTTCGAATGATAATAACACTCCAACTTCTGATCACACCGCCTTGTACTGCTAAAAAAACTTGACACTGCTTCTTTGAAGAGGGATTTAGTAGGTATCATTCGATAAACGAGCACTGGAAGACGTAGAATCAGTACTAACTGAATTTGTTTCTTAGGTTCTGATAATCTTTTTGCCTGTTTGACATGGGTGCTGCTGCCATTCCTTTTCTGCTGTCTCTGCTGTCTGCTTCTTGGTCTTTGTCTGGTCTCTGCTGGTGTTACTTGTTGTTTGGTCTTTGTCTGGTCTCTGGTGTCGTTTGTTCTCTGGTTTTTCCATGGTGCTGGGGTTGCTGCTGCTGTTGCTAATATGGTCTTCTCTGGTGTACTGTGTCTGGTGCATGCTCTTTCTCTGGTCTATATCCGGTGATTGCGTATCCTCTGGTCTATTTGTGGTGGTGGTAAGTGGTAAGTATCTTCTTTCTTCTGGTCGGAATGATATAAAACTTCTTTGAACGTTTGTATTATTGCTTCCTTTCTCGTGATAATGCATTTTATCATGATATTTACTTTGCTGCGCTTCCTCCTTCTTTCGCTGGTTACGTTGCCTCTGTGGCTTCACATGAGACAACGGTAGTCATTATGTTGCAGTGCAAACTTATACCACCATTGCTTTTGCAGTTTTGTGTGTTTGCGTTACTTTACATTCGACTATTACCATGCACTTTGCTCATGTATGCAATTTTGTTGCAACAACGAGCTCTTTTGAGCATCTCTGATGTTGTACTTGTTATATTTCTCTTTGAATCACTTTGTGTGAGTATCCATTTTTTACCCATGTACTACTATACTCCTATCGTAGTATGTTCTTTTATTCTTTCCTTTATTATTTTTATGTTTCTTTGAAGCATACCTTTTTTACGTTGTGTGGATGTGCCTATCCCTGAAGCTCAACAAGACTCTATCCGAGGCTAGGAGGTAGATAGGCTGTCTCCACTTGGTTATCACTACTTACTTTAGTGATGATTGAGAGTCTCAACGCCAGAATCTAAAGCTAGGTGGTGTAAGTAAGGCATGCTCTAGCACTTGGGGGAAGTTTGATGATAGCAGTGGCTATATTGCTATTATAGCGGCGCTTAAAATTTTGCCTCACATCAAAACAGGGGGAAACCCTCGCAATTTTTTTTATATCAGCGGAGTTTTCAAGCAATATGATTGGCTCAGGGATTGAAACAACGATGGGCCACAACTAGTTGATTTCCTATTGATCTGTCATGTATTATAATTTTGTATTTGTAATAAAAAGAGTATCAAATAGATCCAATTTATGTCGTCCTTTGTTTAAAACTATAAAATAAGGTGCAATCAATTGATCTAACATGCATTAAACTGTGGCATGTGAATGAGTGTCCTTAAACTTGATATTATGTGGGTGGAGGAAACCCATATACAAGTACAATAATGCAATACTACTTTAAGGACCAGGAGGACTTAATAACAGATGTCCCGCCGCCAAGCATGCGTTGTTTATCAGTATTTTCCAACATGTCTCAATGTAATGGGTTGCTAACTTTTGCTTCATATCAACGATTTCACATGTATAAAAGTATCTTTTGTCATAAGATTTACACCACCATCCACAACCAAATCTTAGACTATTTACATCAGAACTTTGAATGTAGCATGTTCGCACAGCCAAATTTAGCGAGAAAAAAATGCGTAAATAATAATATAGAGAGAAGAAACATAATTAAAACTGAATATATTTATCATGTTATTTCAAGATTGAATGAGGGTTAAAACTAATGTAAATCTCGAATGTGTTTATAGTTATTTGAAAATGCCAAAGCAATAAAGCCTTAATATTCATGAATACTGGATAATTGTAGAAGCCTTGAACCAGTTAACGAAGATGCGCTACGTGAAAGCTCATAAACCACCCGTGTTGTGTCAGAAGGGCTACAACTGTCTATAAAAATTAAGGTATTCTTGATGGGTAGATATGTCTGTGTTGTGCAACAACATGGACAAGCTATGATAACTGAGGTGTATCTCAGCTACCTAAATGCTGAGGTTCACCAGATGTGATAAGCTTCGTACAAGATAAATTGCTACTTTGGCATTCAGAACTTAGTATAAATAGAATAACTCTTGTATTCATCAATAAATCTTTAGTTTTTGTGTCTGATCTTATTCAAATAAATCTTTTCTTGTTTTTATAATAATGAACATTTTTTATAAGCTACAATAATAATACTTTTATTCATTGTGCTTAACAACCCGTCAAGAACGAACAACAATGAAGATCCAGAATAGAATGTGAAACTTGAGGCTTTATAGACTAAAATTCACGGGAAAAAAAAGGATAAAAAAAAACAGTAATGTCAACTTGATAAAGGTATATTTTATTATCAAACTGACAGGTGTAAAGTAAACTGAAGTCTCTCTACTGGCCAGGTAGATGATCCTTCTTATATACTATAACAATGGATAAAATTTCTATTAATTAGATTAACAAATAAGTCAACCCAGATCAACTAATGTCTAATCATGCTAAAAGACAACTCCAGCAAGCTAATCATGATTTAGCTTTGCTTGGATGAATAACTAGACTCTCATCCAAAGTACCCTGATCTATCCTTTCTATAAGGATAATTAATATCGATCTAGTAGCATGTATCCGATAGGTACAGTCTTCTTAGTGTTTAGAATAACAAAATATAGACAGAGTAAATACAATTAGAACTGAATATATTTATTATGTTATTCCAAGATTGAATAGGGATCAAAACTAGTGTAGATATCAAAGGTATTTATAGTTATTTGACAGTGCCGCAGCAATAGGACCTTGATCTTGAATGCGGGATAATTGTATAAGCCTTGAACCAGTAACGAGGATGTGCTGCATCAGAACTCATGAACCACCAGTCAAGGATAAACAACAAAGATGATCCAGGATAGAATGTTCTTCCTAATAGCTTTGACGGAAGAACATTTGTCGGAATTGAAACCCACTTCCCGGGACGAAAGACCATAGTGTAATGAAATAGCCACCCAAACGCAACTTAATTGAAAACCAAAGTTCATCAAATAGCACTCATTCAAATTCATGCTATTTGGATCTATTAATGAAAGCGCTCAAATGTACATCAAAAACCCATTTAAAAATACTAAAGTAAAGATACACGCTTATATCGCACATCGTGTGAATGAATCACTCCTGATCACAGTGTATTCAATCACACCCATGATGGTCGTAATAGGTGATGGTATCTTTATCCAAATAGAATTAAATCAATAACAAGCATATTCAAATATGACAACTATGCCCTGCTGCCATAGTTGCACAATATCCCAGATAAAGGATTCCATGCTTCAATAACAAACATCACACTTTAAACCATCAAGGTTACATTAAATCATGCTATGACGATAGCTCACCCAAGCCCATCAAGGTTACTCAAATCGACCCTTATGGCCAGTGCTCCTGCATTGACTACCACTTTAAATCAAACATCAACAACATTTGCCAGATATCGCAATAGCAGCACCTATTGCTCTCTATCATCACTAATCCTACAAGCCAGATGCAAATGTATAAATACTCTTCTTTTTTTTACTCAATTCCAGGATCTTCAGTTCATTTTATACACAAAATAAAATACAGTTGATTTCTATTGTATTTTACCTTTGCTTTATTTTTTTTTGTGAAATCCATTAAACCTGATTTCACTGCACATAGGCTACCACTCTCTAGGAACCAGGATATAGATTAGCCATTTGATGGCACCACTCATGTTCCTTCGTGCTGCTTGAATAAAGACCTCTCACTTCTACTATGCATCTCAGCTCATTCTCAGATCCTCTTATGTAATAAACGACGCTTAATACATTTGCCTCTCAGAGACGATCTATATCCTCAACACTTAGTCTATATTAATAGTACATATCTGAGTGCATATCGCTGAGCATACATCTTTAGCATGTATCTGGATATATGGCATGTCTATAGCATATCGTATGCATGTCTATAGCATGTCTCATATATAGTACAAGTCAGTAGTACATAAAGTATCTGTAGCTAGTATCACGGATATAAGCATGTGTCTTATAGCGTGGATCATGAAGTGCACATCTAAAGCAACAAGCTCACATTGCATTAATCTTGATGCTTATTCAGGTATGGTAAACATCCGTAGTCAATGTCGGAATACAAGTATAAGTCTATAGTGCCATCCATGTCCGTGGTGCCATTTATAGCCTATATCTTATATAGTATGAATCTTATAGTACTAGCGTATCTGAAGTCCATATCTTATAGTATAAATCGGTATCGTACATCTAATCCAGTGTACATACAGTTTATATCTAAATCTGGTAACTGGATGAACTGTCGGAATGCAGATCATAGTGGATGTATTCCACAGTTGGGGTTCTTGGTAGTAGCCCTATTGGGCAGATTTCGATCACCAAGCATTCTTGCCTTTGGCAAAGCAGAAGATGTGGTGGCAGATGAGCCAGAGGTAGCAACAATAGGGGGTTCAACAGAGCCAAACTTGTGCTTGGTGTCCTTTCCTAGCATCAATGATTGGGGAGTCTTTTCACCAAGAAGATCTACGGCAGCATTGTGAATTTCCGTGGTAGTCCAGGCTTGTCTCTTGGTATTTGAAAGGAGTGTGGAATACATCCACTATGATCTGCATTCCGACAGTTCATCCAGTTACCAGATTTAGATATAAACTGTATGTACACTGGATTAGATGTACGATATCGATTTATACTATGATCATGAGAAGATATGGACTTCAGATACGCTAGTACTATAAGATTCATACTATATAAGATATAGGCTATAGATGGCACCACGGACATGGATGGCACTATAGACTTATACTTGTATTCCGACATTGACTACGGATGTTTACCATATCTGGATAGGCACCAAGATTAATGCAATATGAGCTTGTTGCTTCAGATGTGCACTTCATGATCCACGCTATAAGACACATGCTTATATCCGTGATACTAGCTACAGATACTTTATGTACTACTGACTTGTACTATATATGAGACATGCTATAGACATGCATACAATATGCTATAGACATGCCATATATCCAGATACATGCTAAAGATGTATGCTTAGCGATATACACTCAGATATGTACTATTAATATAGACTAAGAAGACTGTACCTATCGGATACATGCTACTAGATCGATATTAATTATCCTTATGGAAAGGATAGATCAGGGTACTTCGGATGAGAGTCTAATTATTCATCCAGACAGAGCTAAATCATGATTAGCTTGCTGGAGTTGTCTTTTAGCATGATTAGACATTAGTTGATCTGAGTTGACTTATTTGTCAATCTAATTAATAGAACTTTTATCCATTGTTATAGTATATAAGAAGGATCATCTACCTGGCCAGTAGAGAGACTTCAGTTTACTTTACACCTGTCAGTTTGATAATAAAATATACCTTTATCAAGTTGACATTACTGTTTTTTTTTTTATTCTTTTTTTTTCCGTGAATTTTAGTCTATCAAGCCTCAAATTCCACAAGGAGCACAGTACAAATGTTCAGTTGCCAGGACTCGGGTAAAGACAACAAAAAGACACCACCAATTGTCAAATCATCACGATGATAGCCGGCCTCACCAACAGTGCGGAAGAAACGATTGGAATATTCATCATCGACGGATTTATGGAACCCAATTTCCATATTCATCACAGCACGACGCTTATGTATTCTTGAAACTACTGTCCCAAACTTCTTGCTAAAAACCAACTTGACATCGTGCCAGACATTGCACTTCATGACCACCGTTTTCATCCAGTCATCCAATTCATACGACAACGTGAGGGGAATGTACTTGCGCCATACGGTTTCGATGTCTTGGCCAGAAGAATACACAAATTTTTCGAATTCTGAGAGGAAATGATCAACAGAACGATATGCCTCCTCATGTGGAAATGGTTTAGCTTTGTTATCCTCCAGTTGGAATTTGGGAAGATCTCTCTTGGAAATTTTTAAGCCAGTGGACGATGAGTTAGCGGCAGCGGAAGCCTTAGTGGCAGCAGCAGTAGCAGCAGCAGCAGCCTTGAGACCATCGGTAAGTGTTTTGACATGCTTGTCTAAATTGTTTACTTTTTCACGGAGTAGGTTGGCTTCATCAACATTGACATTGGAATGGCTCAGAGCTTTCAAGTATGCTATTTGCTCATTTTCCTTTTGGAGTAGAACCTTCTTCAGAACTTCAGTTAACGTTGGCGGCTTCGTAACAGGTGGAGCAGGTTGTGGTGAGGTAGCGTCAGGGTTGACAATTTCTTCACCTTCAGTGGATATAGTAGGCGCAGGAGACGGGGTGCCAACGAGGTTTGTATACGGGTCAGCCGCGAGATCCATCTCATTGAGGCGTTCAGTTGTTGCAGAAACTGAGGCAGGTAAGGATGCGTTGCCATCTTCCATGATGACGTCCTCTTCCATGGGATTAGGTGAGCCAGCACGAGATGACAGTGGGGAGTTACCGGACAGAACAGACGACATAACGAAATCAATGATTGATTGTAACAGTAAAAAATGCAGTAAAAAGGGGGTTAAAAAAGCAGGTAGTAGAATACTGTTAAAATCCTTCTTTATTCGAAATTAGGATAATGTGCAATAAAATGTATATTCTACGTCTCTATTTATATTATTTGGTTTATATCTCTTATCTGGCAGCAGTTTAGTAGTTGCCAGTGATTCCATTACTTTATATATTTTTGTTGGGTCATTTAGTTGTTGATCTGATGGATCAAGAACGGTATTTCAATATATGGTTTTTGAATCATGCGTAAAGAATAGCTCTTTATTGTTGAGCCTGTATCCTTTTTAGGTATATTTATGTTACAACACATTACAATACCCTTGACATTTACTTTAGTATCTGTCATCTCTTATTTTAGAGCATTTAACCCTTGCTATCATCGTGCTAATACTATTATTATGCATGCCTATCTGCTGATGGTAGCATGGTTTGATTGAGATGACATTTATTTTGGGCTTTGTTTATGATGGGAATCTCGTCTAGTTCACTTCACTCATCATCATCACATCCAATCTAAAATCCAATTGCACCATCATCTTTTACGCAAAAAACTGTCATAGGAACATGCTACTTTCAAAGCTTTAGCATCAATTTTTCAAAAATCGATGTTCGATCGTCCAAAAGTTGAAAACCTCAAAATCAAAAAAACATTTTATACATCCAGGTCCTCATAGGTAAAAAATTTAGAATCATATAAGACTGAAATATGTTGTAGAATAATGATATTGGAGCAACTTCTAAGGGAGAACATTACATTGGAAATGCTTACTTCTTGAGTTAATCAACATCAGAGATGCTATTTTTAAGCGGGAGAATATACATACCTTAAATTGGAAGACCTACTTTAATCGAACAAAGCAAGCTACAACTCTCTAATCTTAAAAGCAAGATTCTTCATCATGTCAAGTATCTATTGATAACTTGAAACCAGCAAGTTAATATGGCCCTTTTCGTACGCTCCGATTTTTAAAATGCTCGGTCAAATTCATACTTGTGTCGTATACACGTGCAGAAGGTCAACGGAACTTCAATTTATATTGTTCTTAATGATGATCCATAGAATTCCGAAATCTATCGACCTTAAAATTACGCGTTTCTTGATAGTAAACACCCCTTCAAACCTATATGAAACTTGTAGAGAATTCAAAGGAGAATACAATGGTATCTATATCAAGTCTCTGGTGTACGTTGTTCACCTAAAATTTGATACGATTGTTTTTGCAATTTTTTGACTGTTTTCTAAAGATTAATCAGTATTTGTCATCAAAACATTTTGTTAAGCATTACTAAACATTGTAGACCAAAACATTTTCTATCAAATGAGATATTGCTTGAAGCTTTGGCATAACTCTATCATGAAATATTGACAATCTTGTCCTGACCAAAAAAAGGCAACCCAATTTTTTGCTTGCTATCACACGTAGATTTTGAAGAAAAATCCATGATTTTGCATGATACTCTTTTCTGACCATATCTCGACAAATACTCGCTGGATTCGCACAAAACAAAGACCATTCAATAGCTCTACGTTATATCCATTATAATATAACGGTTTTAAGTACCAGGTGTACGTTCCCTTCATGAATTTACTCAAAATCATATATTTTATGAGCTACAAGCAGGGGGTATTCAACTTTTTTTTTTTATTTATCTATAATAACCATACCATCGTATAGAGAATTGAAAAAGAAACAGAAGCTATTAAGTTTGAAACTCTCGTTCACTTAGTAAAATCAAGCGGTACGCACCTTTGAAAATTGACCATTTTCACTCTTTTTCATCATTACTCATCGACATCGCTCTCATCAAGCCCAAATAAAACACGCTCTGATCAAACAAAGTACCCTCTACAACTTTTTACTAGACATACAATCAACATTCATATAGTAATTCAATGACTTTTATTAGTAGCATCTGCTCACATTTTGCAAAAAATTGCTATAGAAACATGCTACTTTCAAAGCTCGAATCAAAGATGGATAAAAGATAAGGAAAAATCCGAAATAAGGAAAGAAGTGGATTCGATGAAGCCGTTTATACTCTTACAAGAAAAAGAAACCGACACCGTTTAAATTGCATGGCACTTTAAAAAAAATTATTTGAAGGGTCTGTTGTTTTGTCATTTGAATCAACATTCTAAACAAAAACACAGAAATTTTTGACTAGTAGTTAAGCAATGGGAAATTTGCCATGTTTGATTTGTCAATGTTTGAAATTAGATGATGACAGCATATTCATTTTCAGTGCATCAGAATGACAATAATGAGCAGCTTTCTTGTTGTGCCGATACCATGTCGATGATATATACCAAGAGTGCAGTACGCCACTGCAGTCAATGATTTTGGCTGAATATGTTTTGAGAGCTTGACAATGTCACGAGCCCACAAGTATTATGCCTCTTGACACGATTGTGCAATCAATTTCATCTTGAGAAATCTAATCAAATACCAGCCTGAAAGAGCGAGACATGTCTCTGTATAGCCTTGCTATACTGTCAATGAGTACCAGTAGATTGATTAAGTTTCATTTTGAGGACAGAAATAGCCGCATTTATAGCATTCATCCTGCTTGGATTAACTTCGATTAACTTGAAGCATAATCCAATCGAGCCACATTTTGGAATTAATCAAGTAAGTTTGAATCAAAAATCGCTAGCAGCCCTTGCCACTTTACGTACGGAAAATGGATAAAGAGTATAAACTTGCTTTATTAACGAAAAGGAAAAGAGTGAATGAACGAATAAATTAATCTTCTTTTAGTTTGGGATTCTGTCTACCATACAAAAGGAATCAGATTTTTGCGCTTTGATAATTCTTGTTTATTTTTGCTTTCAGTAAGATGGGTTGAGTACCAGATGCGAGTTTCTTTGGCTCTCACTGTCAGATAAATAAAAGGGAAGAATTTGACGGCAAGAGAAACGACGTTTTGACTGATCAAGATGAGGCCCAAGAAGGTAAGCTGTTCAGCGGCATAATGAGGAGCGATGGCATAATCAAACAAGGCGCCTCTGGGGAGACTGTAAGTACCCTTCTTTTGATTTGTTTGAGACAAGCGCATTTCTCTCAAGCAATAGTGATGGTATCCATTTAGCATCTCTCCAATAACGACAAATGCAACACCAATATAAGTCAATGTGCTACAGAAAGCGCTTTCCGGGATACGACGTACGACAAGTAGATCCAAAGTGGTTGTCAGGGTGTAGGCTGACATGACAGATAGCATGGCTTCAGCGTTGGTATTACTCTTGTAAATGTGAATAAACAACACCTCCAAAACTCGCTTGACGAAATGGGCCAAGCTTAAGAAATGAATGATGTTGAATTGATTATTTGCCCAATCCAAAGAGGGCCGTTGAATAAGTAGGCATGCAATGACACTAGGGACATAAATGACGAGCATGGCTCTTCTGCTAGGTATGTTGTCTACTTTGCGATTTCCGAATTTAGAGTAAGGCGTTGTCTCTGGTTGAAAAGCTGCGCTCAATGAGAGAATAATGCCTATAACAAAAGCTGAAATTGTCAGGCCAGTCCAGTTTGGCACATAGAGCCCCATAAACGTTGAAGTTCCCATCGCTGCTGAATTGATTTTAAGAAAGGAATGGATTGAAATGAAACAGTTATAGCAAGAAAAGGGAGAGAAAAGGTGGAACTGTTGGAGCAAGAGGAAGTTTTGTTTTATTCTCATTCCTAATATTGACATCTCTCAGAGAGTCATTAAACTATGTGCTACACTGTTACAATTTAGCGGAGCAGGACCTTGATCCTGTACTTCCAAGGGATATTAAGTTTTACTAATACTCTTTTTAAGCAAACAGGGCAACATTGTGTATTGTAAACGAGTACGACAGCATATCATGCCTTGCCACAGTTCCAGGCATGTACTTTGAGGCGAGTTTCTTGGCCCATTGTTCATTTGAGTCATGAATAATGCCCTTCTTTCTTCTTTATTGACAGATCCAATCACTATATGGTATTGGAAATCGGCAAAATCTTACCGGACCTATCGAGCGCTGGAAGATATAGCTCTTGTACACCTTGAGTATATTCCGATCAATCGGTTAATCTCTTGTTCAGTCAAATTAGAGGATTACTTCGACTTTTGCATATTCATGAGAAGTGTTGTGCATGCAGATTACGATTGTGTATCATTTATTGCATTTTAATTGATCACGATCGTAGTCAAGAGTGAGATCGATCCAATCATCACCAATAGCAAGCTTTATCAGGAACGGTGGCGTAGTCTACTGAAAATCTGCGCAAGAGTGATAATGATAGAGCATGTCATAGTTACCCTAAAACAATGATCAAGCAGTACTCAAAATCAACTAATTTTAGTACACGCACAGGTTTGCATTAAAATATGTTAGTACTCAGTGGGGCGAATTGCCTCTGGTAAGGAAGTATTTAGAATTATTGCGCTACATTACACTCAAAGACTTGCGTAATGGATCACATGAACATACCAGTAGCATTTTCAAATGTGTGAGGATACTTGTTACGTAAAAAAAAATCGACGAGAGTTACAGCTATGGCTATTTTGATATACATTTATTCAGATAAAGGGAAAAAGAAACAAGGCAAGGGATAAATGGAAGGCTTAATTAAGTTCACCACGAACCCATTGTTGCAACATATCAAGGCCGCTTTCAGGTTGGTCGTAAGGAACCATGTGACCAGCACCAAAGACACGTAAGAAAGCGAAACGGCCATCGTCAGTCTTACGAAGTTCGCCAGCTTGCTTACCAGCGATATCAGAATACCATTCAGTATCATTAGCATTGGAGAACTCTTCATGACCAGACCAAGGCAATTGAATAGTCCAAGCCTTATTACCCATCCAATTACAAATGAAATCAGCATCGCCAGCATAAATCAAAATCTTGATATCATCCTCCAAAAGCTTGGGAACTTCATTTACATAGGGACGCATCCAATCACCGGCCATTTGGAATCTAAAGTTGATTTGCATGTTGCAGCTCTCATACTTGTCGGTTTCAGCACCCACTTCTTCCTTGACAGCAGGGATATTCAAGTACTTTTGAACAGATTCAAGGATATCGTAGCAAAGATTACCGCCCTTGCACTTTTCGCGGACATCATAAGGATTCATGCCAGTTTGTTGATAAGGTGAAATTTGGTCTTTGTTACACTTCATGGCAGCAGGCAAGCAAGAAAAGACGTTTTGGCTATCATAGCAATTTTGAATCAAGCGTTCACAAGCAGGGAAGCTGGCTTCCATGTTATCGCAAGTGGCTCTGTCCAATACAGGGCCATAAGAGTTATCACAGGCCATTTGTGCGTAGTATTTGTATTGAACCAAAGGGTCAGTCAAGCCGTTTCCAATCAATAAACTCTTCAAGTTGATATCGGCCAGGGTGTGCTTCTTCTTTAAGAGTTCCAATGACTTGAAATGTCCTTTGTTGTTATCGTTGATGACACCACCGATGGCGGGAATGTAATGACCTATATACCAATGGGGGTTAGTCACCGATATACACAATGGTAGCTGCCTGAGTGTAACGAACCAGCATAAGATTCACCAGAAATGTGGAAATCAAGGTCAGCGTATTGAGGGAATTCCTTAAAGAAAAGTTGAAGGAAAGCATACACATCTTTGGCAGCAGCATCCGTGTTGGAGGCACCACCGCTACCATGAGAATAACCGACATTCAAGGGCTATTTTCTTCTTGTGTTAGTGTTTTTTTGTAGACTAATAGGAAGTTTACATTGACTTACTTGATCCAAGAAGATGACATTGGCCTTTTCGTTCCAAGAATACTTGTTGATAACAGTGTCAGTGCCTTCCTCATTGACAGTACAAGGTCTATATCATTCACACGATCAGCAACATCCCGATGTATTTACCAATGATGTGTTCTTACCCAAGCTCCATAAAGAGGCCGGTCAAAGAAGAACAACCAGGACCACCGTTCAACCATAAAACGACGGGATCTTCCTTAGGCTTATCTCTGGATTCAAAGAACCAAAAGAAAAAGTGCTTATCGCTTCCGACATCCAAATAACCAGAAATCTAGATGGAACATTTAGCGTCTATTTCAATGCACATGAATGAGTGTGTATATCTACTTGTTTCACATCAGGGTCACAAAGGGTGGGTCTCTTGTATCTCAAGGCATATTCAGAGAAAGCAGGGTGGGTAAAAGTAGTAAATGTATCGGCACCATTATGCAAGATTTCCTTGACCTTGTCAGTAGCACTGTGAACCTTATCAGTAGCACCTTGAAAGACATGTTGAACGTCACTCCATGCTTTCTCGCCAAAATCAACAATGGCGTCTTGTTGTTGGAACATGGCAGGTTCGGCATAGGTCAAACCAAATACGCAAGAGGCTACAACAGCCACCTTGGCAAGCGAAATCAGTGTGGGCATAATTAAAGAAAAAAAAAAAAAAGTAGAGAAAAAAGAGAAAAAAGAGAAAGAATATCCCTAACAGTGTTTCATTTTTATACCATGACATTTTGCTTTGCGTGTGTGTGAGTGTGATCAACATCACTGAGGTCATTTATTACATCTCCGTTGAACGTTACAGGATTGAATCGACCCTTTCGTGGCTCTAAACAAATTATATAAAAGGAATTTGTTTCCGGATTCAGCCATCATAGTGAGCGGTAAATTGCAAGTAGACTCACACTAAAGTCTCAATCTTGACAACGTTTACCCCATCTCCAGAGTCGCGGCAATAATTGATTTCTGCAGACTGATCTACACTGTACTCTAGCGGAAATTTATCGGCCGGGGCATCATTGTGCCACTTGATCATTCTGATTATCTAGGCACCAGCGTGCTTGGCAAGCAGAAGGAATTTCACAGGCAAACATGGCATATTGTAATGACCAGCGATCTACTGGGATTTGGCTATGTCTAATGTACGCCTCTCCCCACGATGCCAACACTGCACCCTCATATAGAGTATGACTATCTGCTCAAGAAGCAACAGCTTATATCATGAGCAGCCTTATCGTCCATCCGCAGCAACATTTGCATGCTCACCATCTGGTCATGTTCTCACAAAAAAAAAAAAAAAAAAAAAACTTGATATTGCCATTGTATATCCTAAGAAAAAAAAAACTGCTTGGATAGCCTGGCTCTTCATAAAGAAATTACAATGAATGATGGCTTTGGAAGAGTGAGCATCAAATTACCATCTCCCTGATTTGTATAAATGCTGCATTGTGCAACATCCTTATTCAGACAATCATGCTACTCTTGCCGTTTTCATGGCTAAATAAACATCATTATCCTTCTAATCACACAGCCAATTTCCAATATCTATCAACGATGCAGTGAGTTAGCTCGAGATAGCTCAGCATGATGGATGTGATTGCATTGTGAGCCTGCGAATATAGAGTAGAACCCTCATTGTTCAAGTAAATCTTCCGCCTGTGCAACTGAATTTGACGTCATGAAGGGGGGTTTTATTCTGGATTGAGTCGCTTCAAGTTCTATTTCTTCTTTCCAACCATCAATGTCACAATTGATAGAACAACAGGAAGAACATCAAAATCAAAGATACAGGCTAAACAAACAAGATGAAGACTTGCCCATGGATTTGGGAAGTCTGCAAGACATATTCACATTCAAGTTCTTTGAAGGGAGACCGATAGCCAACATAATCATGGCCATTCTGTGGAGCATTGGATTGCCCATTCTATTGTATCAGCTTTTGAAGCCCCATTTAGGTCAGGTTGTTGCCATGATCATTGCTTCATGTCCTCCTTTAGTGATTGTGGTATGGTAGGTATGCCTGACCAGTTGAGTTATAGCCAAGCTCTAACATGGATTGTTGCCGTTAGCCGAATGATCAAATCAAGGACATTGGACGTTCTAGGATTTGTAGCAGGTGTCAGTTTCCTAATCACAGGCATTATCGTAAGTATATCTATGGCAGGTGCGTACGTTGTGGAGCACTAAAACCATCAACAAGTCCATCGCACAGCCTTCACCTGCCGTATCATCCATATGTGAGTCCATCATTCCATTGTTGATAGGCGTCTTTTGCATTTTATCGTTATTTCCCATCAAGATTGGTACATTTGAATTACGGCCATTGGTATTCCAAATCACAAATCAACTCATGCCCAGACCACCTGTAGATGAAAAGTTGGCAGAACAAGACGAGCAGAGACTACAGCAGCAGCAGCAATGCGACAAATCAAAGACATTGAATTGGGTATATACACACATGGCCAAGATTCGAAACGACCTGAGGATCTTGACAGCGTGCTGGGGAGTCATGCTCATTGTTGGATTCATTATCAAGGCTATTATCGCATCAACCAATACCGATATTAGCAAGGCACAAAATTTCGGCTACATCTTTTTTACGGTAGCAACAGTAGGCATGGTGGTTGTTTCCTGGCTTTTTACAAAGATCATGAACAGACATGTCAAAGATGAGGTCGATAAAATGCAGAGAAATAGTGGGCACTCTGAAGGCTACGAAAACACGCAATGGGGTATTCAAGCCATGTCAACAGGGTTTAATCAGATTGTTTCTTGATGTGTATATATCAATAAAATTTTCGGTGCTATTCACATATCACATACCTTGAAATTTTACAGACATGACTTATCTATCGACGGTGAATGAAGACCCAAATGCCACATGTAAAAGTAAGTCAAGAGCAAAATCATCATGGTTTTGGTTGCGTGCCTTTTTTTAAGTGAAATATTCTTCATTATGGATTTAAATCGTACAAAACAGAGTAAGGCAAGGTGCGATCCATATCGTCTAATATTTTACATTAGCAACTAGCCGATCTATCTCGCTACACTCGATGATGGCTTCGCTCTGCGGACTCTGGCCAAAGACATTTCAAATCAGAGAAAATAAATCAAGGAAATTTTAAACAATGTGAGGAGTTGGGTACAGGCCAGCATTTTTTTATGCAGCATTTATGTTATTATAAGACTTCGGGGTGCACTACATTCTCCGTCCGAGTCGCATATTATGGCAGCAGAACTGTCATACCTTTCGCGGATGTTCCTCTTGAGATGTCGACACAGCGTTGGCCATGCGTAAATACAGAACTTCTATGAGATCTACAGCGACTTTTTTGAGAGATTGCCATTACAAAAGACACTTTCTTAGGAAAAAAAGACTCCCAATAAAACTAAAGAAAAAAAGAATATATCTAATTGATTGTTCTTTCAAGTTCATGATCCCCATTTAATCAGCATCGCAATCAACGTTGTCATCATTGTCAGCATCAGAATGACATTTGATCCAGCCAGCAGCAGCGCCGCCTGCCAAACTAGATTCAAACTCAGTTTATTTTTTCTGCTCAGGATTGGCCGAATTTCGTCTTTTGTCGACTTCTTTAATCTATTCTGTGATATTGGACTATATAAACTGTAGTTATCATCAGATACTTCCTAATACATTCTAAGAGTACTTTTCAAGGCGCTTCCAATGGTGCTAATTGTAATAAGTGTTTTAAATGAAACTGTTGAGTAATTTGGTAGAATATGAAATGAGGTTTTTAGCGAAAATATCCACATTTTTTATATGAAAACCTCATAAAAGTGGTTTCAGAGGTTGCTTTGGATTGAGAGAAGCATTTTGATTCAATATATATAGGATAGTAAAAGTCTTCATTTTCAAGGCAAAAATTGCGATCGTTTGATTTTCGATGAAAACCATGAGGGGTAACCTTATACTTTTTGGTCGATTTTTGGCCATGTTTTTTTTTTGGTCCCAAAAAGTTGAGCAAAAGTGTCAGAAAGGTACTACTATTCGAGTACAATTATTTGGCGTCATTCTGGCGACTCAAAAAGGCCTACATATCAAGATATGAAGGCTTGAAAGCTGTCAAATTTGGTTATGATTTTGCTTTATAGGCTTTCTTTACACGGCATGAATCGCATCTTTGGTAGGTGAATTCTTCTGGAAGGGTAGTTCTGCAACCTGTGCAATTTCTAATCCAAATAGAAGGCATATCAACTTTGGTAAAGCAAATTTTGATCTGTTATGTTGTTAATAATGGGAATGAGAAAACGAATTTGCTGCTTGAATAGTATAGTTTGACACCTTTGCTTCGCTACAGTAAAACCCCCCCCATTATTAACGTCATTGTTATCAAGTATTGGATTAGGTACTTGAATATTATGGTTTTGCTCTTCACTTCACTACGGTAGAGACATTTAAAAGGTTAATGTTATCAAATGCTGCATTAGATGCAATCTTGCTACGCTCGATGAAGGCGTCGCCCTGCAGATTATCGCCGTAGACAATTCAAATCAGTGATAATAAACATCTGCTATAAGTAGATTTTGAACAATCAATCATTGATAATGGAAATGAGACAGTGAATTGCTGCTTAAATAATATGATTTTGCGTATTCTCTTCGCTACGATCAAGCCCTGATACAGATCACTGCTAACAAATGCTGGGTTGGATGGCCTTGATAGACGGTCTAAATATCATTGAATGTCAACAAATTGACCCCAATGTAAGCCTTCTCTGCGGTCACAAAACTTTTTTTCCTTGCTCTCTCAAACCCAATTCAAATCCTTCTTGTTCTGATATACACATCACTTTGCTTTTCCAGGATGTTTATTCTCTCTGAGCTCGAAGACACAGTGAAGATTGTGCCCAATGATTTCAAAAAGGGGGATAACAGTGCTATCACTGATGTGTTGAATGAAAAGTATGCCAACAGAGTAGTGCAAGAAGTAGGCCTCTGTATATGTATTCATGATATATTGCATACCTCTGAGGGATTTATTCTGTATGGCGATGGTTGTAGTTATATCAAAGGTACGTCAGTGTTCGATGGCTTGACGGATACTAGGCTCATATGCTATTCAGTGACATTCCGTATGGTTGTATTCAGACCATTTGCTGGCGAGATTTTGACAGGAAAGATCAAGAGTTGTTCACCCAGTGGTGTTGTTGGTACAGTTGCTTCATGTTTATTTAACAGCTGCTCTTGCTTTACTAACATGTGTCCATACAGTTACTATGGGATTCTTTGACGATATCCTGATCCCCGGTGGTGCTTTACAGCCTGGATCTAAATTGTAAGCATCATCACACCTGGGACATGGCACTGCAGATTTCTTTATTGACGTTTGAACGTAGTGATCCTGCTGAACAAGTGTGGGTTTGGAGTTATGAAGGAGAAAAGATGTACATGGATATTGAGGAGCCTATTCGATTCAAAGTTTTGCGCGAGCAATTCACAGACACAACACCCACAAATCACCCAGCTCCAGCTGCCTTACCTCGTAGACGGCAATCAGTAGCTGATGTGTCAGCAACAGACGATCTTGCTGGCAACTCCACTAAAATACCACCCTATTCGCTTACTGTGAGTGTCCATGATTAGTGCTGAACGAATGGGATAACTAATCATGTCGTGTGTAGTGCTCAATTCAAGAAGATGGTTTAGGTCTTCTTTCATGGTGGGGAAGTTAAAGCAAAGAGACGAAACAGAGCATAGAGAATACACATCACACATCAGACACACAAACACACATTAATATAGTAGTATATATGTAAATATACATGACGAAAAACGCCCATTATTGACAAACAACATCCACTGTTTATTGTTTCTACACATACATACATACATACACACAAAAATTAAGCTTGATCCAACAGAAAGTTGGTTGCTTTAATCAAATCATGATCGTTCTTTTCCAATGCATCTATAGCCTGAGCTCTGGTAAAGCCCATATTGCCCAACTCATTGATCAAATCCTCATGAGGTAGAGCCGGTAGTTGCTGCTGCTGTTGTGAGGGAAGTGGTAAAGGAGGCAAAGGAGGTGGTGGAGGCGTTGTAGTACTTGAGGGCATACTGCTGTTGGATATAGATTTATGATAATCGCTTGGAGGCGGAAGTGTGGGTGGAGAGATAATAGGTGATGAAGTAGAAGATGTCGGCAAAGGTGAATTATTGAATAACTTGGGGGGTAAGGCAGGAACTGAATTTGCATGGTGTTGTATTTGACGTACATGTGGGGGTTGAGGCTGTGGCTGTGGTTGTTGGTAGCTGCCGTTGCCATTGGGACTCGTACTGTTGCTATTGTTGGCTTGAAAGTTCCAGTACACTAGAAGGCATATTCCAGAGGCTGAATAAATGTAATGGAATCGCTTCCAAAATAGACTTACCTCCTTCATTCTTTTGATATGGCCTAGGATGTTGTGGCAGTGGTTGTTGCTGTTGTGATGGAGAGTGCTGATACTGTTGAGGAGGATAGCTCGGGGGAGTTGATGTGCGTCTTCGATTGTAATTGGACTTGGGACTACCGAGGATAGATCTCAATGCGACCATATCGTTCTCTGGTGTATCCCAAGGATCTGCTGGAGCTAATCCTTGCTCAAATTTCAAGTAATCAAAGTGTTTCTCAGGGCCAATGTCCGTAGGCACCGCTGTCTTTGTATCCTGTTGATAATGGCCGTTCAATGCAGGCTGTAGCATGCTGGGTGAGGTAGAATCGCTATGACTATCTTCCCCGTTCTGGCTACCTTCACTAGTGGTGGCAGCAGCAGCAGGATGTTCATAGACGTAGGTTTGTTGAGGCTGTAAAATGCGGGTATCCGTATCTAAAAATCCTGGTGCAATCTTTCTGGCAGCCATCTTCTGCTTATCCAATTTCTCTTGCTCATATTGCTGCTTTTGTAATTTGAATGCTTCTTCTGCTTCAAATGCCTTTTTCCTAGCAGCTTCTACTTGTGCAATCACCTCTCTTTCCACGGCAAATGGATAAGCGGGCTAACAAACAAAACATGTAAGATGGGGTTACATCTCAACCATGATTTCATTCTTACCAATTTGGAAACATCATCAGGCACCATTTTCAGTTCTGAGGCGACTAGTACCTGTTGTGTGTGTTTCGCTGTTGAGTACTGAGGACAATGATGACACATACTGCCAATGCATACCTTCTTTGGTAGTTTATAAAGTGGAGAGACCATCACTGGTACACTTTGAAGTACAGCATACGTTGAACCTTTTTCGTTTTGTTACAAATCTTTTTATTTTTATGGCTCTAATGCTTGCAGTTACCTTGATCAGACATGGCTCTATTAGGTTTGTAGTGTGTATTATGAATATACTTGTTTTAATGAAAAAGAAATAGAGCGAGAAAAAAGAAAAAGAGAAAAATGGAAATGATAAAAGAAAATGTAGGACCAAAGCAAGCAGTAGTGCGTTTAAGGGATTGAATAGAGACACCGTCTTTAAATCACGTGTGGGCGAATAATGTGCATTGCAGAGTAGTGGAGTAAGTTGCATTAAATGACCTGCTGCTTGGCTGCTGGTGTCTCGATCGGATTGATGCCTTTGCTGATCTGCTTATCGTTTTCCTATGCGCTACATCAGTACAATTGCCATTGTATCCAATCCACATGAGAACTCACCATCATGATGACCAACCAGTCAAACTTGAGATCAAGCTTAATGCCTTCACGAATCGACACCTTTCTAAACAAATCCCTCAGAAAGTTGTAGTCAGGCTGGCCATCAAATGTTAATTTCCTCGTGTAATCAATGTATGTCATAAACTCGAATGGCATGTCCTTGCACAGTTTATCCAGAGGTGTTGTCACTTTGCGGTTACTGATCATGTCGTATTTTTGCTTTTTCGTCTTGGCCTTCAACCCTTGCCATGGCAATGAACCTCGGAAGAAATATACCAGGACATAGCCCAAAGACTCTAGATCGTCTCTACGTGATTGCTCCCGTCCAAGATGCGTGTGAACACTGGCATATCGAGCAGTGCCAGTCAGGTTTTTGCCTTCTTTCCACGGTATATGTTGGTTTGTTCTAGAGTCCTTATATCGCTTCGCCAGCCCGAAATCAATCAAATGTACCAAATAATTGTAGCCATCAAGACCCATTAGAAAGTTGTCTGGTTTGATGTCTCGATGGATGAATTTCTTGGAATGCAAATATTCAATTCGTGTGAGCTATGATCCTGAGATGAGCAAACACCACTAGCGCATACCAACAAGAACAGTACACACGTTACCATCTGATCAGCCAACATCAACACTGTCTTGAGCGTAAACTTTCGCTTGCAAAAGTTGAACAGGTCTTCCAATGAGGCTAAACATGGAAAAACGCACATGATGTGTCAGCATTCAACATGTCACTCCTCCTCCTCCTCCTCCTCCTCCTCCTCCTCCCCCCTCCTCTTCTCGATTTCATTTAAACAAATATATATACATATACATATACATATATATGTTCACTTACGGCCCAATTTATCCATGACCATGCTGTTATAGTTGTTCTCTGTTGAAAAGTGTCTCACTCTGGGTATGCCTGTTCCGCCTGCAATAGCTTTGTACACTCTAAATTCGTACTCTAATTGTGGATGCTTTGCTGTCACCTTTTCCAGCTTGATGGCCACTTCTTCGCCTGACGCCTCTTCTATGCCTGTTTAAATTAATCGCGTTGTTTGTTGGGGGGTGTGCTCTCCCTCTGGGGGTTTCTCGTCTCTTGAATATTTCAAACACTTTGTAAATGCAATATTCACCTTTATGTATTTCGCCAAATGAGCCAGACCCAATCTTGGCACCAATTCTGTACGAACTGGCTATTGTGTAGCCGATAATGGGATTCAATGGCGTAGTCAGCGAGGTTGTCATTTGTCTTGTCCGTAAGAAAAAGAGAAGAAAGAAAGAGAAAAAGGGATCTTCTTTATCCAAAACTTGTAGCAAACATTATATGCCTAAGTATATCACATGGTTTCATGCAGAATTTGAATTTTATATAAATACAATGGTGGGATTTTTTTTTCTTTTTTTTTATTTGTTGATTATAAGGAGAGCGCAGAGCAGAACAGGAGGTAATAGCGGTGGTGGTGCGAAGAAGGGGGGGTTGGGGTACCAGAGCGACAACAAGGGGGAGGGGGGGGGGGAACAGAGACAAAGATTGGTCTATAAATGCTCTTCGTCTTCACTGGAATCTTGAAATGGAAATGGCTCGTCCTCTGAATCGGACACTGCAACAGTTGCAGCAGCAGCATTTGATTCATCTTCAAACCAGAGATGGTTTCCGTATGAAATGCAGAGCTCTTCGTCTTTTTCAATGCGTCGTAATGTTACATAGCGGATCAGTTTATTGGGTATATCTCGAATAAAACCAACGTTCGGTGTACTGTTGTGATTGAACATGGAACCTAATCCAAGTGCTAATGCAAAACCACCTTGCCAGCAGTAAGTGTATTGATCCAGCACGGTGTATTTCCCGTAATTCTTATATTCCTCGGCATTGAACAGCAGTATAGGCGATATCTCAACCAACACATTGCGATCTATCGGCTCTCTGGTAAACACACCTCTTCCTCTCACTGGATGACTTTGCAATTCTAATGCCAAACGATGCTGTGTCAATGGGATTGTGCCATCGTCGGTAGCTTCCTCGTCGTGATGACTACTATTGTGGTTTGACATGTTGGTGTGAGTTGTTCCCAAAAAGAGAGAGAGAGAGAGAGAGAGAGAGAGAGAGAGAGGGGCAAAAAAAATCTCGGACAGTCTATCATTGTATGATACACACAAGCCACTGACAACTGAATGATGATGGATTAAGGGAATTGCGTTTATTTTCTATATTTTAACTAATTTTACTATACACATGAAATGATTAAGCACCCAAAAGCTTGAGTGCAAGAGCTTCTTGATCCTCCAAAGTTTGAGGTTCAGCAACGTCAATGATTCTCTTCTTGTTGGCTTCTTCCTCAGAGTCACTGTCCTCAAACCATTTTCTCTTGCGCTCAGATGCCTGATCCTCCTCTTCTTCTGATTCATCTTCAGACATGTCTGAGCCTTGGACTTCAGCATCAGATCCTTCACTTGATTCTTCTTGTAAGGCCTGTCAAACATCATAAGTTCAACATGCAATGATTGACTATTACATATATACTTACAGCTCTTTCTCTTTCCTTGCGCTTAATCTTCTTTTCCAGCTTCTTTTGCTTGACATACTCTTTATCTTCTTTATCGGCTGTTTGCATGAGTTGGCCCTTTTCTTCAATGAATGCCTTGATCTGAGTTTTAGCATCACCGTCTTTCAAAAAGTCCTTTTCCTCAACAAGCTCGTACATGGCGTGGGCATTGCCCTCTTCATCAAACACCAACTTGTCACCGCGAGCCATGTTCTTTGCTCTTTCCTTTTTGCTCATCTTTAGCTTTCTCTTGGATATATTCTCGCCTTGAATGTTGTTCATAGCGTCCTCATCTTCATCACTCTCCAGTGTGTGATCAGCACGTTGAATTGTGAGGAAATCTTCATCGTCATCGTCTTCTAAACCACCGTCCAGCTTAATCTTGTCACCCTCGTAATCAACCAGTTTGCTGTAATGTTCTGACAAAATGTCTTGATTCTTTCTTTGGAACATACGGTCATATTTGGTTCTTTGTGCTTTGGTTTGCCCCTCCTCTTCCTCCTCTTCCTCCTCTTCCTCGTCACTGGATGCTTCCTTCATCTTCTTCTTTTCTTGAGCACCCATCAGCTTCTTCTCTGCCTTTTTGACAAACTTGATCTTTGGAGCACCGGCTAAGCCAAGGGAGAGAGCAAATTCTTCAGCGGGTAACGCTGTAACATCAAAGATAGACTTGTTGCGTTGGAGATAGATGGAACGCATGTAAGCGACAAAGGCACGTTGAGCGAGGTATTTGATTTCAGGATCTTGGAAACAGAAGCTTTGCAGTTGCTTTTGGATGCTTTGTTGTTTGCTGGTTCTAATCTTAATCTCTTCAACAGGCACACGCTTCTTTTTCAGCTCTTCCACCATGCCTTCTACTTCGGATGGCACCAAAATCATCAAAGCATGGCCATCTGCATCGAAACGCGCAGTACGACCCACACGATGAATGTAAGTATCGGCGTCTTCAGGACAATCCAACTGCACTACCCAATCTACTGAAGGGAAATCTAAACCACGGGCAGCAATATCCGTGCACAGTAAAACAGCATGTTGACTAGAGGTGAACTTTCTAAAGATGTCGACACGCTTTGTCTGCTTTTGCTTGCCGTGCAAATGCATGATGGGCACACCGGGCTGAAGCTTACAAAAGGCTTCAAACACAAATCTCGTCTGTTTACAGCTACTCAGAAACACGATGGTCTTGCTTTTGAGGTGCGATTTGACAAACGAGTATAATACGTCCAGTTTCTTGGGGAGCTCTGTCACCACATAGTGTTGCGATAAGGTTTTGGGTGTACTGTGTTCGGCTTTTTCATGCACTGCGACGTATTCGGGGTCTTTGAGCGATAAACGAGCAAGGTCCTTGACAGAGCGGGTTTGTGTAGCTGAAAACAACAAGGTTTGTCTCTGAGGAGGTAAATTCTCGATGATGGCGTTCATTGTGTTCTGGAAGCCCATATCCATAATGCGATCTGCTTCATCCAAAACCAACACTTGTAAATTGTCGCAAGAAAATCCAACCGACTGATCCATGTGCTGCAAAAGACGACCGGGTGTGCAAACCAAGATGTTCATACGAGCGATGCGCTCTTGTTCTACTTTGAATTCTTTACCACCGATGATCAAACCTGCTGAAAAGGTGTGTGATTTGCCAATCTTTTTAAGCACTTCAAAGATCTGAACAGCTAATTCACGAGTGGGTGAAATGATCAAGGCACCTAATCCATCTGCTGCGTTCCATTGCTGTCTAAACAGGATCTCGAGAACCTATTTGTATATGTGTTGGTACTGTGAACCACTCTACCCTACTTTGCAATGCTTACAGGAATGAGGAAACTCAATGTCTTACCACTACCAGTCTTGGCAGCACCCAGCACATCTCTCTTGGCCAAAGCAAGAGGAATACCCTTTCTTTGGATCTCGGTCATCTGCTTAAAGTTGGATTGAGCAAGGCCCTTTTGTGTTCTGTCAGAAAGTGGTAGTTCAGAAAATAGCTTGGCATTGCTGTAGTTTTCCTAGATCACAGACTGGTTACAATGTGGATCTTGTTGACATGTCAATCCTACTTACAGGATGGCTGGACTTGGTTTCCAATGTAGCAATGTCGTCTTGGTTCTGCTTCCTCTGAGCTTCTTTGGGGCTGACCTTCTTTACTGTCTTGGTCTCTTTGGCCATGCTAATGTTATTGTATCAGGTGTGTAGGGAAAAAAAAAAAAAAAAAAAATTGTTTGAGGATCGAATATTCATGAAAAAATTGGTAGAAAAGACGGTCCGCTTTATAGTCACATTGAGGGGGTAGTAAAGGATCCTGCTGCATTGCTGTCAGCTCTTATACTTAACATTGTGGACATCACCAGAGCAGCCGAGGATTCTAAAAGTTTGCATCCATTAAATTGTTTGCGATATTGTATTTATTGGTCTATAGTTATTCCATTGCTTTCATGGCCATTTCGTACGCAAAGAAAGTGGCCGCATTGGCAGGAAATGCTCTTATCATGGCAGGGCTGATGCCATTGATGAAGCCCTTTGGCCCCTTTGTCCGTAATATATCTCTGAATGCTTGACGGTATGATTTGAATCTATAGTAGCATGAGCATCTCTGTTAAACTTACGTCAACATGAGGTCTACCTGGAATCGTTTTGATAACAGCTTTTGATGACATCTTGAGGGTATGATGGTAACCAGGCAGCGAATCCTGAGAAGCCACCAGCCATCAGCAGATCAATCGTCCTCAGCTCTCCGTTGCCTCGCATGGACTGGAATACTCTTTTTAAGCTCTCGTAGCAAACTAGATGCAATGAATATGAGATTGACAGCAGATTTAATGGTGTAGATCGTACCAAAATAAGCAAATGTGCCAGGAGCATCTCTTAGAAGAGTCATTCCCATGCCACGATAGATAGCCAACAACCCTTGTGATCGAACACTCCTAATTCCACAATCAATGACACCTTTATACTGGATAAAATCATAAATATGCTGCAATGCTGAATATAAGCTGGCCTACTTACTGGCGCCTCTAATTTTCCATGCATATTGATCACACCTTTTGGATCTTGTGTCTGCAGCTTCACCTTGAGTAACTCAATAGGACAATTCAAAAACGACATGACTGATCCAGCCATTGATCCAGCAACACCTATTTCCAAAATTGTCAATGGCTTACTGCCATCTTTTTGCAACAAACGTCTGAAATAGCCATTGGACATGAACATGACAGCATTACAGAAGCCAATGCCTGCTAATGGTGGTGCTACACCTCGATACAGTCCTTTGGGCCCCTCGTGTTTGACCAGCTGCCGAAAGCAATCTGTTGCGTTTTTGTAGATGGGTGGAGAGGGTTGTGTTTGTAGCCGCACTTTGAGTGTATCCAAGGGCTGGCCAACAAGCACTTGGGCCCAGCCTCCAAATGTGCCAGCAATAAGGTCTTGTGCAAGTTGAGGTAGCTTTTGCTTGCTATCCATTTCAAAACTTGCTATATCAAAAATCTTTTGACAGTTTGAATAAAGTGATGTGAGTGTGACAAAAACCTTTTTGTTGGTTCAGAAAATTTATCAGGGGGTGGGGGGGGGGGAAGAGGAGAAAGAGGAGTTGATTTTGCCTGGTGCAACCCAACTCTATTTGAAGTATGGTAACCTTTCATTTCCGTAGTAGTTGTCAGTTATAAGCCTTTCCTTTACGATCGCTTAGAGAGCGCTGACATGACATTATTTTATTTGTATAACAACGAAAATGAATATAATCTAGCATGTAATCACTGAACGTCTTCATCAGGCACGGATGCTTGCCCAATTACCTGTTTATCGCGGCTTTATACCGGATAATGTCCTTTAATGGCTGCACTGCTTGACTTTTATGCCTTCCACAAGCCCGTAGTTAACGTCTTTTAATGTTTGTTCAGAGGTACAATACAGTAGCTTGTCTATAAATGTGCCACATCTCCAAATTACAGCCAAAATTGACGATAACAAGCCATCGTTTTCTCCATCTATAAGCCTCTTCAGACGCTCAGAATGGTACCAAACGATTTCTCTCATTTTGTGGTTACATCCTAGTATCATATCTCAAATTTTTTTTTGGTGATGAAAAATCCATCGACATTCTCATATTTTTCATGAGGGAGTAGTAAGGGCGTTTCATCAAAAATCAATTGATCGCATTTTTCATCCCAAAATCGACGTTTTCTTCTATGGTGCTTATAGGATCAAAATGATCCCACAGATGTAGCCTAACGTCTCCAGCCACTATCACGGAATGTTTACTTGCTTAAACTTGATATTTTTGCCAAAAACTGATTTTGCGTTTTTCTAAAATTACGCAACATTTTGAATGAAGAAGTTTACAATAAGTAGCACCATTCGATGCGCCTTGAAAAACGTTACAAGACTCATTAGAGAAGATGAGTGTGATAATTATGACCTATGTAGTCGACATTGGTGAAAACGTTTGTAGAATGTCCCAAAAGAGGCAAACATCGAAACAAGCTTTGGCGGAGCATAAACCTGTTTTTAGCGGTGGTTTGCTTATCATCCATTATTACACACTACCAGTTACATGGTTTACAGAAGCACAATTACAGAATGAATCCTGCTTTGATACACCCAAGGTTATTATACATATCATAGCTGCTTTATTCCTTGAAATAGAATCGTAACTATCTGCAGCTAGTTTTAATTGCAGTGACTAATGAGAGATTTTGCCATTGCATTCTACTAATGTGTATTCTCTACAAAATAACGAATTTGCGCTCACTCAATCTGTCATGGCGCAATTTACCAATAAACCTCAAAAGTTTCATTCAAGCATCTGTTCCCGAGTGAAACTCTGGCAACATTTGTTCTAGAAGTGCAGCTAAAAAAGTGCGTGCCCCAGGCAATGATTACTACTATTAAATTGGGCCCCTGCCATTCTTGCCACGAGAAAGTGATTGCATGGGTGTTTCAGGATATGTTAATTCAAATACTGCTTTCCACGGAAATAGAAGAAAGAGGAGGACTGATAACGGAAGACTATATAGTGTACTGGATGACTAGATCGCACAATGTAGATATTGTTATCCGAGGAAGAAGTCTGCCTTCCGAAAATAGGCTAATTTAATCCAGACTACACAGTTGATTACATTGCTGATTGTAGTACAGCATTTTTATACATTCTAGATGTGCTGCTTTGAGCAATCGTCATCTCCATTAACAAAATCATCGCATTGATAAAAATATGTCAAATCAGTGCCTTGTGGAAAATACCCTTGATCAACTGTTTTACCGAGAACTGATAAGATCAAAGCCCAGTGTAAAATTCAGGCTGATCCCAGATATTCCCGTTTTCTGTGTCTCAATGGACATTCAAAAAAACCCTGATTTCCCTTAAATTTTAAGTTGGTACAAAGATATGAGATCATTAGTTTATTGGGAATTGTATATGTAGTGATTTGATATGATTTAATGATTGGCGACAACACCGAATGCTCTGTAGAATTGGAGTCCAGCATCTCCAGATTGAGTAACGATAGGGGTATTTGCACCAACAAAATAGACATAGCCCTCCTTGAGTTCATAATCGGATTCAGTCTTGAGAGCCTCACCTGTCAATTTACCACTGCCAGAAGTGACAATGAGAACACTAGGTCCTTCAATTGGCTTTTGCTTTTCAGTTTCCTCAGCTCCCAATTTGGTCCAAACAACAGAAAATTCGTCAATTGGGGGATCGTAAAGAAGAGAGTGTTCGCCAAATTTGACGGGTGTCATCTTTTGTGATTCTGCAGATCCATAACGATAAGTGAGCATATTGACCAACACATCTACATCCTTGAACTTGGGTGTCAAACCAGCGCGAACGACATTATCACTGGTAGCCATGCATTCGACGCAATCTAAATATGAGATGGATCGAATGTTAGCTATCAGTTGGATCTTTTTAGGTAATACACTATTTTTTTTTTTTTTTTTTTTTTTTTTTACCTCCAGATAAGTAAGCATGGGGCTCATTAGCACCCAAGAAGATGGCTTGTCCAGGTTCCATGACAATGTAGTTCAACATGAGACACGAGAATACACCCACATCACCACCAGGGTACTGTTGATCTAAACGAATGACCAATTTAGAGACGGGATCACTGGCCTTGGTCTCGTTGAGACGAGCAATCAGTTTGGACAAAAGGTGTGTAACGGTTTCCTGGGAACTACGCATAAGTGCACTAAACACTTTCTTGAGAACTTGCTTGTTGTGAGCAACGTCCTTCTCAGAAGTTGATTCACCAGTTGCCTTGACTGTGGCCAAAAATTCCTCTGAAACGTCGTTACCGAGCAATTCTTTTAATTCGTGATAGGTTTCCATATGTTGGGCAATTTCGTTCAATGGGCGGAATCCACAGAGAGCTTCGAAAGGAGTAAGGGCGAGTGCCATTTCGGGCTATACGATTCAGCAGCACGTTTAGTATATATCGCACGCGTGTCACTTTACATGGTTTACCTTGTGATTGGGATCCTTATAGTTATCAGGGAATTCCTTGAAAAGACGAGCACCCAAGGTCTTGTCGGGATGAGCTTGAATAGATAAAGCCTTACGGATGGACAGGATCTTGAACAAGAATGGCAAATCACCTTTGTATTGGTCGTACACAGCCTTGGTACTGAGATCTACATTGTTCTTGACAAGGTCTCTGAGAGGCGTGTTGTTTTCATCCATGACAGTAGAAGGAGCATTGGGATGCGTGCCCATCCATAGTTCAGCGTAAGGCATCTGGTCATCAACGGTGGTACCAGAAGCTTTTGCATAAGCAGCGACTTTGGAGACATCACCCAGCTTGCCCCAATCATAGGACTGAGTCTTGCATTGCAAACGATAGATGGCGCTCATGATTTATAATATAAGATGTATAAGATGTAGCGTTTGAGTAAAGAAAGAGAAGGAGACATCAAACGAAATGAAAAGCATTTATACTGTTTTATTCCATCGTCAATTCAAATTCAAAATGGGAAAGTGTGGTCCAATAAAATGAGGACAGATTTGGTGTCGATATGTGTTCGTCTCTACATGGTTTCAAGCTTTTTCTTGGTCTTTGACCAACGCAATCCACAGGCATTGCAAAGTCTAAATATAGATGTCAGGATCTACAAGATCGTCAAGATGAGTAATCCATCACTTACGTCTTGGGTCCACTAGGTCCTCTTCTCCACTCTGGTGCATCAGTTGTACCACAGTCTGTACAAATCTTTGGCACGTCAGATTTCTCTACACGTTTCTAGCGAGATGATTTCAGATGAGACGTGTGATTCCAATCTACTTGTATCATAGACATATATACCTTCTTGCCTGATCGAAGCTTGTCAGAGGGCGATTTTGTTCGTTCTTGTATATTCTCTGCGTTGCTGACAATGATGGGGGTAGACATGAATTGATTCATGCCAATGTTGGTCAATTCACCAGCCTCTAAACCGAGCGAAATACCAGAGGACCGTTCTCCTAGATCGTATCTCAAACCTGTAAAAAGAGCCAAACTCTCATTGATATCGTACGAAGAGTTGACACCCTGGGTGTATACATTGGGTGCATTAGCTGGTATATGAAAGTCATCAAAATCGTCGCTGGAATTGTCATCCATGTCTCCATTGCCTGTCGTTAACGATGCAGTGGATAGTGTCTGGTCGCTGTTGGCGGAGGATTCTCTTCTGTGATGTTGTTGCTTGAGCAGAGCGAGCTTCTTCTTTAACACTTCGTTCTCCATCTTTAGATCCAAAAAGGAGTCAATTGATCGAGCAGCTTCAGTAGGCACCTTTCGAGCATTGCCAAACAAAGAGCCCCTGTAGAAAGTACCTTTGGTCTCCAACGTTGTGTATTTACCATCTTTACGCAAAAAGCGATAGCTACATTTGAAAGTTTGCATCGAGTTTTTGCAGTTGCGGAACTCTCTCACAAACATGTCCACATCATCCACATGCAGATATTCAGTGAAGGTGTGGTTGACGAGTTCAGAGGGTTTGTAGCCTAGAAACTCACTAGACGCAGCCGAGCAGAATACAAGACGAAGATCGCTGTTAAGTACATGAACGACATCCCTCAAGGAGTCCAGGATGCTTGAAGACCAGTTTTTGCGACGAGTAAATTCGCTGAGAGAACTGTTGAGGTTCAGTCGCATGACTTGTTGAGAGTTGTTTACGTCCATGGTTATGAGTTGTTGGTGTCGTAAGAAAGCCTTGCAAACAAAATTTTTATGAAATTCCCATTTTTCTTAAATTAGTTGTAGTCGTATTTTGAAAAATGTGAAATGCTACGAGTACCAAGGTAATTACCCATGGGGCCACACGTATGGAATATAGGAAGGCCATGGAAGTTTTCATAGGATCACTATATTGCCTCAAACGTGCTTAGGGCCGCTGCTGTTGGCCCAGTTTGTAGCTCTTATAGTACCCCCATTAAGAGCACCATGCTGAACATGTTGAACAGGAGCCATCTCTGATCAGTGGCATTACATCATTCAGTAATTTGTATAAAACTGGCTTGATATTCTGGCAGCCTGTGGAACACCTGATCTGTACATCTCTAGGCCATCTATACTCAAATGCAGGATCTGATTAGAGAATGCATTTGCCATCTACTATAACCCCATCTTCTCAACTGTTCTAAGCCATTGCACATCAATATCTTTGAGATAAGAGCATATAATTACTTTTATTATATTTGAAATGAACTGCTTCATATGCCATTTGCAGTATTTTGTTCAGGACATACTAACAGCCACTACCAAATGCTGCTCTGAATATTTAATGGAACGCCAATCATGGGATCCCAAATTGAATCAGACTTTCTATGATTGATTTGGCCAGGCAGAGTAGATCTTATTCGAAAGAAGCACAGAACAGCAGACTATGTTTTAACGTATGATTGATGCCAACAGCTGTACCAACAGATGTGGATCTCAACAAATAAAAAGTGCCTGTAGTAAATACCCAATGCCTAACAATGTCCGGACCGCAGGCTATCCGATTGAATCCTGTACGATTTTACAAGAGGTGTGTTATGCAGTGGAGGCAGTAGTTCTATCCTCTTTCAGCAAGGTATAAATTCATTCAATGGTAAGTAGACTTGTACCAGACCCAACAATCAGCATCGATACATAGACAAATGGATGGCTGGATGGATGATTAGATGGAACAGATGATTGATTCGACATTGCTTTATTTAGCCCAAGCAGGTTCTGGACATCAAGAATTTCCTCGAAATCACTCGTAGAAAGGACGCTAGCTGTAAGACCTCACCACACACACACATACACACACACACACACACACACAACCATCAACATTGTCTATTGACACTTTTATGATTTCGTATAGCTGCTCGTGTCAAGAAGAACGGTGAGCAATACAAGTTCAAGGTCAGATGTTCTCGTTACTTGTATACTCTCGTTGTCAACGATCGTCAAAAGGCTTTGAAGCTTAAGCAATCTCTCCCTCCTGGTAAGCTTTTAGCGGCAATTGTACGAATACATGGATTGGAAACTTATACCAAATGGTTCTTTAGCTCTCAGCGTCCAAGAACTCTAAATTGTTTGAATTCTTGTAGTCTTGTTATCTCTTTTTGACCCTTTTTTTATCGCAATAAAAGGCTTGAATCGACGTTATGTGTGTGCCGTTTGTTTTGGATGAGATGCTTGATGTGTAGATGTGGATACATAGAAGCGTTGACTTGGATATTTTCCTTGAATGGGGATGTTTACAGTCACTTTTTTTTTCATAAATCATGTTAATACCAAATGTTGCTTTGAAGTCTCTTTCTTCATCTACCATGTCAAATTTACAAAAAGCCATTCTAGACAAGCAAGTAGGGATTACATGCTGCATAAGATAATGTCCTTGAGGTTTGACATAAAATCACAGATTCAGGAGTCCAAAGTACTCAACGCAGAGTTGTCGCATTTGAAGCCTACCACTGTAAGTCATATGTGCCGCTTGTAGATGCTGTGCTTAGACCTAGATGTAGGCTCTATACGAACGTCAAGTGCCTTCATCCAATATATTCTTTCTTGCCAAAGACAATGAAGCTGTCAAAGCCAAAAGCCTGAGTAATACGTCTTTCAATCTAGCGATAGAGTTTGTCAACTGAATTGTCATGATTTTCATAGGCTTCCAGAAGGAATTGGAAAAGCAGCTCAAGTAACCCTAAATCGCTCGATGGACAGTTTTGAGCGCCAAATTTAGAAAATTCGAAATAAAATACCACCTTGCTCAATTAAACAATGCTACTCCATCTCTTTCTCGTTTATAATCTATATCACTACCTCATATGGCTTCATTACCTGATCCTCTTGCCACTGCTAGCGGCCCCATCTCAGCCTATATGAGCGGCCATGAGAGTAAGTCTCACGTTATGTTGTAATCGAGTGTTTGAATGGTCGATTCATTTGAGATATATTCAGGCGCCAATTTGGCTTATGTCAAGTATTTCGCAAAGAAAGAAGACGCTGTCAGCGCTACATTTAAGAGTCTCAATTCGCAAGGCTTCCTTGTCGCTTACAAAAAGGCGGATGGTTCAGAGCACGAGGCATTCATTGAATACAATGCTCCTGTCTCGAAACGCGAAGATTTAAGACCTGTATTAGAAGCCATGGCAAAGGAAGCTGAATCAGCTTTGGGCATGGTATGTGTACATTGTCTGACAAGCTATGTTTAATTACTCAACAGCCGTACATAGCCTAGTTCACTTGACAGACCTCCACCTTTTCACGCATTGATGAAGGCAGCCGAGATTGAAGATGCTCAAAAGGCAGAAATTGGTAAGCTCCAAGAGGATAAGGATGCCGAAGCTTCGGCAGCCATTGCTTCAGCAGCCGTTGGCGATATATTTGGTTCAAGCCCCTCCTCGGTGCCATTAGATGTATTTTATCCAGCAGATAGATTTTGGCAGTTTGCTATCGCTGTTGGCATGGGAACCACCGCATTGCTGGGCTATGCTTCTGATGAGTTTTTGGCACGACTTTTGTCATCCCCTGTTGTATCTTTCCGCAACTATCTCACGCCTGAATTGATTCAATCTATATTCAAGTGGGCATCGATTACACATGCAGCAGAAGGTGTCAGCGCTTTGCTTATTTGCTTAAAGAGAGGCTGGTACAGCCCTGAAAACACGCTCAAATGGACAGTCAGCACTACCTTGTATGGTGTAGCATCCATGTCAAAATTGCTAGGCCATGGAAAGAAGGTAAAAAGAGCAACAAAGAAGGTGAATTAATAAAAAAAAGTCTTCTTTTGTAAATGCAATATGGCTTTATTCTTGATGATGGGTGATGATTTAATGATCATTGTTTGCTGTAATAGTAAAATAAGGAGAAATGTGACCAGTATCATCCAGAAGACAAATGACGCAAGTGTTTTTTATCTCAAGGTCATCAGGAAATGACACGATAACAGAGTTAGAGCTAAGAAGAACGACCTTGGCCAACTTCAACAGTTTTGTTTAGACTGTAGTAATATAACCAGCTGCAAAACATAAAAAGGTAATTGATGTATAATTGGCTCCAGTGAGTATAAAGCGGAAAGTTTAGTATTTTGATCAATACTGGCATTAGGAGGATACTTACCCAGACATCCAGCAGAGAAGCTGGAAGACCTGGCCATGCCTCCACTGGAGGCAGGGCTTCATCGTATAATATACTGGGAAGGGATGTGGGGGAATGCGAAGGGCTTAGCCTTCTACCAAGAACATAGCGCATCTAATTCAACATTTGATAACATTGACCTATAATAAGAGGGGTTTACCGTAGCGAAGTGAAGGAGAAAACCCATAGTATCCAAGCAGCAAATTTGGTTTCTCATTTCCATTATTAGTAAGACTGCCAACAACATAACGCATCAAAATTTGCATGAAATAGCTTTAATAATACCAATATGCCTCCTATTTGAATTAGAAATTGTACACGCTGCAGAACTGCCCTACCAGAAGACTTCAGCTACCAAAGATGTGATTCATGCCGTGTAAATAACAGCTATAAGCAAAGCATAACCGAATTTGACAACTTTCAAGCCTTCATTACTTGACATGTAGGCCTTTCTGAGCCCCCCGGAATGACACCAAACAATTGTACTCGAGTAGCAGCAACTTCCTGACACTTTTGCTCAACTTTTTGAAGACCTAAAAAAAACATGGCCAAAAATCGACCAAAAAGCATGAGGTACCCCTCATGGTTTTCATCGAAAATCAAACGATCGCTTTTTTTTTTTTTGACCTTGAAGATGAAGACTTTTACTATGGCATATATCAAATCATAATGTTTCTCTCGATCCAAAGCAACCTCTAAAAATACTTTTATGAGGCTTTCATATGCAAAATATGGCTATTTTCGCTAAAAAATCTCATTTCAAATTTTACCAAATTGCTCACTAAGTTCATTCAAAACACCTGTTACAATCAGCATCATTAAAAGCACCCTGAAAAGCACTTCAAGGATGTATTGGGAAGCGTAGGGTGATCATCACAATTTATATAGTCAAACATCGCACAATAGATTTTAGAGGTCGAAGAATGACAAAATCCGTCCCAATCTTGAACAGAAAAAAATAAACTGAATTTGAATCGATTTTGGCGGCGGCGGCGGCGGCGGCGGCATTGCTGCTGACTGACCTAAATGCCTTTCTGTTGATGACAATGATGATTGCGATGCTGATTAAACGGGAATCATGGAATTGAAAGGACAATTGTTTAGTCCAACCAGCTCTGTGTCGCCATCTCAAGAGCAGCGTCCGCGAATAGTATCACAGTTCTGCCGCCAAAAAATGCGACTCGGATGGAGGATGTAGTGAACCAGAAGTCTTAGATAACGTAAATGCTGTATAAAAAATATTGATTTGTGCCTCCAAAGTTCTATCGCATCTATTTAACATTTGATAACATTGACCTATAAGGTGGCTTTACCGTAGCAGCAACAAGGCACCAGGCGGGTTATATTCCAGATACAATGCTCACAATCAATATGCCCTGATTACTTCTGCTGAGAAGCATTCTGATTACCGTTTTGCCATGGACCTCATGAATGAAGAAAGACAGCAGGTACAACAGAATCAACCCTCATCCACGCCTTCTTCTATACGACAATGACTATAGCACTACTTGTGCATTAAGCATGCATGCTTCCGATAGCATTGATAGCACTGTAGCTTTTGACTCATTGTTACTGTCATGAAGAGCATTGGATCAAAAGGACGAGCATGTATCTTGGAAAATTTGTAAGTCGCATTTATCTTAATAAACGTATCTATTTGATACGAGTGTTGAATATAAAGTCTTTTTATAGAGAAATAACGCTATTATGAAGCGTAACTGTAAAAAACTGCCATCAGCCAACGTTCCAAGGGTACTTTTTTTTTTTTTTTTTTTTTTTGTGCGAAAACATCATTACAATATCTGGCTGGATATATTTCCTGTGAGTAATTCAAAGTGCCATTGACTAAATAAACCAACTAGCATGAAAGGCGTGATGAAATGTTGGCATTATTTGATCTGCCTTTATGCTGAATTGTACAAGTAATTTCAGACTGAATTTGATAAAAGACAATATGAGGCTCCAGGCAGATTTCATTACTATCATCTCAATCCTACATAACATGGGTTTCTTTGATTCGAAAAACTTGAAACACTTAAAATGGTTTGTGTTTCGTAGCACGACGCATATCTCTTTGGGGGGTGTTAGGTTATAAATTTCGTAAACTTTCATTTTCTCCTTTTCTCTTTCTTTCAACAACGAGGAAAATGGTCGAGCTTGTCTTTCATCATCCTTATCACGGCTCCAGAGGAATGTGTCCTCGCGATAATTTATGTGGCTATTGGGTATTGTCGGGAGGCACTTTGAGGATATGGAGATATGCTCTTCTGTTTTATGGTACTAGAACGCTCTTAGTAAGAACGTCACTTACGAAACGGCTAAAGTTTCCTACTTGGTAGATGAGGGTTTAGCTGGGGGGCTATTGTCTGTAACCACCTCCATTTTTTGGGATTACAAGCACTTTCACCTTCTCGTGGTTAATCCTGTTAATATCAAAGACAGTTGGCTTTGATAACAAAGGAAAGTGCAATAATATTTGTTTCAGATAGAAAGTTTACCCCTTAATTTTACATATACTGATTTCCTGCACAAACTACTATTTGATTTAATAAATGATATGAGATCAGCTGCAAAATATGCAATGTTCTCTCTATTGAATAGCATGTATACCGTTTATCGATTATAACTCTTTTGCAGGTTAGACAATTGCCCGTGAGTAGTTTATTTACATATTGGGGTGTGTTTTAAGGTTTTAAGGTTTTAAGGAGGGCAGAAAACATAGTTTGAAACAGTATATTAGCCAATCGCTGATGGCTAGTTAATTGGATGGTAACACCACAGCGGATCAAGTGTAAAGGGATTAACACAAAACACGAAATTATACAGAGAAAAATATGTCGAGGCTTGAGATGTTATCAGTAAAATAAGAGTTTGTTTGCATACATGAACATTGTCCTTCTCTTCTGCTACATATCTCTTGACGTTGACATGGATACCAATTCGAAACAGCCTTACAGCATTTTCCCTCCTGATATTTGGGAAGTTATTGTTCCTAATCTCAATCGCAAGGACACATATACACTAGCAATCACAAACAAATCAATGTGGGAGCACATCCGTCACATTCCACTAGATAGCATCTGGATCATAGAGGCAACCCAACTCGTCACCGCTTCATTTATACTGGCAAATACAAGACATGTTCATGTGTTGATCGATGACACCTTTGAGTACTACAGTAATCTACGTCAATATCTTGGTAGATTCTATCAACTTGAAAGTGTAGCTTTCACTTGTGAAAAGATCATATTGACAGCCAGCATCGCTAAACGACTTCTACTGTGTTTACCTATGAAAAGGCAGTATCATAAATTAGTAGTGTATGTGCAACAAGGCGATCGTAGCTACTTTGAAGAGGCCATCTCTCATTCATGCAAGAATAGAGTCAATCTAAGAAGGTAATGCCAAACATCCAGACAGGTTTCATTCTAAATATTTATGTGGCGGCCATCGGTAAGCGTATTGAAGAGAAGATTTAGCATAGATGAAGACGAAGATAACGAAGAAGTAGAAGAAGAAGCTAGACGAAGAATGAGGACCCCCTCTCCGGTAAGAGAAGATGTTGCTGAACTTAGGGGCAAGATACAAGACATTAAGAGCACGTTTGGTGCAATTGGTACTCATTCAAAAAGTATCATTCCCACTGCTCTCAAAAATATCTTGCAAAAACATGAATTTGCCGATGCTGAGGAAATACTGAACATCGCTGAGACACCAAAATCAAAGGCAGAGGCAGATGCGTTCGTGGCGCTCGTCGGCGGTCGTTTCGTAGAAAGCATCGCTGTTTCTAGTAATGGTTCGTGGGCATTCATCACACAGGTCGAAGCCTATCTGAGAGGCAGAAAAGAAATAGATGATTGCGCAAACAACACGATCACGATTGAACACCCCTCAAAACCCAAGTTCATAGTAGAACACAAGAGGGAGTATCAGAATCAATGGCTCGAAGCCAAAATCTACTTCAAAAACTTTGAGTTTTTGGTTACTGCTTGCCTTTGTGGTAACTATAACGATCATGATTTTGATGCTTTTCTCGGTGCCTCTCTTGGCAATCGTTTAGCTCTCAATGATTATTGGAGAGTTTACGTTCCTCTCGCCTCCACACCAGTAGTCAGACAATCCCGATTGCTAAGAAATTTCACAAAGAGAGCAAGTGGATTCGATTGGCATTTGAAATCGCAGAGATTCTACGACAACGGTTTCAGCACCGCATGTGCTTTAAGCTTGCATGCATTAGATGGAATTGACAGCATTGTAGCCATTGGGTCGCTATTGTTGAATTGGAAAGTATCGAATCAAGAGGACAAGCAAAAGTTAAAATCTATACTTTTCAATGTAAAGGAGTTGAGTAATATGGATGAAAATGCCATATCTAACTGTGTTGAAAGAGTAAAGGAATTGTCATTAGTCAAAGGAAAGAAGTTGGCAGTTGAGATAGCTCTGTTGATATTGAAAAATGAAGTAATCAAGGACACGGATTATGTCGAGATGTTTAAAGCGTTAATAAGCTCAAGACTCAAGACGCTGAATAGCCAGGCTATTCGACAAAAGAGGTACTTGCTCCCGTAATGTGTCATATTATGTATTATTTTAATAAATATGTTAAAGAGTAGTCTGCAGTATTAGTCTTTTGACCTACTATTTTGTGTAAAAGCAGAACACTCAATATTTACTGCTTAAAATGTAAAGTGCTCAGCTTGTATAATATGCCAATACAATCTCATCTTCAACTATGATAGATCGTGCAAACCTTCTCGTCGTCAATTTTATCAGATGCTTGAATCCAATAGAGATGCTGATGGGTGACATATAATATTCAGGTTTACGTTTATCCATGATGATTCCTGATCGGCTAACTGTGATGATGCTTGAAGAATATGAGAGCCTTCTTTCTGTGCAGAAAGCTTTTTTTTTTTTTTTTTTTTTTTTTTTTTTTTGCATTACCATGGTAATGCACGGAAGCTAAATCAGAAGGCATGTGTCTGTTGCATGGTTGCTTAGCAACGGATGTTGATGATGAGGAGGAGGACGAGAAGCTGCCAATCAAAGTACCCGATGCGAATAATGTGATTGATACAGATGAAGATTGAACATCACAGCTAGCGTCGCCCATTGATATTGAGTGGACGGCTGGATAGACTTTGTCTGTATAATAGCGTCTTGCCATGGGTTGATAGGATGTACATAATGTGGTCAGAGATACTGGGCAGAAATGGTTAAATCAGAATCGAACGGTCACTTTGCTCTTGCCTTCTTGATCTTTCGTCAGGGACAATTGGGTGGCAGGCAATCAATAATACTCTAGGATATAGAGACTGATTCGACGTACTTTGGAGAATACCAACATATACGTCCTTAATGCCTTGATATGAATTGAGGATTGTGAGAGGATAAGGGTGATGATTTCATCAGACACAGTCTCTAGTAATGGTGTCTTGTTAGGTACAGCTTGATATACAATTACCATTGTAAAGAAAGAGGGATCCATAGGATCAAAGGGGCTCTTTTATATGCTTTTTGCTTGTAATACAATCACCGAGAATGGACAGAAGGAGAAAAATAGTCAAAGTTTCGTTGGAAAATGAGATGAATGAAATTGAATTATTGGAGCCGTTATCAAACCAGGAATTGACATATTGTCACTTTTCAATGTCATGATACCCCTCCATTATAGAGTGGATCTCGCTATCTCTTGTCGACGGCTTGAAAGTAACCATCTTGGATGAAAATTTAGGGTACTTGTGCAAAGGTTATGCGATACACCAGACACTGAACCATATAATGAGAGCACCCCGCACATTAGGCCTTGCTATAGTTAGAATGGCGCCACATGAACAGATACAAATTGCCAGTGGAAATGGATATGTTTGTATGGATGAATCTCAAGCAATATGGGCATTGTACGTGGGACAATGTTCTTCCAAGTGTCTTCAAGTGATCTGCGTGCAAATTGACGTTTTCTTCATCTGCTGTTTGATGTACAAATGAAATTAAATAGTGTTCCCCTCGTTCATAGTAGCAAAATTACTGTTATCAACAGGATTTAGAGTTGTAACCTAAAGCACAAAGCCAATCTAGTCAGTAATTTTTGTATATAAAAATACAAGTAAACATATGTATGGAACTCAACCGAATTTGACAACTTTCAAGCCTTCATTACTTGACATGTAGGCCTTTCTGAGCCCCCCCGGAATGACACCAAACAATTGTACTCGAGTAGCAGCAACTTCCTGACACTTTTGCTCAACTTTTTGAAGACCTAAAAAAAACATGGCCAAAAATCGACCAAAAAGCATGAGGTACCCCTCATGGTTTTCATCGAAAATCAAACGATCGCTTTTTTTTTTTTTGACCTTGAAGATGAAGACTTTTACTATGGCATATATCAAATCATAATGTTTCTCTCGATCCAAAGCAACCTCTAAAAATACTTTTATGAGGCTTTCATATGCAAAATATGGCTATTTTCGCTAAAAAATCTCATTTCAAATTTTACCAAATTGCTCACTAAGTTCATTCAAAACACCTGTTACAATCAGCATCATTAAAAGTACCCTGAAAAGCACTTCAAGGATGTATTGGGAAGCGTAGGGTGATCATCACAATTTATATAGTCAAACATCGCACAATAGATTTTAGAGGTCGAAGAATGACAAAATCCGTCCCAATCTTGAACAGAAAAAAATAAACTGAATTTGAATCGATTTTGGCGGCGGCGGCGGCGGCGGCGGCATTGCTGCTGACTGACCTAAATGCCTTTCTGTTGATGACAATGATGATTGCGATGCTGATTAAACGGGAATCATGGAATTGAAAGGACAATTGCTTAACGCAAATACTTTTTCTGGGGAGGTTTGCCTCATGAAGTTGTCTTTTGCAATGACAATATCTCAAAAAAAAAGTTGCTATAGATCTTACACAAGTCCTGTATTTACTTATGGCCGACTTTATGTCGCCATCTTATTAAGAGCATCAGCAGCAGCAAATGATATGACAATTCTATCATCAGAAAATGGCGTTTGTGATGTACAAATGCTGCATCCCAGACATGAGCAGAGGCAGTTGCCATGCAAGCAGCAGTGGTTAAGAGGAAGGGCTTGAGCATATTGATAAGGATATCAAGAATGATGCGAATACCCTAAGAAGCATATCATTCTTTATATACTTGTTGCTGCTACCTGTTTTATACTCTATTGCTTGAGGCTTGTTTTGATACCTGTCGAGGCATTCTTGCGAAGGGTATTGAACTCAATTCGTCACCAAATGCTGGATTTTGGTTTCCAACATTGCATAATGCATGTCTTTCCACTTGTTGAATTGGAAGTTTACCCGATTTTCAAATTATACACAGTTTCACATTACAAAATAGACCATTCACGGAGAAGATTATATGCTTCAAAATGAGACCTCTTGGTATTAAGTTCTGGTATCAATCACAGGAAATGTGCTTGCATGGTGATGGCTCTCAATTGAGTTTGATTTGATGTTTTCTTTTGACAGATTTTTATTCGTTCAGATAAATCTGAATTTTCATTTACAAATAGACCAAGACGTAATCTGATAAAGAGATTTTTCTCCTTCAGTTTACGCGGGAAAGATCAAGCCATCTAGTAAGTCCAGGTAGACAATAGCAAGACGATGATATAGTTGAACATACTGAAGAACGTTTGAAGGGCCCAAAACAACGCAATCCCAGATGACACCCGATCAAGATCCAACACAAAAGACTCTTTCCATTATCCAATCTGACTTTGAGAGGAGATATGCCTGTCCAGATTGCGATAAAGAGCTCTCATGTGGCTCTAGTCTCAAAAGACACCTACTACTAAAACACAAAAAGGAAATGACACTCAAATTCGGGAGAACCTTCAAGGGTGGCAGGTCATTTAGTAATCAGAGATACTATATGAAGAAGAGAAAGCTAAAAAATGTTGAAAAGACGGACAAGCAGTTCAAAAGATCCATGTTGAATCAACGCGCTTATCAAAAAAAGGTGTTCAAGGCAGAAGCAGAGACACTCAAGCAAGCTGTCATTGAGAAGACAAAACTCATCATCCAGCAATACAACAATACAGAGGATGTACGCAAGCATTTGGATGTCGCTGCCACGGCTTTAAAAGCACAGTATCAGGATAATATGTATACTGAAATGCAAACCACACTTGGCCTTCCCAATACATTTGAAATCAGCTATTCGATAGCATTTTACTTTTTACTAGCAATCGCTAATCGCTTACCACATTTCATCAACTTGGAATACAATAGGAAAGAAGTGGCTTTAGGTCTTTGTTGGCACAATATTGATCAGGACGGTGCAACTGATTGTTTCAAGTACAATGACAAGATCACAAATGCCATATTTGAGCAAATGGACTTCTATTTTTTGGGCAAAGGAAAGGCGATTAAGGAGCAAAAGTTGAAATACATGGCCTGCATTGCAAGCTTCCTCAATGCTGTGTTTACTGCCTGTGGCAACAAGCACATTCCCATCAAGAAAGACATGAAGAATCCCTGCTATTTATTGCGATCGTTGTTCAAAGAGCCATTGATTCCACTGCCACCCTCTGCAACAAGCAAAAGAGATGCACTACAAGGTGATACCAGCGATACAGACAACCTTGATTTGGAGCTATCGAATTCAATGTCTGTTTCGTCTGTAGAGAGTAACAATCCTGTCTTTATCATTCCTCCTCCTCCAATGATGACGATGCAGGGCAGCGAACTAGTGAAAAAAACAATAACATCTCCAAGTAATGTAACTGACGCTATGGGCTCATACAAAACAACATTTCGTTTCCCTAAAAACTTGCGCGATTCCCCTTGGCCCTCTTCAAACGAAAATTTGAATGATGAATAAAGCTTTGATTCCGGCGACGTTTGACTTAACATTGAGCGGCTATCCATACCTTTCAAGGGGTCTATATTGGCTATTACGTAGAGTGTAATATATTACATTTTTCCTTGAGAAATGCTCACAAAATATGTGGGCACACTGTAATGGGCATTAAGCTTGTATTCAATCGGTCATTTCAAGCGTTGCATTCTGATATACTCAAATCCATACATGGTGCAGTTGTAGAGAAACAAAAACTATCAATGATCACAATGATGTGATGAATGATACAATTACTTTTGTCATTCTTGTTTGCTCTAGATGGTACCTTTGACTAAAGCAATCTCATGGCCGATGATCCCCGAACGGCGAACAAATCCGAAGAGTACAAGCCGATACAATTAAATGCATGCTGTATACGAACCCAAATCCATGATCTTTTGTTAGCTCTCTGTATGATGTGATGAGGGATTCCACAGTTGCAAATCCGGATCTTGTAGATGCTATTAGATCATGATTAAAGAAAAAAAAAACTTGTGGAAACTTGGTGAATCCAACAATGCTCCACTTAGGCGGATTAGGTTATCAGATACCAACGATAATAAAGCGCTCACCTCTATCCACGCACATCTGTTTCTCGTCGCAAGATGCAGAGTAGCTACTCTATACTTCTACATCGACAAGCTGTAGCTACATCTCTATTGTGCCATCACTAACCTCTCCTTAGTCATGATACTTAAGGTTTTGTGTTACTGAACTACCACAACTTTAATCCTGTAGCTTTCTTCACCTCGATGACTGTTTATCTGATCGAAATGTTATCAGATTGCAATCCAGATCTCTGGCCCATAGATTAGACATCTATAAAAATTAGGTTCCATCGTTTCTATTTTCTCCTTTTATCTCTCATTGGGTACAAACAAAATGGTGTCTACTGAAATCAAGGTGCAACAGAACATTGTCTTTATTGGAGCATCGAGTGCAGGTAATGTAGCTGCTCAACACTATTATGAAGAGGCTTCTAAATGATGGTTTGTTTGTCACTCAGCCATGGGTGCATCTCTTGAATGGTGTGAAAACCACCACGAAGACTACAGGTTCATTATGATTGAAGCCAAGACTCACTATAACCATGTGTTTGCATTTCCTCGGGCCTCTGTCATCTCTGGCTTTGAAGAGCAGCTTTTCTGTCCCTATGATAACATGTTTTATGGTGATGATACAGTTGGCAAGGTCATCAATGCTAGAGCGACAGAGATTACAAGAGATTATGTTAAGTTGGACAGAGATGTACCTGGTTTTGGCGATAAAGTAGAGTATGCCTACCTTGTTTACACTGCTGGTACCCAGATTCCTGCTCCTGGTCGCTTTAATGATTTGACATCAAAAGATGAATGTATCGCAAGACTACAAAAGTATCAGGAGGTCATTAGAGAAGCTCAGAATCCCATTATTATCGGTGCTGGTGCTGTTGGATTAGGTAATTTATGAAGGGCTTACTAACTTGTCATGGCCACTAAAGCATGCTTCACAATGTAGAAATTGCTTCTGAAATCAAGGAACACTACCCTGACAAAAGTGTTACACTCTTGCACTCTCGCAACAGATATTTACCCAGATACAAAGTGAGTATGGATGTCATGATCTACAACATTCTCAAAAAGAGAGGTGTAAAGCAAAAGTTGGGTGATCGTGTTATTCTGCCAAAAGAAGGCTTTCCTTTGGAAGTGAAGCCCGTGGAGATTCAAACAAAGGGCGGCAAGACAATCAAGGGTGATCTCGCTGTAAGTTGTAGTGATACTGTATCATTCGATTCACATCTCATGCGTTCCTAATAGATCATGTGTATTGGCATGAGTCCCAACAATTCTTTGATCAAGGCCATCGCGCCCGAAAGTATCAATCCAGAGACAGGGTTTGTCAAAATCAAGCCCACCATGCAAATTCAAGATGACAACTATCCAAATATTTTCTCTGCTGGCGATGTTTGCGATCATACAGATGTCAAAACTGGTCATTATGCTTGGATGCAAGGCCTTGCTGCTTTGAATAACATTAGAAAGTTGATTGCCGGTGCTTCTCAGGATGAACTAGAGCCATACAAGAGCAAAGACCTGGCTCTTATCAAGGTCATTTTAGGAGAGGTAAGAACTAATTAGCTGAATATGCGCTTCAAAGGGTATTAATAGGACATTACAGAAAGAAGCAGTGACTCAAACTCACCAGCTTGGTCCTCTCATTACCTATGGTTCTTGGGTTGGTGGAAGATCTGTGCCTCATAATGTCTACGCGTCATTCACATGGGGTTTATTGCATGTGGAGGACCGTTTGGAAGCTATCATCAATAAGCAATCAGCAACAAAAGCTCAACATTAGAAAAGCCTTTTATTTATATATATATATTTTTTTTTGCTTCATTGACGTTAAAGTATGTAATAGTATATATTTTGCTTGGAATCATTAGAAAACTAAACTGTTACTCGTACTACATCTCTTTTTTTTTGTGATACAACACTGACTACGCTTTTGAGTAATCTGATCAGGCAATCCTTTGATTTACGATGTATAGACATTGTATTTCTCATTGCACTGCATAATACACTACGCAGAGTTATCACTCAAGACAATTTGCAAATGACAGCGTTTTGATTCATTGTTGCCATGGCTAGCATTTAGAAAATTAAGGGGAAAGTCTTCATACAGTATATCGCACTTTTTGTACAATAACCCCATGCAAGTACTCCTACCAAGGTGCTCAAATACAGAGATTGACACAGTATATCGGCCTTTTGTACATTATACATAGCTTATGAGGATGGATAGGCAGAGGTTTATTATAAAATGTTCAGATTTGGGGAAGATGTGCTAATTATAGGTGTATTGGATTAGTGAATTAGATTTGCAATGTAAATAGAAAAATTTTGGGATTTGAAAAGTAGTAATATTTTAAGGTGAAGAATAGTTTAGACCACCCTAGCATTTAGGATTAGTCCAGAGCCACAAATGTTATGTAAGAAAAGCTTACGTTTTACTGTTTGTTTTGGCAATACTGTAGTCATCAGCAATTTGCTCGTTAGGTGATCTCTCTTTTTCAGTCAATTCATGCTCTGTATCGTGGTGATCATGTTCGGTTAAACCAAATGACTTCATTCTAAACCAGAAAGCCAAAGCGAGGACAGCGAGACAAAGGGCGACAATAGACAAGATTCTCTGCACTTCACCATACGCAATGGTAGCACCATTGTGTTGCTCAGGGAAGAGGGCATGAATGTAAGTAATGTTACCAAGGATTTGTGAGGCATCAAATTCACCAGGAACATGAGATGCCAGTTGGCCGGGCAAAAGTGAGTTCCAAATAGCACCTGCAATAGTACCACCTACACTAGTGGCAATAGTACCGCCAATGGACATCAGAGCTGTTACAATAGCAAGATCTATATGAAACAGAGAGAATTTGAATGAATATCATTTTGTACATATTGTGTAAAGTTAAACATACCGCCATGAGGAACAGAGCTTTGTGCAGCAACAAGGCAAGGGACATAAATCATGCCAGAACCAAGACCTGCAATGATTTGACTGATAATAACGAATCCCAAAGGAGAAGTAGGATAGCGAGAAGGAATCATAAGACCCATACCAAGAATATAAAAGCAAATGCCAGCAAGAACAACGGGTCTATAGATCTTGTACTTTTTCATGATAAAACCACCAGCAAGTTGGGATACCAAAAACATGGCATGGTAACTACGATCAATGTAGGTAGCTTCTAGTGGGGTTGCATAACGAGTAATTTGGAGGTATGTCATGAAATAAGTCCAGTTGATAGCACGAATGGAACTGATTATAGCGCACACCATAACAGCTGCCATAGGGGTGGTGGTATCCCAGTCCGCAACAGGAATGACAGGGTGTTCAGCAATCTTCATTTCGTAGAACACAAAGACCAAGGCACACACAAAACCACCTACCAGACAGCCGATAGTAATGCTAGACGACCATCCCCATCTGGAGGGGCCAAGGATCAAAGGAACCAGGATCATACCAAGAGCACCGATGAACAAGAGACTGCCAATAGCGTCCATTTCGTTACCAATAAATTTGACCTTTTCAAAGAATGATAGATTTCGATACTTGGAGTCATCTTTGGGTGGCATTTGACCAGACTTCTTTACTGTCTTTTCAATCTTGAACAAACCATAGAGCAAGGGGATCGAGCATGTTCCTATACAGAATGGGATCATACTATAGCACCACCTCCAGGAGCTGTTTTCTGCAATAGCTGTGCCAGCAATAGGAGCAACCCAAATGTTGATCATGGCAGGGAAATCATAGAATGCTTGAAAGATACCACGATTTGCTGAAGAAGTAATGTCTATCACGCAAGCATTCGTTCAGAGTTTTGTATAGATGTGTATGTTAGATCATGCACCTACCTGCAATTAATACATGGCCGAGAACTGTGACACCAGATAGACCAAAAGCATAGATAACTTGACCACCCTATTATAAAAAGAATCATGAGCTTTTACTGCGACAGATGGCTGTACACATCAAATAAGTATACTTACGATAAGAGTGTCCATGTTTTGAGCAGTAGCTTGAATGACACCAGAGATAACATAAAAGAAAATGGCCATTGCAAATGCTTCCGTTCTGCCGACCATATCAGAGAACTTGGCATACATGGGTAACAAAATGGTTTGAACAATATAGAGCACCACGTCGACAAGAGCAGAGATACTGAGAGAGTTGAACGCACTGTAGATTTGTACCGATGCTGAATAGACCAAGTTTCCTTCCCAATTTTTGGCCCAGGCAACGAGAATAATGCCAGTGATAACAAGGATCTTGTCCCATTTATGACCAAGCTTCTTCATAAGAATGACTTTTTGGATGCCATAGAATTGATGTTCAAAACGCTGCTCTTGGTGAGAGACGTTGTCATGACCATCACTGCGCTCCACATTTGAAAAAGAATCTGATGGACGTTTTTCTACTTCCATGTTTGATTCTTTTTGGACGAGTGAAAGTAAAAAAAAAAAGGGGGAGAATTAGGATCGGGAGCCATGGTCGATCTGCTTTTTGCTTATTTATATACCAGGATCTGATTAAGGACAAGTGCAAGAATTATGGTTCTTGCGCTTTTCTGAAATTTCTATTCTGGGTTTCTGGTACGGTGTAACACCATGTTACTAGTTATCAGATTCTTGTATAAATATTGATCTCTTACATCTGACAATAGCTATACATATGTGCCCACGTAAATCAGACAATTCATATAGAAAAGGCATTGTATAAGCATATTTTTTTTCTCAAATGAACTGTAGAGCCCATGTGCTTTGCTGTGTATCCATGGAAACCAATTTGATATAGATACATTTGCCAGATCCGCGCAATTTCAAAAAAACTAGTTCCTATATTATATCATCCAATTTTGTGTAGAAATAAGATGCCGCGAGCGTTATTCGAATGACTAACATCTTTTATTTGATTGGTATGATCATCTAATTCTGCTATTTATTGAATGTGAATTTTCCGTACTTGTTATTAAGCATCTGAAAAAGCACAATCTGCCACATGTATCTTGCAAAATACAATGACTATTCTTGCAACAAGCTTTTGAAAGTCGAAAGTCAGATTATGAGGGGCCATTGTATGCAGCGTTTATTGAGTGAAAAGCATTTCATAATTAATTTGAGTTTAGCGGGCTCAAGAGGGAGGATCTTTAGAAAAGACGAAATAAACTATTAACCAAACGTGATAGCCCTCGCGCTTTTCAGTTCTCAATGCTCCTTCTTACGAGCTTCTAACAGCATCAATTACCTTCATCATGGGCATGGCATTGAATTTGCCAACCGCCCGCCAAAATTGGTTATATCTCCGCTCGATCTATCGCTCGATATTTCGCTCGATTTTGGAGCAATTTCGACTTGTTCGAATTATTTTGCCAGATTCGACTATATAAATAGTGATAATCATCCCGTGCTTTCTAATGCATTCTTAGAGCACTTTTCAAGGCGGATTCAATGGTGTTGATTATAAAAATTACTTTGAATAAGCTTATTGAGTAATGTTGGAAAATATGAAATGAGGTTTTCTGCCAAAATGTCGAGATTTATATATATCAAAGTCTCACAAAAGTGGTTTCATGGGTTGCGTTGAATCGAGAGAAGCATTTTGATTTGATATATACCATAGTGAAAGTCTTCATTTTTGGGATGAAAACCGCGATCATTCGATTTTCGACAAAAGCCATGAGGTACCCCTCATGGTTTGGAGCCGATTTTTGGCGATCTCAAAAAAGCCGAGCAAAGGTGACAAAAAGCTGCCGCAAGATGAGGGAGACGACTTGGTGCCATTTTGGCGGTCTAAAACGGCCTACATCCCGAGAAATCACGTTTCAAATGCGTACAGATTTCGCTGTATTTCGCTTATTTTCGAGTAGCAAAAGGTAATGTTAGTATACTGACTATTTGTATATAGACTTTCTCCATCCATACAGATGTGGAATGCTCTAGAAGAGTGCTATGCACAGCTATAGGTTGTTAATGGAGGTACTCAAGTAATAGTACAAGCTTAAAAATGAAATGGCAATGTATAGATTTGAAATATTGTTGAACACAGCCAATTGTCACTAAATCTGTTTCAAAATTGGACAAGAGCCCATAGAGATGAGGAGCTTATCCTTGTGATATACAAGCAGTGTATATATATATATATATATTGAATCAAAAACAGGGCTATGATCGCAGTGTGTGGAGCATTAGACAAGATGAAAAGCTGAATTAATAGATTGTTGCTTGGATCAGCTAAGTGGTCATTTTGATGTACCTTTCAAAGCATCCAGGAGTGTCTTTTCTACTGTGTGATGTGTGTTCATCTACGCTACACAGAATGTATTTCGATCACACAATTGAATCCGCCGGAATGTGTCTGTTTAGCGTTATATGCTATTGTCTCGTCTGTTGTTCTATAGCATCAACATATAAATAAACGGCCTTACGCAAATATCTGCAGAGATAATCAAAATGACCATGGTTGTACCACGAATGTGCAACAAAACATACCTACCAGGGCTTTGTGTCATTTGCCTCAGCTGCAAATCTAATTGTGGAATAAATAGCGTCATCAGATCAGCATTGAAAAAAGACTCGCCTGTACGTTTGGTATCAAAGGGGAAGACGCTTCAACTGACGTTCAATTCGGTATCCGTGTATCCATTGAATCAGTTAGTCAGCCAGTCAGTCATTAAATCAAATGGTGTTAATTTCAGTGCATCATGGGGTTTCTTCTTATAATACTATCATTATTATGCTACTTTTTTTTTACATTGAGGTCAAAAAATAAATGATGCACCCCCTTTTGTTGACCCCTTTGAAAATTGAAATCACCACATAATAAACAAAGTTTTTTCTTACTGTTTCTTTTCTTCCTCTTTCTTTCTGTTGTTCCCTTTTCTCTTCTTCTCCACAATTGTGTACATAGCATGAAGATTTCAAGGGAAGTCAAGATTTATTGTATGCTTGTCATCACAGGCGGCTTCTTCCTCGTTGAAATCGTTGTTGGATACTATGTTAGTTCGTTGGCATTGGTAGGATGTTGCATGCTGGATCCAATCATCACTTCATCTCACGCTTAAAAATAGATTGCAGATTCGTTTCACATGTTGAATGATTTGATTAGTATGTGTGTTGCCCTGTGGGCCATTAAAGTAAAGTGTACGCCACAAACGGCCAGCATCAAGGCATTTTAAATTGACCCTGAAAGTTACCAAATGATACAGGTTGCAAAGAAAACGCAATATGATCCAAAGTATTCGTATGGATGGCAAAGAGCCGAAATTCTTGGGGCGCTTATCAATGGTGTATTTCTGCTTGCATTATGCTTTACCATTTTGATTGATTCGATAGAACGATTTGTATCCCCCGAGCCTGTCACTCATCCTGTCATGGTGCTGATTACAGGCAGTGCTGGCTTAGGAGCGAACCTTGTTGGTTTGTTTCTCTTTCATGGTAAGAGCACCGGAGAAATGTGTGTGTGTGTGTGTGTGTGTGTGTGTGTGCGGATGAGTGGGTTGATGTTAAGCTTGATTTGTTTCCACATCTAGAGCATGGGCATGGACATGGAGGACACAGCCACAGCCATGGGGATCAGCACAGCCATGAACATAGCCACGGTAAGGATGTCGAATCAGTGCATGAACATGGCCATCATCATGGAGAAGGAGGAGGTCATTTGAACATGAGAGGCGTATGTAGAGTTTGAGAGCTACATTTGCGAGTGACGCTAATATACCGTTCTAGATATTTTTGCATGTTTTGGGTGATGCTTTGGGCAATGTTGGTGTCATTGCATCAGCCTTGTTTATATGGCTGACCTCCTTTGAATGGCGATTTTATTTTGATCCTCTTGTTAGGTAAGATTAACATAAAATTATTATGTGTACAACAGAAACTCAATATATTTAATAGTACATTGATCACCATCATTATTTTCATGTCGGCTATTCCATTAGGTAGTAGCGTGCATAACAAATATGCAAAATTGCAACTTCTAATCCGTTGTACATGTAGTGAGACAAACATCATTCATTTTGCTACAAGGTGTGCCCAATAGCGTGCCCATTGGCGACGTCAATGACACACTATTAAACGTATGTGATGAGGCCGTTGTATGTGTGTGTGTGTGTCGAGGGCTCTATCTAACTCGTGTGACCCATAGTTGGAAGGCGTCATCTCTGTCCATGAATTGCATGTATGGCAATTGAACGACACCAAATTGATAGCCTCACTCCATGTGTTACTGAAATCTCGTCAAGGATACATGATATTAGCTTCTGAGATACGCAAAATTCTGCATGGCTACGGCATTCATTCCGCTACAATCCAGCCCGAGTTCATTGAGGACCAAATCGACGAGAAGTATCAGCTTACGGACCAAAGCATGGACGACAGCATGGACGACAGCATGGACGATGAAAAAATGCAAGCGCATGGCATTGAGCGTGTTGCCACCGTAACCAGCTCTGTATATCAAATCAACGACGGCGACAATAAGAATACCAGCTCCAATGAGGTATTTATTATTACAAACAATAATCTGCAGCTGGCATCCTAAAACCTTAGTTTTTGATCCAATAGGATTTACATAGCTCATCAACATGTTTGTTGCGATGCATTGAGGATTCTTGTTTAGAAAACACTTGCTGTCCTCCAGAACAACAACAACAACAGCAACAGCAGCAACCATAACTCTTTTCAATAGACACTCACAAAAAGAAATTTTTTTTATACCACCTGAATATATCTCTATATCTTGTTGTTCTATTACGTATGTATTATACACTTGAATTTCTAGCCTACTTTTACTTTTCTTTTTCTTCTTCTCCATCCTGTTTGCTGAATGTCACCACCTTAATAAAATTGCCATAATCGCAACTGAGACCATGACCATTGATCGGTACTATACACCGGATGGTTGCAAACGGCAATGCATTGTAGGCTTCCTCTTCATCATCGTCATCTTGTTCTGCATCGTCTCCATCTTCTGCTGTAACCGTACTAGAACTCGTGTCATCAATGTCTTCAAAGTGTACCGCGTTTACGGCCGAACCAAGTTCTGATTTGACGTTCTTGCGAGACATTGCATTCGGCCTACTCACGGTATTGCTGCTGCTATTACGCACTTTTTTGATGCCAAAGACGTTGAGCAAAAGCTGCTCTTTTAGGTTGAGTCCTTCGTCTTTTCCCTGTTGAATTGATGCAATGTCGTCTTGCTGATTGAACGCACCATCGTCCTTTTCCAGACTGTAGGTGATGACAGGGATTAAGGCTGCATCTTCTTCTACTAAAGGCGGCTCATAATACTGCAATGACGAGAACCAGACTTCCCAATCTCCAACACTGTCATCAAAATCCACACCATGTGTCAGACGGCGACGACGACAACCAGCCAACACCATGTTATCACAGAAAACCAGGCTACGGCCAGCCTCTTGACTCAGTTTACCCAGAAACAAGGCATTTAGTGTCATTTCATACTGCTGCTGCTGCTGCTGCTGCTGCTGCTGACACATGCTTTCCGATTCCTCGCCAGACGTATACATTCTTCCCATAGCACCATTTGAAATGGCATGCAATTTTCTTTGCTTCAGTCTCACACTGACTGGCCCTACAGTAGGAGGTCTTGCTGTCCTGGCACTATATAACGGTTGTTGACGACGATGATAGTCTTTGGCGCATTGACTGCATCCCACTTCCTGCTTGCTTAGAGCCGTGCGATTTAGACGCCAAGCATGCACAGATTCATCCAAAGCGCAAGAGGCCACAAAAAAGCCACTGTTGATCACGGTATGACATCCAGGACACATGTCTTGTTCAAACTCGGGATTGCTGATGCGCGTTACCACCACTTGACTTACAGCATCGCTGTGATCTGATTTGACCAAATGCTGCTGCTGCTGCTGCTGTTGAGAGACATTTGCTGCTGTGTATGTGCCATCATCCAATGTAGTAGATCGCGCTACTGTACTGAACTGCAACAAGGGGCCACCTACTTCTGCTGTGGCCGCAGTGCTCATTTTCTTGTTGATTGCGCCCCCTTTGGATAGCGTGCAGATGGCAGTGCCTGAGTCCAGGTCCCATACCTGCACAGCACCGTCGTTTGATCCCGTCACTAGAATACCCATTCCATTATGGAGTTGTTGAGCTGCAATAGACGTAATCATGTTATGATATGTCAAAGTGTAGAGATGGGCCCATTGGCCAGGCGTTCTTGACCAACATTGGGTGGTGCCATCTTTGGATGCTGTGATGATATAATAGGTATCGGTATCGATGTGTTGGTTATTTGGTATGATGAGAGTCTGTGTGATTTCTCGTGTATGGCCAGATTCAACGCATTGAGTCATTTCACCCGTGTTGATGTTCCACTCTCGTAGTTTGCCATTTCTGTGCACTGACAAGATGCATTTCTCCTGCTGCAATGGTACAGCGTCTTTGTGATCCATCTCTATGAATAGAAGGCGAATCACACGATCGTCTAGTTGGTGCTGAGCGACGGTGAGCTCGCGAACCAAGTGTACTGTGTCGGCATTCCACACACAAATCATGCCGTACTCAAAACCAGCTGCTATGTATCGCTGGTCTTGGTCTATCTGAATACAGCGAGCACGCGGTAAGTATTTGATGTCCTGCTTCTTGTTGGCTTGCCGAGACATCAAGTGTCGATAGTGCAGTATGTTCCTTTCAGCTGCCACCCAGCCATTTAAACCACCACCCAGCTTCTTGAGTTTGTCTAGCCTAGCAATCCATTCTCCCTTGGATTTGTTCCAAAGCACAATCTTGCCATGCTGCTGTCCAATCGAGGCGATCAAATTGCCACTCGCATGCAGATCTCGAATATCAGCGACATGCATGCCCGTCAATGTTTTGATAGACACGTTGCGCACCTTATTTTTGTTCTGAAGCATATTAAACCTGGATTGCATAGAGATGGCTCCCATGTGCATGCCATCTTCGTTGTACTCGTTCTCCACCTTTTTGATCCACACGTCTGTTTTGATGGGTGTCATGGAGGACAAAATACGCAATATCAAGGTAACGATGCGAACAAATGCCTTGCGAAGAAACGGGAGCATGAACTGCTCTCGTATCCAAGGTGTCATCCACATGATAATGCATACCAGCATAAAAAGGAGTATGATGCTTGGTATATTCACGCTGCAGGCTAGCAATAGATAGGGGTGGAATGAGTCCAAGATGGAATGCTGCTGGCTGCGCTGCTTCATCAACTGACGTAGTGCCTTGAAATTGTTGCTATAGTAAGTTGTAAGCTGATTGATTGTTTGCTGCTTCTGACTCTCATCGGCTGTAGTGGAAGAGACGATCATCACGCAGGGAGCATGTACTTTGAGTGTCTCAACCGCATAGGTTGGATTCAATGCTTCCCAAAACTGTGTGGAGATGCGGCTCCATTGCTTCATGCTGGATGTTGTGGATGGAGATGACAGAGATTGTTTTGGTGTTTGGTGTTCATTAGGAGACAAAAAATTGAGCAAGAGTATAACAATACAAAGCTAATAGACGGAATTTATCAATTCTCTGATAATCAAAGCAGGTGTACACTCTCATCACTTACGAAAAACGCATTGAGAGCTCTTCTCGTCTTGAATTTACCACTGTTGCCATGGAAACGTGTAGGTGATGTTGCATGATGGTCCCTCTTTTCAAATTCCTCCTCTCCAAGATCTGCCAACTAGACGGGCATCAGCACACACACGTACACACACTCTTCCAATCGATACATACCTCTGCTCGTTTGATATCAATCGAGAGCACCGACACAAACAATGTCAAGTTTAAAATGTATGCCACAACCAGAGCGACAGATGTGAATAAACAAAACGCCTTGACATTGGGTACGTTCAAGGTGCTTCCAGTAGCCAGCACAAACAGTTCGCCCAAAAGAGTGGTTGTCATGATGACGCCTACCTGCTGCAGCCCTTTGCCTAATCTCTCCCTGATGCCAATACCTTTTTCCTTGGATATGACAGCACCTGTCAAACACAGAGCATGTTCCAGAGTAGCGGTACAACACACCAGCAACTGTAGAAACCACGGTACGACATGAATGGTTGTGCGAAAAAAATAGTGGAATATGCCCACGGTTGTAGTGTAACCTGCCACCGCCAAAAATAATGCAGCAATGCCTAATCCAGATGCTGATTTCAAAAGAGTTGACCTGGAGAATTGGGTCCTCACAATGACAAACAACCCCATACTGAATAGCAGTGTCGTTGCTAGCTGGATGGGCGACACGCTTGTCAGAGACAATGGCAGTTTCAACTAACAAAAAAAGTAAAGGTTACAGCCATAACACTATGCAAGCAACAGGGCACTAAAAAAAAAAAAAAAAAAAGTACCCTGATTTCAGATCGTTACCTTGTATTGCAATAGACAGGGTTCCACATGGAGAGGGTGCGTGTACACTGCAGGAAATTGCTGCATTGTGTGCTGCACCATGTCATTCCAGATATGCTGTGTGCTTGTTGTGTCCTTGAGTATAAATGTCAAGATGATAGAGTTAGCCGATACAAAGTGTTCCTTATCGTCCAAGACAACACGGCCCATGGTGGCATACGGGTGTAGCGATAGGCCTGTGGGCTTTGACAGATCATGTAGATGCCGATTTAATGTCTGGGCAATGTCTGTATCTTGCTCAATGGCACGTTGGTTATAATTCCACACTGCCAGAGGTGAGTGGATGATGCACTGACGATGCTGCGTTGTGGCACATATCTCTCTTAGCTTGTTGGATACAGTCAGTGCTTGATAGATAGAGAGTGATGTACCAAGCAGCTCTTTGGATAGGGTATCGTTGGTAGCATCAGTAATGCGAATCTGCCGAGCAACGAAGGATGGCTGATGCGGCACTGCTGGGGCAGCCTGTACATGTGCTGAGTGCTGCCATAAATGAGCGTCTATATACGGTGCAGGTGATGCATGATGGGAAGTAAAACAAGATGATAGGATGGGATATGACAGGAAACAAATAGAGATCAAGGAGATGAATAATGTATAGAATGGATGAGATGCACTTTTGACTCCAAACGTATAGAAATACTTTTTGGAAATATAAGAACGACACCTTTTCAAGGCCAATAAAGGCATATTAATGTAAAATGATAAATGTGATGCGCGTATAAATAACTATATGAATAGGATGGCTTTCTTTCTTTACAAAGGCATAATGTAATTTAAAAGAAAGAAAAAAAAAGCGTTTCATGAAAAAAGTAGTGTGGGTGTGCAAGAATACCCCCCCCCCTCTTCCACTCCATTCGCCACATACAACTGACAGGATTGATAGTCAACTGAAACTGAGACATTTTCATTGCTCATTTTGTGAAAAAATCCGTTTATTATCCACTACGGCCTGGTACTGCCACCAGTGAATCATAACCAGGCAATGAGCCAGAGAAGCTATAGAGTCGATTGGATCGAATGGCCGTGGTGTAGGATGGCACCCTTGAGAGATCAATGCCCTGCCATGGAAGCGTTAAACCCCCGTCTGCTGGTGCCACAGTGTTACCGATGGGTGTGCTGGGTCGGGTGTGATCCTCATCATCTGTATCTGAAGACGATAAGGTGGTGTTGGCTCCAATTGCTGCTTCGTTGGGTGCAGAGATAGCAATAGAAGGCGGTAAGTCGCCTCTGGCAATCAATGCTGCGACTTGCTGTGGATCATAGGGTGCAGATTTCCACGCATCTTCATAAGCGGGCAATGCATTCTCATCCTCCTCTGGCGATATTTCTGCAATGACAACAGGAATAGCTGCCCTCAGCTCTGCGATCACTGTTAGTTTTCCGACACTGCATGATCTATTACTTTGTATGTATACCTGAAATGTGTCCGTCTGCATTGGTGAGTGATACAGTAAACTTGAGTTTATGTTTAATTTTGATAAGATCGCATAGCGAGTCTGTCTGAACCAAATGCGATGTGCAGTCTGGCACAGGCAGTAATTCTGTCTTTGTCCATGGATCAGGGCCAGAAGCAAAATTCTCGTCCCGTAGATGCTTTATCACCCGTCCCTCCATCTTTGAATGATCTTCTGCTGATAGCGTTGTATACTCCTTCAAGACACATGAGACTGATCTAACTTGTAAATCTTGCGCTATCGGCACCAGCGCAAATGTGATTGGTATCAAGCTACCCATACTAAACACTTTGCTGGGAACACTAATGTCATAGCTTAATTTGTCAACCCAGATATTAGAAATAACCAGAGATTGTGTCAATTCCAGTGAGGATGGCAGTAGTACACGGGACACTCGAAGCATCCTTCGGTCATTGTAGTTCATGGAGAATGTGGGTCGCTCCACTACTGCTTTTAATCGATAGTACACTTGGCCCAAATCATGTTCAACACTCTCGGGAAGATCGCCAGGCAAAGGTAATTCAAAATCCCTGTCATACAACAACAAAAAAAAAATTGCTTTAGTATGTCTGTGTGTGTATCTCCCGCGTTTTCCATCCTTTCCATTAGTGCTCTGTAGTTTACCATTTGTAATGACCTTCGGGCAAATGGTATGTTTTGCGATTAGACGGTAAGAAACTCCACTCATGCTTGATGATGGTCTTTTCCTCTTTATAATGACGTTGATGAGAACCGAGACCTAGCAAGGTGGTGGTGTCAATGTGTGTATTCAGCATTTCCCGGATCTTATCTCGATCCTCCTTACCTTCAGTCCAGTTTACTTTGGCCTTGCCAATGAATTTGAGTGTGATGGATCTCACTTTGGTGGTTTCATGACAGTTGAGCACAACAGAGCCTCTCAACATGACACCAGCAGATTCATCGACATTGCCATGCAGGATGATGTGATCGTTTTCTATGTTGATGTGGAAATCTGATGTGTGAACAAGCTGTATGGGATTGGAGAGCATGTTCATTCTATTGTACAATGGGCGTTAGATGTCTCAGAGATAAGTGTGTGTGTGTGAGAGAGAGAGAGAGAAAAGAGAGGGAAATGCATTGCTCTTTTTTTTTTTTTTTTTTTTTTTTTTCTTTTCTCTTTTGTAAAATGAAAAAGGTTTTTACCCATTTTCATTGGGTGTGATTCGATTCCATTACCTCTTTGACATGACGGAAGGACGCACATGAAAGTCAGATCGAGTGGAAGGATACAACGAACTGTAAGAAGAGGCAATCATGTTGTTTGATTTGAGAGAAAAATAAGCAAAAGAGAGTATACAAGTAAGAATAAGGGCACATGCAATACGGTACTGATATATACTTGATTTTCTACCTTATGTGTTGATTTTCGATTATAAATATCAATCGGATTTGTCATATACACGCTTGAAAAAGGGTAAATATTTTAAACTCGTTTGTATTTGTGATTTCTGATCCATGTAACGTGGAATCCTTAAAGTTTACCCATGCGGTGCGCGCATTGCCAAATCAGATTTATTCCTGATCAGACGATCCTATATAGGCACTAGCTTGCATGCGCGTGAAAGTATAAATGTTGCTTGCCAAATGACGCTTATTGAAAATGCCTTGTTGATCCCATTTGTATATGATCCTCAAAATGCACATCTAAAATTTCAAATGGATTGGGCCATGTTGTACAGTGCACACCATGCTGTTTCGCCTAATCCTTATATCCTTCTCATTACTGACAGGAGTCTTGTGCATGAAATGAAGCGAGTGACCAACTCATTCACTGGATCATGGCGGGTTTAGAGGCACAATGCTTTATTAATTGAACGGACAGTAGAGTCCTCCAGCATCCGGAGGATTGACCGTTACCGTGGAAGACCAAAGGATGCCAGAAATATGAATAACAGCCTAGCAACAAAATCAACATTAGCATGCTTTAGCCACACAATGCGCCTGTCTCTACTCATGTCTACCTGCCTGCATTGTCACATTTAATGCGGGTGGCTCTGTTGGCATCTGGGGCCCACATGCATTGTACAGGTTCTTGAACGTGGTATCATTCACATTGGGAGGCTCATAGTCCACACGGAAGACTAGCATCGCTAGTGATTCCTTGTGTGGTGCGAGATGCAACGGCCCTGTACGAGACCACGCAAATGGCTGGTGTGTATCTCGATCCATTAGAATGAACTCGATATCCTTCACTCGAGTGGGCACGAAATTAGCTTGATTATCTAATGTCACATTCAGCCTCCAAGCTACTCGCAACCAAGGCTGTTGGTTGGGTCCCCAATCTGCAGGTTCACCAATGCGCTCTGCCTTTTCGCTCTTGAAGGCTAGTTGCGGTAGTCGTGGCCAGCAAAAGTAGATGATCAATCCCAACACACCCAGCGTTCCCAAGCAGCTAAAGAGGATGATCCAAATTCTATGTGTGGTGGGCTTCTTTTTGTATCGAAATTTGTCTGCGAGGGAGATGTGCGGTGAAGAGGTGGATTGACTGTGATGTAAGTGAGGGATATGGCTCACATGCTCTCCGTTGATCATGTCAACGGGATGGCTGGACGATGCAATGGTTGCTGTATCGTCTTCTTCGACATAGAGCTCGGCTCTTGATTGCACAAAGTCTGGCGCATGATTCGAGTATGGTAGATACGAGTTTTGTCTTCCTGGTTCTGGCTGGAAAATAAGCCGTGTCGTCGATTGTGGTGTTGTAGGCGAGTTCTCTGCAAACAGTGTTCTGTTTAGATGAATATCGTGCAGTGTATTCTGTGTCTATACCTATTTACCTTTTGTAGAGGCTCGTCTGTTGCGATATGGATCTGCTTGTATCGAATACAGAGATGTAGGACGCATTCTAGAGAAGGAAGAAGAAGAAGAAGAAGAAGAGAGAGAGAGAGAGAGAGAGAGAGAGAGAAACATGTCCTCCTGATTGTATCAAGTAGAATATACAAACGCATTCCCCCTTTCAATGCGGTGTGCAGAGGAGACATTGGAGAAGGGAGTATGCTATTGACTTTTGCACTGAGCCTTATGATTGAACATTTCTTTATTTACAGAATATTTTAAATAATGCGTGCTATTTTACATGTATCTTATCGTTTGATGGGTGCTCGAGGCTTGGCTTCTTCATCGTTTACAGCGTGGAGCATAATCTTGTTGACCTGACCTTCAATGGCATGAAATTGATGGCCCTAAGAAACACACGCATTAAATCAACATCTCTTCCCCCTTATTTCTGCTACACCCACGTTGTGAAATCTTACCTTGGTCCAATCGTAACTAACAGCATACGCAAAAATGTTACCAGTACGATTGAATGCCGTGCAAGCAATCGTACCTGTAGATCTGGGCAGTGTCTTTAATCTCTGCTTGGAATCTTTATCCCAGAAACTGATGGTTCCATCTGCACCCGCTGTTGAGAACGTGCCATAAATTGGGTGAAATGAGATGTCGTTGACGGAATACACATTTTTGGTTTCATCTCGATGACATTTGAAAGAGAAGCATTTGGCCGCGTCCTTTTCATCAATGTATTGAATACCCACGCGCCCTTCAATGGATCCAATCGCGTATCCCTTTCCGTCTATAAAACACGACACTGTTCTGGTTTGCCATTTCAGTGGCGATATGCACTGCTTGTACACAGTTGTTGGATTGCTCAGGTTGAAAATGTGGATCTTTCTGTCAGCAGTGGCAGCAACTAAGAGATCTCCCTTTGTATCCATGGAATAGCATCGCTCGCCTAGTTGTGCTACACCTATGGGCTGTGGTGATCTCAAATCCCAGTATTTGATGGTTTTATCCCAACTGCCGGTAGCCAAAATGTTGCCCTGTTGATTCAGGAATTTTGCACATCGAATAGGCTCGTCGTGAGCTGCTACTTGCGCTGATTGTCCAGTGGCCAAATCGTACATGCGTGCAGCCTTGTCAGCTCCACCAGACACAACAGAGCCTCCATCCTAGTGTTGCGAGAGATTAGACACATGCAAATCAGCCATGCCCATGCTTTTCTCTTTGCTTTACCTTGGACCAGTCAACACAAAAGACAGGTCCTTCATGATTGTAAGAGGCTTTGGGTATAGTCGTTCCATCTGGCTGAACTTCATACAATCGAACCTTTGGTATAGAAGTGAGTACAATCGTTCAGTTCATCGACTGCAAATACATACTGCATTATCCCAAGAAGGAACAGCTAAAATATCAGCTTGTGGTGAAAAGGCGAGTGCTGAAATGCCATCAGGAGGAGGAGACGCAACCTAAATCATCATGCGCGCTCAGAAACAAAGCTTCTCAAAGCACTTTTTCTACATACCTCAAAGTCAGGAGCTTGCATTTTTTGTTAATCTGGTTTATTAGGACGTGAAAAGAGAGACTTGTTCATTTTCAAAGCAATCGCCCCTCCATCCATCAAAGCTGAACGAGTCACGAACGATGCAATTGGAGTTCATGCAACATGGCAGGCTCATGTCCAATGCTGCAAGTCTAGCATTGCCTATAAAATTGAAAGGGTAGAGACGCATCTTGAAGCTGTGGTGTATAGATGCAAACGCAGTGCTTTGATATGTTATGCTGGGTAATTAGGGTCCATTAATCATTGCATCGTTGATTGACATCTGATGGTTCACATTTAATTCTTGTTGTCAGTCGCACTGATCGCTGCTTGGCCAGGACATTCAGTTTTTTCGAGTCTTTTTTTTTTTTTTTTTTTTTTTTTTTTTCTACAACGGACATGCCTATATGTCCTTATTCATGGTTGTTGGGCTCTGCTGTTCCGATGACATGTAGTATCAGGTGCTTAAAGGCGAGGGCTACTCTACGAAGACTACGCATTGGCAGTGTTATTCAATGATCGGTTTGCAACAGCACTAAACAGCATGGCCAAGGGCGAGATTTGAGAGTGCATTAGCTTGTATAAACTAAGAGTCATTATCCTAAGCAACGAGCAAATATTACAAATGAGAAGTTAAGCGATGATGGCCCCTCTTCTGAAAACATTATGGATTATCTCTGGGTTACGAAGGATGTCAGCGACGACGCAGGCAAGAAATTGGCTCGGATCATCGACAACGTGGCTATCTGATTGCTTATCAAAGTCGATGCAAAGATGGGACCTCTAGCACCGGGAAAAAGTAGATAACTGTTTGATGTGGGGCACTCCCAACAGCGTTGAATAGTAGTGTGTGAGAACTTGTGCTAAGACTGGACATGTCTCTCGTAGGATGCATAAGAAAACAGTCTTTTCTCTGTTTGCCGCGCCTTGTATGGGGTGCTCAAGTAAATCGGAAACATAGAAATTCAAAATTTTCACGACGTACTCTGGGTGCCATCTTGGCAGAAAAGTGCTCCTGCAATGGCCAAATGTTACATTTGATGGGAATGATGAGGCCCGCTAGCTCTTTAATTGCACTTTGATTAAATGGATTCCATTGTACATCTCACACTAACCGATCTATCTCGCCGAAGACATTTGAAATCAGATATCATAACATTTTGGTATATCAAGTAGATTTTAAACAATCAATTATTAATAACAGAAAGGTTATATCAGATCCAGGAGAAGAAAGAGTGGGGATATCTCCCTCGGTACCCTTTTGCTTATACTGATATCAAACGAAGCCTATTATTGAGACGATATGAAAGAATATTCCATTTTCTGATAGCTGATGCTCTTAAAATAACGCATAAAGCTGGTCATGCGCAAATACAGGACTTGTGGAAGATCTACAGCGACATTTTTAAGATATTGTCATTGCAAAATACCCCTTTATGGCACAAAACTTCCCAAGAAAAGTATCCGTGCTATTCAGTCGTCCTTTCAACTCCATTGTCCCCATTTAATCAGTATCGCAATCACCATTATCATCATTAGAAAGGCAGTTGGGCCAGCCAGCAGCAGCCTCCAAAAATATTTAAAGCTCAGATTTTTTTTTCTCTTCAAGATTGGACAGATTTTATCTATTTTCGACTTCTTTAATTTATTTTTTGATATTTGACTATACGAACTGTGGTTATCATCAGATACTTCCTAATACATTCTAAGAATGCTTTTCAAGGAGCTTCCAATGGTGCTAATTGTAATGGGTGTTTTGAATGAAACTATTGAGTAATTTGGTAAAATTTGAAATGAGATTTTTAGCGAAAATAGCCATATTTTGTATATGAAAGCCTCATAACAGTGGTTTCAGAGGTTGCTCTGGGTCGAGAGAAACATTTTGATTCAAGATATACCATAGTAAAAGTCTTCATTTTCAAGGTGAAAAATGCGATCGTTTAATTTTCGATGAAAAGCATAAGGGGTACCTTATGCTTTTTGGTCGATTTTTGGCCATATTTTTTTTTGACTCAAAAAGTTGAGCAAAGGTGTCAGGAAGTTACTACTACTCAAGTACAATTGTTTGGCGTTATTCCAGTGGCTCATAGTCGCCTACATGTCAAGATATGAAGGCTTGAAAGCTGTCAAATTTGGTTATGCTTTGCTTATAGCTGTTATTTACACGGCATGAACCACATCTTTGGTAGCTGAAGTCTTCTGGTAGGGCAGTGCTGCAGCCTGTACAATTTCTAATTTGAATAGAAGGCATATTGATTTTGTCAAGGTTAATTCCTGCAAATTTTGATGTGTTATGTTGTTGGTAAGCTTATTAATTTTAATAAAGGAAATGAAACCCCAAATCTGCTGCTTGAATACTATGGTTTTTCATCTTGGCTTCGTTACGGTAAAGTCCCCCATTAAGATTAATATTACCAAATGTTGGGCTAGATGCTTAGTTGCCACGGCTTTTCACCTTCACTTCGCCACGGTAAAACTGCCTCATAAGTCAATGTTACCGAATGTTGAATTAGATGCATTATGTTCTTGATGGATGGGCTTAGCACCTCCTCCAAACCCCCTTCCCAATGCCGGCTTTGCCGGTGGTTTATTCATCTTGTATGATACTCAATTCTTTAAATTTTAGAAAGGATATGATTTGTTTGTCTACTTTTTTTTTTTTTTTGAATGCTTCACAGTATACTACATGATCAAGGGACCGATGCTACAACGTGCGACCCGACCCCAAACAAATAAAATGTATATTCAATATCCAAAAGGCTAGGCAAGTTGATTGTGATTTGCATTAGTTCATTAGATCATGACTGACGACATTTTTATGGCTCATGGTCTATACGGAGCATAGAAAATTAAGCTCTGGTTGTTTTTGTGGGGAGCCATCGTAACACATGGTTTAGGTCGTAAAAGATCCAGTATCTCCCGACTTAATTACATCAACTCGTTATTGAATCAATTAGTGTTTAAAGACAGACAAGTACGAAACAGTATATGATTTTGACCATATAAAGGGAATTTGCGTTTTGATTGACAGATTTAGTAGCACAACTGGGAGAAAAAGGGGACCTTTGCTCAGCAGACTATCATACCTAGGCATTTCCTTTTGAGATTTTAAAGTTCTCGAGAATCAGACAATAAAATTCGTGGGAACTTGTGAATGAGACGCAAGAAGGCAATAATTTCCTCATTTCCTTCCAAGAGAAAAACAGAAGAAGGTCTATCAATTCTCAAACTTCCATTTTGGAGTAACAAACATGTTGATCGTTTACGACTTATTATTGGCCTTGTGCTGTTTATCTGATACAAAAGTAACACAAAAAGCAGGGCTATCATGTACAGATTATGGGACGAGAAAAAGAAAAAAAGCACATTTTATATATATATATGAAATAAATCTAGGAGAGAAAGGGAAGCAATATAGTACATGGAGGAGGAAGAAAATATAAAGAAATACAATAAAATACAATATGAAAGAAATCTATTTAGTTGGAATACAATGAGTATGGTTGTAGCCATTGGTAAGTTTGCCGTCCTTGCAGACTTCGAAATCAGACATCCAAGGACAAGCGAGAGCCTGTTCGATGGTCCAACGAGTTTCAGGGTTGGGGTCCATCATACCCGCGAGACACTCACGTTCTGGTTGAGTAAAGTTCTTGAAAAGATCACAATCACTAGGCTCCAGCTTTTGGCGTTGTTCAATGTAACGTTTGTAGTCGAAATCACCACCATCTTCAGCTTGAGCAGCAACAGCGGCAGGAGAGCCAACCATAGATCCTTGAGGAGGTTTACCACCTGGACGACCAGTAAAGAAGGAAGCAGTGAAGGGTAATTGTTGGAAACGAATACAAAAGTAAGTAGCAGCGGCACTCCACACATCCAGTGCTTTGCCATCATAAGGACTCTTGTCGTCTTTAATCTTCCACATTTCTGGCGACCAGAAAGGCTCAGAGCCACACCATTTGGTGCAAGAATGGCTGTCTTTTTCAAAACAGGTTTGGACTACTTCAGCGACACCAAAATCAGCAATCTTGAGAGTGCCAGTTGAGGTCAGGACCAGGTTTTCAGGCTTGATATCACGATGGGCAATACCGAGTTTATGAAGATGCTGCAAACCCAACAAGAGTTGCTTGAATAAGCAAGCGATATCATCAGGAGCCATATTTGGTTTCTCATGTAATAAGTTGAATACATCACCACCAGCACAGTATTCCATGACGACGCACCAACGGCTCTTTTCATCTTTGACCAGATCTAGAGTATTGACGATATAAGGGCAATTGGAGGCAGACTTGCTGATGCAGTATTCGTTCAACATACGTTTCTGATAATCACGCTCGGCTTCAGATTTATCACGCTTCTTGAATTCCTTGACGGCCAAGATACGACCACCTGCTCTTTGTCGCACCAGACGGATAACAGCAGTAGCACCACTAGCAATGTTCTTCTTGGAAGTAGACCCCATTCCCTTAGTGGAACGATGCTCAGGTTTAACATAGTCGCCATATTTGTCAGACAACAAAGGTACAACGCCCAATGAACCGCAAGTCATATCTTGAGGTGTCTTTTTGAAAGAACCAGACATCATACGAGAGAAGGACTTGCCAAACTTGCTAGCAGTGCTGCCTACAGAGCTGTTTGAGCTGTGAATAGAAGAGTTGCCGCTTTGTCGTCTTCTGTTGATATCAGTGGGTGAATTGAGGACTGAGTCATTTGGCGAGGCAGAGGCAGGTGTCATCTTCAGACCACCAAACAGGCTACCACTGAATACATTGCTGAGTCTTTTGGAGTGTTTCTTTACAGGAATGGGCTTTACAGCTTGCACCTTGATTTCGGGAGGCACCGGTGTAGATGGTAAATTTGTAAGCGATGATGATGAGGAAGAAATGGTATCATTTGATCCCTCTCTGCCGGTAGTGAGTGAAGGACATTTTGTATCATGGGGGTGCGTTGGGATTATTTCGAGACAGTCAGGTGAGGCCGATCTAGGAATAGGTTCGTCTGTGAAATATTGCCCGGAGGGACGATATTCATTCTCAAAGTAATTGTCCTTGCCACTTGCGATAGTTAAAGAAGCCATGGTTTCAGCGAGAATGTATGTAAATGTTGTTGGAAATTAGCTAATGTTGAAATTTTTGTTGGTTAAAGGTGCTTTTTCACTGGAAAAAAAAGTCTTTTGAAGAACAAGGTAAAGATGGGGTATTGTTGTAAATGAACAAAAAGCAAAAAGACAGTGAGAAAACAGATTCAATTAGAAGATCTTGGAGGAGGCAAATCCTTGTATTTATATACGAAAAGTTTTTGTGTTACGGGTTGTAGCGGGTAGGTCGGATTGGATAAGATAAGTCGGATTGAGAGAGTCTTGAGGACCAATGTTCATTAGACGAAATGTTTCGGATTCGCTAGTCAATGGGTGTTCATCAAATATCCACACTAGATCGCTATTAGACAGAAAAAAAATGCCCAGAGCCAATGATGAAAGGTAAGCTATCACTCACGCGAGATCACCTCGAAGTTTCCTTTTAGAGGTCGATGTGAACATTGTTGTTCAACCCTACAGATTATATAATACTCTTGGATGGCTGTACACTTCTACCGATGATGGTTTATATCACACGAGTCGAGATTGGAACAGACATTGGCCATGATAATATATACTCACGCATTCAATCTCAGGTGAACACTTTAAACTATAAATCATAGATTAAAATGAACCCTTAAAATCATCTTGTTTGTTGTATCTACAAACAGAATGATGCTTTATTTGTAGTGTCTAGTAGATTGCCAGGGACATGCACACTCACCATCAATCTTATTTATCAAAGGCACTGTTTCAAATGGAAAGTTCCACTCTCTAATCTTTTGCTTCCAAAATCAAAAGTATGCCACTGTAATCATCTCAGATTGGACAACAGAAAAAACGAAGAATAAACCCTGTCTATCTCTTGAGAACCCTCTTCGCCGAGTTGCTGTAGAGCTCAAGCCTACTTTTAAATAGTTGAATGAAACCATGTTCAGCGCTTTTTCCTTCTCAACATGCAAAAAGATGTGATGTCTTCTTTGACTGAGTTGACCGGGTAAAAAAAAAAAAAAAAAAAAAAAAAAAAAAAAAAAAAACTAAACGACACACATCATTACAAATGCTTCTACTTGCTAGATGTGGCAAAAAGTTCCAGATAGGAACATTTTACTCGTTTTTATCATATTTCCATTCTCATGGCTCTACAATAATACATCGACTTGTTTAAATGTTCATGTGTTGTACGCAATGTATGTGCATTGTCATGCAACATCAACAGTATTCAATAGATGCAGTGCACAGTGTAAAGATGATACACTCAGCAATGCCTAATTGAAACAGCACAGGTTGTTGCAGTCAGGCAGTGCAATGTATTGCAAATGGCGGTAGATGTTGCAGCATTTCATATGTCTAGTAGTCCAGTGTGGTCTTGTTTGTTTCAGGGTATTTGGTATGGAGCGATTGCCAATGACATTCTTATGCAATGTCGTCTGCTTCGCTAAAAAGCCATGCTATTGGGTTTTTTGAAATCAACAATCGAATCAGGTGAAATTCTTGTCGGAATCACTGATTTTCCTCTTTGTAGCCTTAAATGCCTCATTTTGTATGATGATGTTCCGTATCATATGTAAGTAAATGTATGAGAGCGCATATAAATTATTTTAGAGCCCATCAAGTCAATTGTTTACAAACAAGAGGCAACGTAAAAAAAAAAAAAAAAAAAAAAAAAAAAAAAAAACGTGTAAACCCCCGATGCTTGAACATCTAAGCAACAGTTGATGTGCTCCTGTTTGCTAAAAATAAAAACTCGGAGGATCCACTCATTTCTGCCTAAACAAAAGAGCAATACATTTCCGTAAATGATGTTATGATTTACCCCTCTTTTTTTCCCCACAAGCACTGCACTAAACTGGATCAATCAAGTCTTGTTTATTTATAAAATTGCTTACGTTACTCAATTTCCAAGGCACTGATTTTGAGTGGTTATATCAATAGTTCACGTCTATAACTTTAGCCACATTTGTCCTGCCCAGAAAAGCCTTGAATGTTGATAATGACGACAAGCCCTAGCTCTGTGAACAATCAAAATCATTTCAAAATGAACCGCATAAGACGCTATTCACTGTGAGACTAACCATACGCATTTGAAGCAAAACGGTATCGTGATGCATAGATTGCCATACAAATAAGGCTTCCCGATTTATGAAGGGCAAAAGCTACCATTCAGTCTAATACTAAAGTCAAGTGATAATGTTGATTTTCAGGGCAATCTTATGAGGCTTTGCCTTTCCATGGCAGTTTGTGTGGCCTTATGGAAGTTTGAAACGCTAGTCGCGTTTACAGAGTTGTCTAAAAATGGCTGATTTCATGATTATTGATCATTTGAGCTGTGATGGGAAGCCTTATAATCATCTTGCAAGTGAAGCTCCACTTTTAATAAACAGCACGAAAGCTTAAAGTATAGCAAGGTGCTTCAAATGGAGATCATGAGGGGTTCGAGTTGATCAAAGTCATGATCTCGGTCGTGTTTGCCAGCAAACTGCCGTTCCCCAACGAGACTCTTTTGATTACAGGTTTAAAGATACAAATTTTACAGTTTAGGTTAAAAAGCAATTAATTTTATTGATTTAAAGGTTAATTATTACAAAGTGTACAGGTGGATACCTAAAATGTAAAAGCTGTTAGTTATAGGAATATACAACATCAAGTAGTATAAAGATGAAAAAGATGCGTTAAGTATCAGAAATTTGGGTATAGCTAATTCAATCTTCATTGGTATCAGACTGACGTGCAAATGTCTTTGAGTATCATCAGTAGCTCAACCGCATCCTTATATCACCTCTATACATACTGAATAAGCCTACTTTACCTTTACAATGAGTGTAGTAACAACTTTGATGAAGAGGAAAAAGAAAGAAACGGAGCAACAAGCTGTCATTTTATATCATGATTTAGAAAAAATTTATTGCAATTGCATGTTTAAACAGTCCAAATGCAGTGGCTTTTCAAGGCTGTGTTACTGGATCCAGGAACAAGAAGATGAAGGAATCACACAATTCAATCGTTATTTTCAGCTACGTTGATAATTGCAGTATCCTGTAATTGATTTGACAGAATTAGAATCATCAATATCTACATGGAAAAAGATGCTACCTCGCCAATCTTAATCTTCTTATCAAACACATCTACAACATCTGTATCATACTTCTTTGAGAGCTCTACGTCAATCGTTAATTTTTCTAGACGGTATGGCTTTTTTTCCATGTTTTGCTCGAAAGGATCATCCAGATTCGCTTTCTTTAGTATTTGAGATCTGAAAATGTCTGTGGTATAGAGTTGATTAGGCTGCTCCAAACTTGAATGCATTATCTGCACATACCATATTTCGATTCACTGATGGGCGAAAAACGAATCATGTTATCCTCTGGGAAATGATCATAGAGATACGATTCTGAAATGGATAATTCTGCACATTGCTTGGCCAACTTGGTAAATGTTTTGATGTCTGTCCTGTACAATCGATAAGGCTCTTTCTGTGGGCAATGTTTATCTACCAGTCTATCCAACACTGCCTTCTTGAAGATGTTTTTGATATAATGCAGCACATGGAATATGTAATCCTCGCATGGTCTCCATGTTGGAAACTGCTGCGTAAGAGAGAGGTTGCCTCCACTATCAATCAAAGGATGAAACATGTCGCTGATAAAAGTGACAGATGGAGGGTATTCTGGATAGGCTTCAGGAATGGCTACTCTGAATTTGAATGCGCCTGAGCTGTAGTAGCCTTGATGCACAAAGATAACACCGTACCACACTGTAATAGTCGTCCTTCAACAAAGGTCTTTTGATGCTCGTATATGTTCTTACCGTTAAAGTTTTCTGATGAGGGCATAATGTAAAGCCCAAGAGGGCAATGGTTGGGGTTCTTCAAGTTGATGCTAGTCCATAAGGTGGTTCAGTTAGTAGGTGGTCTGCTTTAGGATACATGCAACACATCATACAACTCTGTCATCAGCTCGTACTTCTTGTAGAATTCTGATGTTGGATACGGTGTGTATGTGCCATTGATATCCTCATCGCTCCATTCATCTCCTGCTGCCGCTGCCCCTGAAGAAGAATATCGATGCAAACGATGTGGTTGTAACGAAGGTGCCGTTTGATTCACTTTGTTCAAGTGAGAAAATACATTGCTAACGTTGGGCGAGCGTGTTGTACTGGTCAAGCCGCCTATCTTTCTAGCGCCAGTAGATGGTGATACGTAGGGTCCCTACACGTCTATCAATATATGATTATTTGTTTTGATAAAGATGATTTACTTTTGTCATAAAATTTGAATGATAAATGCAAGGCTTTTCTTATACAACAGTGAAAAAGGAGAGAATAATGCTTTCGTTTATACATAATAATAGGGGTAAAAACTGTGTTACGTTTTGAAACACTGTATTTGTTGTTGCTCTGATGGAGAAGAATTGCTGTGATTGATCCGTGTTTGTCAGCTGCTAGCCTGATTCTTATAGCTCCTCTGATTCAACTGGGTCACTGCTGATTGCAGCTCAATGGATATAAAGTTTGGTATTCTCCCCTATTTATCATACCTAATTCATAAAAAGATATTCACGAGTATCCTATTGAATTAGCTTGAGTTTTCACTCTTAAATCATCCAATAACACTTGAATAGGTTTGATTAACTACTTACAGCTGTGGATCTGACTCCCTTGGAGTGCTCTACGCTTACATAAACGGGATCAATTCATATACAAACAGGCAGCATAATTACAATACCACTTATCACTCAAAAGTACGCAAAACACAGCCAAATTTGAGCGTATTTGATCAGCATTTTCTCGCGCTAGAGGCTCTTTCAGATGGTGAGAATAACGCCAAACAGTTGCTTTCAGCTAGCATTTATTTTGCTCAGCTTTTTTGGGACCAAAAAAAACATGGCCAAAAATCCATCAAAAACCATGAGGGGATACCTCATGAGCATGGCTCTTTCCGCTAAAAAAAAAAACAGAAAACAGGTTCAACGACCGAAAGTAGTACCTCCAAGGCTACAAATACCGTTGTTGACGCATCATGGGCAAAGATAACGAAGGGCATCAAGCATACAACGATGACCTTCAATCCAACGATCGTAAAGACACCCATCACACCTCCCACCGCCACCAGTGAATCGAATCAGTCTCTGATGACCGAGGACGCCACCGTCAGCAAAAGTGTGGAAATGGTTCGACCCTTCCTCAAGGGCATTGAAGACAACTCGGTGCTCATCGACATTACAGGTTTGCCTAATCAACAGCTCTTACGAGAGGCTCTGCAAGCATTCAACAAAGATGCTCATCTCAGAAAAGGCTACAACGATTATATCGGCAAAGTATCTCGCACTCGCAAGTATATGAATCGAGAGATCATGGAAACATGTTGGATCCACGACAGCCCTGGCCACATCGCAATCCTGCAGGGCTTCAATCTGACGGATGAAGCCTTTGTCAAGGGTTTCCCCTCTCTTCCAGCTAATGATACTATAGTTAATGTTCGTTTAGACAGACTACCCATGGAGCCAGTTCCTGTCCTGAAATCTTTGATCAAAGATAGACTGTCACATTTTGGAGAAGTCTTGGGCTATGGCATCTCCTTCACTCAGGGCGACTACGTCGGACAAGGCTATGCCACTCTGAACATCACCCCCAAGCCAGACGAACCTGCGTATGAAATCTTGGATCGAATTATCTACTTCAGATTGGATAATGGCACCAACCGTCAGGTCCTTCTCAAATGGCAAGATATGCCAGATTTTTGTCGTCTCTGTCAAAAACCGGATCATTGCAAAGCCGATTGTCCTGATGCCAAGAGGTACACGCAATGCTACAACTGCAATCAACATGGATATGTCAGTCGCAACTGCCCTAGACAGGATAACACTGACACCCCCCAACAAGAAGCCCACTACGATCTCCAGGAAAGATCGCAAGGTACCTACTCCCATCATTCCCCGAGAGCCCAACCCTCCCATTGGCCCTAGAGTGGTAGTAGTCAAGACCCAGGAAACCACAGACACTGAGTCAGTCAAGAAGCAACAAGCCTGAACCCACCAAGGAGGAGGAAGAAGGTACTGATGAGGACAACATGAATATTGATTCTCCCGCTCCTCAACCCAAAAGTAACAATGATGGCGTTACACCAAATGCATATGCTGCGAGCGCACAGACATCTGCCAACAACACGCAAACATTGACATCATCCAATGCAGCTGAATCAACTCTGAATGGACAAGAGCTGATCAAGCAATTTATGCCTGGTGACAGTATGAAGGAGCCTCTCATTCAAGAACGACCAGATCTGGAAGATGGCAGAGATGGCAAAAAGCTCAGAATGGAGCAGGAACAGTGCGCCTATCTCACCAGGCGCTTCACCAGAGGCAGCGCAGCCAGCAAATTCAACACTGACACCGACAAGGACGGCAAAGGAGCTTCAGACAACTCCCAAGGGCAGGAAACACCAGAAACTGCTCAGTCTAACCCTCAACACTTAGAATAATATGATGATTAGAGCACCTAATCATCGATTGCGGATTGCGACTCTCAACTGTCGTGGTCTGACACACAAAAACACAAAAAACGCAGAAAAAAAAATCCATAAAATACCTCAAAACATCAGACATTGATATTCTTGCCATCCAGGAATCTCATGCTGACAAAAAAGATACTCAAGACACTTTAGATATGCAGTTTTCCAGCAAGTCCAGCGCCTACACCAAACATTGCGGAATCATATCACTTAACAACAGATACATTATTACACCCACTGACACTGGCATCGATGATAAATTTATACTAACACACGTACATTATGCGACGGAAGAGGAACCAAACTCCTCCAACTCCATAGCCACAATACTCAACATATATGGAAAAGCAGCATCAAGAAAAGACAATGTGGAATTCTACACGGAATTGATGCAACACAGATTCTTGATACACAAGATTACAACTATTCAGAACAACATGATTATTTTGGGAGATTTCAACTACAAATATGAGTCTCGCCGATCTAATGGAACAGTCGAAGCAACTACAGTCGAATGGATAGCCTTATTGGAGGAACATTTCATCGATTGCTTTTGGGAAAACAAGAGCGCCACTTTTCATGGATCCAACAATCTCCATTACATCTTGGACTACATCTTCTGCAACAACACTTCCTATGGAACAGTTACAGAGTGTACCCAGGAGTTTATGAACTCGACATGGACAGATCATGAAATGCTGGTCATTACTCTACAACTGCAAAAGGATGCAACACAGGGGCCTGGCGCCTACAAATGCAATCCCTTTTTGGCCAACAACCACAAGTTTCGTCGTGAATTGGTGATCTTCTTGCAAGGTCTACAGCCGCAAGTTGAGCTCAAGACAGCCACCCAATCCCCTCAAGAGATCTGGGACTGGATCAAAGACGAGTTTAAGGAGCATGTCCGACAATTCCAACTGGAAGAAGTCAACTGGCGTAGAAAGGCACTGAAGACGTTACAAGCAAAACGGAATCAGTGTATGCGAGCAAAGAAGAACCGGGGACTGATATTTCAAGGGCTAGACACCATCAACCAACAAATTGGTGCGTTACAAGACTCTATCGCCAAAATTGAAGACCTCAAATTAGGGAGAAAATGGAGAGAAAAATGCTGGGTTCTTGAAGAAACTCACCGTATCTAGACAGAATCAACGTCAATTGAAACAACTGAGGCATCCAGTTACTCAAGAATTGCATTCTGATCAAGGTACTATGAGCGAGATCGCTGGCAGCTTTTACACGAATTTGTACACACCAACTCCACCCGATGCCAGATCAATGCGGCTATTGTTGGATCAAATCACACCTGACATGCAACTTGACGATGAACAGCAATCACTCCTCGAACTACCAGTAGAGCTAGATGATTTGTTGTTTGAATGTAAAAGATCGCCTAAATTTGCGTCTCCCGGCAGCGATGGCATCCCTTACCAACTCCTCCGGCTGATTCTCAAGTTCCCACCCCTCCACTCTCTCATCACCACGGTCTACAAGAAGAATGACCCCAATGACATGGCAAATTATAGACCTATCTCCCTCTGCAACACTGACTACAAACTCTTGACACGTTTGCTTAATCATCGAATGATGGAAGTCGCTAAGCAACTGATCAGCGAGAACCAAGCGGGCTTCGTACCTGGGCGGTTCATTGCCCAAAACGCTCTGCGGTGTCAGGTCATAATGGAAGATGCTGAACGAACCATGAACTTGGCCAAGAAGAACAATGTGATACACCAAATGCCCAAAGCAATTGGCCTTAGTCTTGATCAGGAAAAAGCGTACGATCGAGTTAACCTCTCGTACCTTCAAACTGCACTCATTACTTATGGCTTCCCTGCTAATCTTGTCCGCTGCATAATCAACATGATGGGCCAAAATCTCTTGCGCATCAATGTGAATGGTTACTTTACTGATGATATTCCCAAGCTGCGAGGCTTAAAGCAAGGTGACCCCATTTCCTCTATTTTGTACAATTTGGCTATTGAACCCTTTCTGCGGTCTATTCTCAATGATCCATTATACCACGGCTATCAAATGCAGTATGCAACTGACCATCCCAACTATAATGCTAATGACCCTTTAGTTCATGTGTCAAAAATCCTATGTTACGCTGACGATGCTTTTGTATTTGTTCAAGACCTTCCTGATCTGGCAAGACTCGAGTACCACTTAGATGTCTATTGCAATGCAACCAATGCCAAGATTAACTACAACAAGGTCGAAGCTATCTCGCTCTCTGGTCAAAACACATGGTCATATTGTCAAGCACAACTCTCAGAAATGAATATCACAAAATTCACATCCAACATGGATTCCAATCCAGTGATCTATCTCGGGTTTCCTCTGCTGCAATCGGTTCAACAACGTGAAGTATTTATCGGTGGTCTTGTCGACAATCTCCGGACAGCTACCAAAATCCACAGTGCAAGAAGTCTCTCCGTCGTTGGCAAAGCTACAGTGCTCAACAGTTTGATTTTGTCCAAATGCTGGTACGTACTACGAGTAACTCCGTTTGCTCAAAGTAATGTCCAAGCTATCCAGTCCATTTGCACCAAGTTTCTACGAAAAGGCATCTTTCCTGTTATCCCCTGGGCCACATGGACCAAGCCGAAGCCATTAGGTGGATTAGGTGTTCTGGATGTTGCTCTGCAACAATCAGCCCTATACTTTCGTTGGGTTCAACCGCTCCTCCATCCCTCTGACTAGCCCCACATCCTAGATCTCATGCTGGTCATGCTAGTGAATAAGCAAAATCAGAGTACGCATGTGCAGGTTCCGTTGCTCTTTCCCCTCACACGAACCACTGGTCTCACCAAACAACGCACCAACACGGTAACAATGATCTACAAATCAGTTGACCGCCTCAAACGCATCCACGAACCAGTTCACCTCAACATTGCTACCGCCTTAATCCTACCTGTCAAAACCATTCAGCAGCCGTCTGTTATTGTCTCCAAAATGCCGATTAGGGCCACTCAGTTGCAAGTAAAGGATCTCTATCAACCCAATCCTGACCAACCTCTGCAACTCGAAGCACGAAAAGCACCAACCATCCCAGCTGACATTCGACGCGCTTGCAAGAAAATCCTGAAGCAAATCAACGAGAACAAAGTACATATCCAACCGTACTTTAACCTCATGCTACAACCCCCTCAGGATGGCACCAACCGCACAACCGACATCTCCTTCAAACCGTTCATTGACTCCTATGACTTCAACAGCCAGCAAGGCATCACTCGACAGATTTCAACCAGAACATTCCGCACAGCATGCATCGAGGCTCACACCTCCAGCATCGCCAGGTCCAACTGGAATTTCTTCTGGTCTCTGTCCCTGAACCTTGTCCACCGTAATGTCATCTATCGCTTCCTCACCCACACCATCCCGACCAAACGCCTGCTACACTACTTTGAGATAGCTGAATCACCTCTCTGCCCGATCTGTGGTAACGAAGAAAATGCTGTACACTTGCTTTTCCTCTGTTCCAGTAAGGTATCCATCTGGAAAGCTATCATCTTTGAATTCTTGTGGCCAACCGTTTCGATTGGTGATGTTATCCAAGCCTGTTCCTCTCTTGACTTTGAAAACATCAAATATGTCTCCAAATCGTACACCACTGCTCACATGGCCGTACTGGTAACACTGGGCAACATTTGGCGAGCTCAAGTTCGTATGATCTTTCACTCGACTCCATTTACATGGATCGATGTGGTCCAGCAGATCAAGAACGAGCTCCTTCAACTACATGCCCAAACTGAAATTCACAAACAATTGTAATTCTCTAATCACAATTGTCATCTATCATCTGTTCCTGTCATCTATCGCTTAATCTTAAATATAATTGAATATCATAACAATTGCGCCCGCCTCTTGGTAGTGCCCTAGGGACCTACTTACACGGAGCAATCAATGAAAACAATTTTTTTTTTAAAAAAAAAAAATACCTCATGAAAATCATCGAAAATCAAACGACCGTATTTTTGGCCTTCAAAATAAAGACTTTTATTATGGTTGATATTAGTTCAAAATGTTTTTCTCGATCCAAAGCAGCCTTTGAAACTTTGTTTATGCTATGTTTCTATGGAAAATGTCAACATTTTTGCCAAAAACCTCATTTCATATTTTTAAGGATTGCTCAATAAGCTTGTACAAAGTGTCTCTCATAATTAGTACCATCAGGTGCGTCTTGAAAAGTATTTCTAGATATTTTTTTTTAAGGAAGATTATTGTTTTATTAATAAAATCCTTTGTTTAAAGTCCTATTAACGTACCCAAAGTGGGGAAGAGGATAGTAAGACTGGATATAAAGTGCTTTGCTATAGAAGTGCGTGAACGTTGTCTTGTGAATCTAAAGTATATTTCTAGATATCTTAAGGGTCCATGGCATGGTCAGCACAATTTGTATAGTCGAATCCTGAAAAATAGATGAATCAAGCCGAAAATAATCAAGATCTGGCCAATCTGGCACCAACCTGGAGTAGAGTAGTAGACGAAATTTGAAATTATTTTGGCTGATGAGTCGATTGCTCACGAGCAACTCATGTGTCGCTTGTTGGTATGCACTATGAGCGCGTGACTTGTAAAGGTTTTGTTCAAAATGAAACTTCGTTGTTGCACTTTTTTTATCTTTCTTCATACCTCATTGTAATTAAAGTTATCTGTACATGCATCAGGCCACTGACAAGAATCGCAGTGTAAAGGTATTTGATGGAATTATAGAAAAGCATGTGTTTATAAAGACTAATCCACGTAAATTTGTAGACTTTATCCTACAAGCAGCTCAAACACGAGTTTGATGTTGCCAGCTTGTTATTTTCAGGAAGAGAAACAGACAGCAACTGGGGAACGAGACAAGCATTCTTTGCAAAGACCAAAGCATTTCTCTCGTCAGACGATGCAAAGACATATAAGAAGGAGCTTATTGACAAGATACATGAAGTGATTCCTGGAGTTTACAAAACTGTAAGTATTATCAATCTGCCCTGATTTTAAAGCATTACCAAGTTACTAAAGAACTTGAAATTCAGATCAAGAGTATCAGAACCACACTCATAGAAGAAGCGCTCTCTTTAGTAGAAGCTATTGGAACTTATGTGGGTGATTCCATCAACATGCACACCAATGAAGCTATCTTGCTATTCTTGATGAATGAAAGCAGTGTTACAAAGAAGGCCACTGCATTAAGAGCTTTTGAGGCTACCAACAACTATTTGACAAGAATCAGATTTCGCCCAAAGGTGTTGACCATCTTGTGCACAAAAGCTCAAGAGAAGAATCCTCAGCTTCGAGAATTCGCCCTTGGTTATATCAAGACAGTGCTTTCCGTCCATGGACCAGCCAACAAATCAAAATTCATTGAACACGCCAGCTTGGCTCAAGCTGTTGCCGACACTCTTCAAAAAGGTTTGGTCGACGCTGCTCCCACTGTCAGGTCGGCATGCAAAGAAACCTATTACGTGTTTGAGGAACAGTTGCCTACTGCAGCATACAATCTTGCTAGCAAACTGGACATCACCATTCAACGTCGACTAGGCATCAACATTACCCAGCTATCATCTACTACAAGTAAGCCAGCAAAACCTCTTCTTCATCGTACATCAAAATCCACAGCAAGCACCATCAAGAAGCCTACAAGCAGTATGAGAATTAACAGAGCCGCAAAATCCAATATTAAAGCTGCTATGCAAAAACCATCTAATTCAACACCCTCAATTGCTTCCAAGTCTCATACATCCGGATTCAATTTGCCGAATCATCATCAAACAATGACAGAGCCAGCACAAACACCATCTTCTGCGGCCATGCCTTGTACTGAAATAGATACTGCATTGAACACTACACCAAGCACTGAATCAAGTTCTATGACAAGCACTCTATTAAGCACTGAGCCAGGTTGCATGATAAACACTATACTAAGCACTAAATCAGAGACAATCATGAGCATGGTACCAAGTGCCGAATCCGACTCTATGATGAACACTTCACCCAGCGCCAGTTTAGATAATATGATGAGCACTGCACCCAATACCACACTCATCCTGGAGCCATCATCAAGCACTACAACTGATTCGCAAAAAGTGTCACCACAAGAAAATGACCTGTCAGCAAGCGATCCACAAGCATTGCCGCCAAATTCTGAATCACAAGAATTGTCATCAAATTTCAATTCCCAAGAACTGTCATTGAGCTTTCATCCACACGAATTGCCATCAAGCAACAGCTCACAAGAATCAACAGCAGATGTCAATCCAAGGGAATCATCATCACAGCCTACAGAAACATTATCAATTGCGGCAAAAAATCTTCCTCATTCAGTGAAAATACCATCTCGTCGTGAATCAGGAGTAATGCCTTCACCAACGTCACCTTCTAGCAATGAAGGATCCAAATCACCCCTACATCTCACAAGAAAGACATCAGCCGGATCTATCAAGAAACCTGTGAGCCCACATAGCATCAGCAAAACAGCAAAAGCGATCAAGAACTCTCGTAGTGCAATGTCACCTATATCCAACACTGAAATACCAGCCAGAACCAGCTCTGTGTCCAACACAACATCAACCGTAACAACTGCAAAGCAGCCCCGTCAATTAGACCTTGCAACTCGACGTCGCCTAGGTTTATTGCCTGCAAGGCCCGTGCCAAAATCTCAAGCATCACACACCTTGGCCAGTAATGAAGAATCCAAATCACCCCTACATCTCACAAGAAAAACATCAGCCGGATCTATTAAGAAACCTGTGAGCCCACATAGCATCAGCAAAACAGCAAAAGCGATCAAGAGCTCTTGTAGTGCAATGTCACCTATATCCAACACTGAAATACCAGCCAGAACCAGCTCTGTGTCCAACACAACATCAACCGTAACAACTGCAAAGCAGCCCCGTCAAGTAGATCTTGCAACTCGGCGTCGCCTAGGTTTATTGCCTGCAGGATCAGCTCCAGAACCTCTCAAACTTGACAATCTGCCATCACCATCATCAACTCCCTCTACCAGCAACAAAAGTCCACGACCCAGATTACGAAAAATCGGTGGTCTGTGCCATAAATACGATCATATCAAATCCCGTTACAAAGATATACCCAAACGCAATTAATTAGTCATACTGTAAATGAAACAACCATGTTTAACAAAGCTATAGCCTCCATTAAGAGTACCAATAAATAAATCAAACCGTCAGGCATCTGAGCATTGAAAAATGATATAAGCTTGATCCAGCTGCAAGTATGATCCCGCCTACTAATAGCACACGGAGTCTGTCCCTCGTCTCCTCTCGCCGTCTCACAATCCCATTGTGATTGCATGAATAACATGGCAAATCAACTCCATGAACAGTTCCACGCGGGCTCGAAGCACAATATAAATTGCAGTTACACATTGATTTAGCCCAAATGATGATGTAGTGCGCATTGATTTGATTCAAAATACAGACATTTTTATTATATTATACTCGCACGATACGAGACTACAACAAGAGATGGATCGGAACAAGCAATTTAGAGCTTCTCTTCCTTGAGACCATCCTTGAAGAAGGTGAAGTAAGGAGTGACACCATCTTCACGGTAGTTCAACAAAGCAACCATGCCATCGGGATCCATGGACTCACCAACATAGAATTCGTAATCCTTGAAGTTACCCAAGATCTTCTTGACAAGGGTGGTGGCGTTCTTCTCAAAGACAGCAACACGCTCAGGGTTGGTCTCGTTCAACTTGGCCTTAAGAGCCTTCATGTAACCCTTGATGTAACCCATATAAGTCTTCTTGTCGAAGCTGGAGGGAGTGAGACGGAAAGAGTAGACTACGTTGTTGACGGTCTCAACAGTGGCATCAGCACCCTCATCATCACCACCTTCAGCGGAAGGGTTGGCACCAATATCAATATCACCTTCAGTGATGGTGATCATCTTACAGTCGACTTCGTAAGCGACATCATCGATTTCCTTGATGGGCTATTGTAGAAAAGCGTGTGAGTCAACATGAACTGGCAATCTAAGAGTATGATCAACCTACGTAGGCATCAGAGAAAAGTTCGTCACCTGTAATAAACACATGAATCAGTCGACTGTGCTATAGATAATGATGGATGGCAACCTTACCAGTGAGGATATCTTTGTACAAGAGCATATTGAGTGATGGATGGAAGAATAAAACTAGAGATGGATGCGCAAAATCAAAAATTGCATATGATATACTGTTGGGCTGGGGGGGGGGAGGGAGAGAGGTTTTCAGATCCCGGACATTTTGTTGGTTTCTTATTTGGTCGTACAAATCCATGTCCAATCTTCAAGATTCGATACAGTCTTCTACAGAGAGACTGGTGCTCTAGTATACAAGTATGATGGTTTCACACTATTGGTAGTGTAGATCATGGCTCTCTGTCTCTGTCAGAAATGCACGCCATTCAATATGTTGTCAGCCAATCATGGCTTTGTGCATCGCTAGGCATGGGATCTAGGCATTTGTTATCATCAACAGCACATTTCAGTGGCTATCCACCTTACTGAGCGACATCTACCACAGATCAGACATGAGGAACACAATCAACCGGCTGTGCAAAACAGCACGCTAGGTGTACTTGGCAAACGAAACCAGATAGAATGAAATGTTACACTTCTGGATTTCAATAAATAGTGGGTCTTGCGACATTTGAACACTTATAGCTTGCTGGAGCAGGTTAAAAATAAAAAACAAGTGCACTGGAGGTTTTCCTTTCTTTATTTCCTCTTTTTATTAACTGTTGAGCCACACACACACATACACACACACACAGATAACAAAATGACCAAGATATTGATTGGTTTGCTGGCTCTTTGTGGCCTCAGTCAAGCCATGTATTTGCCTGGTGTTGCGCCCAACGATTACGATCAAGGCAACGACGTACCTTTGTTCGTCAACTCACTCACGCCCATGTCCAACCAGCAAAAATCGGTTTTATCCTACGACTATTACGACGAACGCTTCCACTTTTGCTCGCCTGAAGGTGGCGCCAAGAAGCAGGCTGAAAGCTTAGGCTCTGTGCTCTTTGGTGATCGCATCTTTACCTCTGCATTCAAGGTAAGTCTTTTAGAGAGTAATCAAGGCACAGCTCTATGGATACTCAATGCAGACCCATAGCTTTCACTCTTGAACAAAGAGCAGGATAAACTACTATGCACATCCACACCTATTCCCAAAGCAGATGCTGACTTCATCAACGAATGTATCAAGAACGAATACGCTTTGAACTGGGTGGTCGACGGACTACCAGCTGCTCATCTCAGCAACGACGAACGCACAAACGAAGAATATTACAGTATTGGCTTTGCTCTCGGTAACAACAGAGGCGCCGTGGCTGAGCTGAACAACCACTATGATATTACTGTTGATTATCATCACCGTGAAGATGGTAAATATCGTGTTGTTGGCGTTTTGGTATCTCCTGTAAGCAGAGCTCAAAAAGTAAATGAGAAGGGTGTTGTTGTACCTAGCGGCGGTCCTATGGTCTTGAAGGGGAACGATCAAGTTGTGCATTCGTATAGTGTGAACTGGCAGGTAAGTCAGGAGAGAGAGAGAGAGAGAGAGAGAGAGAAAAGGGCAGAAAGAAAGTTGTTTTTTAACATGTACGAAATAGCCATCCAACATGCCTTGGGCTACTCGCTGGGACAACTATTTGCATGTGTTGGATCCCTCTATTCATTGGTTCTCACTTGTCAATTCCATTGTCATTGTGTTGTTCCTGACGGGTATGGTCGCTATGATCTTGATCCGTGCTCTCCACAAGGATATTTCTCGTTACAACGCTGTCGATGCTCAAGAGGATGTACAAGAGGATTATGGCTGGAAGTTGGTGCACGGTGATGTATTCCGTCCCCCTCAGCGCCCTATGCTCTTGTCTGTGTTGGTAGGCAGTGGTGCGCAAATTGTTGCCATGACAGGCCTGACCTTGGTCTTTGCTGCTCTCGGCTTCTTGTCGCCCTCCAACCGCGGTGCTTTGGGTACTGTTATGATTATCTTTTTCATGGTGTTCAGTTGTATTTCAGGCTTTGTGTCTGCTCGCATTTACAAGATGAACGGAGGTGAGAACTGGAAGGCCAATATCGGTCTGACCGCTAGTCTTGTGCCTGGTGCCATCATGAGTTCCTTGTTCGCCATGAACTTTTTCTTGATCCACTCTCAATCATCGGGTGCTGTTCCTTTCGGCACCATGTTCACCTTGTTGGGTCTTTGGGCTCTGATTGCTTTCCCCTTGAGTGTTGCTGGCTCCTACTTTGGTTTCCGCCAACCTCGTATTGAACATCCTGTTCGCACAAACCAAATCCCTCGACAAATCCCTGATCAGCCCATGTACCTTCGCAGCTTACCTTCCATCATGATGGGCGGCATCTTGCCCTTTGGTGCCATCTTTATCGAATTGTATTTTATCATGAACTCCATTTGGTTCCATCGAGTGTACTATGGCATTGGCTTCTTGTTCTTGGTGTTCATTGTCCTCATCTTGACCTGTTCTCAAGTCACCATCTTGATGTGCTATTTCCATCTCTGTAGCGAAGATTATCACTGGTCATGGCGTTCATTCTTGACTTCTGGTGCAGCTGGTTTCTACGTCTTCTTGTACTCCATCCTGTACTACTTTACAAAGCTCAACATCAACTCTTTCACTAGCACAGTTCTTTACCTTGGATATTCATCTGTCATTAGTATCTTGCTAACTGTGTTCACTGGTGCTGTTGGATACCTCTCTTGCTTGTACTTTTTACAAAAGATTTTTGCTAGTATCAAGGTAGATTAATCTAGATATACTGCATGTCATAGTTGGATGATATAAAGACATATTTGAATTTTTCTCTAATAATGGGCTGCTTATGTACATTTATCAATTTGACAAAGTGTTGTGAGATACAAAGGACTTCAAACGACACAACTTTGCATCTTTGCAGGATGTTTATTTTGGATTTTCTGTGCAGCAATGGCATTCATGTAGGTATATGCTTCAGAAGTGACTAATCCCTCACACAACTCCTTGAGGAACTTCTCCTGCACATCCTCTGTCTGCAAGCCGATCTTTGGACCGAGCACAGGCAACATGCTCTTGATACCCTCTCTCCAATCCCACAAAAACTTCTTTGCAGCGCTTGTATTGGAGGCTATTTTGCAAGTAGAATGTTAGATCCATATAGCTTCAATGGCTAACTACATGCTTAACAGCTACTCACTCATGTCAATGGATCTGTAATCTGTTTGAATCACCTTTGCATTCTCGTTTGCAGATACCAATTTCTCCAACTGAAGTGCAATACGAGGATTTTGACCTCTAGCTTTGCAAGCCATGTGAACTAGAAAAATCAATGAGCTATTGCATTCGAGACAGAAACAGTGTGAGTGTGTGTGTGCGTGTGAACTTACTTCCATTCAATGCTTTCTCGATAGCAGCATTGCCACCACCTGTCATCTACATAGAGTTCATTGAGTTACAATGCACATTGCAGTACTATCTATATATACAACCAACCTTCAAATCAAATTCCAATAGCTGGATCACGCCTCCAGGCTTTGTTACTCTCAAGATCTCCTCAATAGCAATAGGCCATTCAGATTGGCGCAAGGCCAAGATGAACAATCGCATGTGTACGAAATCAAATGTGTTATCAGGATAATTAAGCTTTTCAATGACATTGCTGTAGCTCCAGTGGAACTGACTAGGTGTAACGTTACTGTTGGTAATTTGAACCATGTCACATCCTTCGTATGTGCAATTAGGGTAATCTATAATCATGTCCTAAAGGCGTGTCAGCGTCTGCCCATGAAGAGAGCCAACTAGATGTATCACAAAATATACCATGATCCAAGACCCAGCCCCGCATCCAATATCCAGAACAGAGACGCCCTTCTCGAAATCAAGGGTCTCCTTCACACTGGTCAGAATATTTCTATAGACACCTGTTGGTTTGAAAAATCTTTAAATCTGACATGTAAACAATTACCCCTCATAGAGCTCCTTAATAGCGAAATGTTGCTATACCATTACACATGTGAATATTAATAACAAGCATGCCTTTCCCTTGATCAACTTACACCTGTCAGTCTGTGTTGCTCTTCTTCATCTTTTGGCAACCAATATGTGGATGTTTGATTAGTATGAAAATCTCTCTTTGATTGCAAAGAACTGACATGTTCTTCGGTCAAGATGTCAGTCGTGGCAGAAGTAACAGCAGCATCGACGGCAGCAGAATCTGTCATTTTTGGCTTAGGTTTTTCAGACATCTTGTGCGTTGAAGATAGTTTTGCGAAAGCTTGGCCCATTTTTTTTTTATAAACGAGTAGAGAGCTCTATTTATACCCAAAAAAAAAAAAAAAAAAAAAAAAAAAAAAAAAAAAAAAAACTCAAATCATAATGCGATTGCTCTGGTCTTATTCGAGCGGTACACAATAGAGAGACAAGGTACAACCCGATACGGTCGTACACTCATTAATGTTTAAGGTTCTTCTTTTTAAGCAATTTATTGAGTGGAAAGAGGGTATTTTCACTATATATATATATATATATATATATGTACGTATATGTATTAGTAAAGCGACATTCGTGAGTGTTGGATGGGTTATATAGAATTTTGGTAAGAGGATGTTTGTTCATTTGTATGTTACAAGCCAGTGTATAGATGTGTGTATATGTAAGAGATTATATGTATATGTGTAAGAGATCAATGGCAGAACCATTTACCCTTTGCTGGATAGTGGTATTGCAATGCAGTTTGTGTAATCATGGTTAGTCTTGATTGCTGAGATGAGAGAAGGATGCCGAAGTAGAAGATGCAGTTGATGCTCCTCCACCTCCGCCATTATGAGTTAGCTGATGTCTTTGCATTATGTGGTGGTTGACCCGGGAGATGTTCTCCTCCACAAGATACAAGATGTAGTCATCGAGAAATAAGCGCAATGTGTGGAAAGAAGCAAAGCTGGGCGCCTGCTGGTTAGCCAAGTCCTTCATGACCAAAGCGGTGTAGAAGTTCCACTTCAACAGGAATTGCTTGCACTTTGACAAATAGAGATTGGCCTCATTGAGCGAAGACTATGTATGACAACAGAAAAGAGTCAACGATAGACATGACACAAGTCGGCATTAGAGTCGTACTTACAGGCTCAGAGTTGTTGACATACTTGTCAATGAGCGTTCCTAACCAGAACATCCAATGTTCAATACTTGGCTTGTTGTTTAACAATTGATAGATTTCTGTGCGTACTAGCATCGCCCATGTGAGTCTATAGCTTCTCCAAACCCCTTCTCAAAAAGCTACTTACAAATGTGTCTGATTTGCTGTGTGTCGCAATCGCAAACCCACAATGTCTGATCCAAGATGCCGTCGACATCAAAGTTATTCCAATCATGGCACATGGCATTGACAAGATGCTGATGGTTCAATATATTGGCTGCATTCTGAGCTGCAAAATTCAGTGTGAGTTGTCTACGAAACTTTGCTGAAAAGATACGAGCGACTAGGAGATGGTAAAGATATCAGACAGTGATATATAGGTATATATATATACAGACACGTAATAAATCATTCTTACCATCGGCCTTTTTCTGTACAAGCGTGGTAGGATAATGTATCAAGGAGGATTCAACGTAATCTCTGATCTCGCGCGTATAGAGCCTCAACGCATTGACTGTTTCCTGGGAAAGGGCATGATGGATAGTGGGCAGGAATCTTGAAATGAGGGTATCGTACAGGATGCAATCCCATCGCCAGATGCTGTCCGTGATTTCAGGTACCATCTGGATCAAGTAAATGAAACGCTCTGGCATCTCTCTATAGAAAGCCAGCATGACATGTTGAATAGACTCTACTTGATTTGAGCAAACTAGGTTGAATATGTTTTTGCAATGTTGTTCATAGGCATTCGTGAAGTCTACTATAAGCCCGTTGGTGATCTGATCGTTGTATCTGTAGGGTGGCAAAAGAGGCAACGAAAAGATGGGCAGCTGATTGTAATCACCCGTGATACCGCTGGTAGTCGAGGAGGGTAGAGTAGGAGCTGTTGGAGTGGATGGAGCAGCAGATGAACTAGCGTCCGTGGAAGAGACAGTAGTTACTGTAGCAATGCTGCCTGATGTGAGACTTCTTCGGTGCGAGTTGCGTCTTTTGTTGCTGCCAGAGACTGCCGCATGCTCCTGCATCAATTCAACAATGGGAATAGGCTCTGGATCTTGGCTTGTTCTGACCCTGATACCACAGTAATGATACTTGGATTGACCTCTTGTGCCTAGTCTTCTTGTCTTCAAATCAGGAAACACATTTCGTAAGAGTTTGCCAAAAGTAGCAGAATTGACAGGTGTCAAATGATTAGCAGCGCAGCTGGATTGATAATGCTCATACATGTTCTTTCTGGGCACATTGTGGTTCTTTTCTCTAATGTAGTTTGCTTGAATCCTGATGCACCCGAAAAAAAAAAGAATTTATCAGCTGCTGCCTCTCCAAATGTGTGTATGTGATCAAATCAGACATTACCAGCTTGTCACTTGTAAACTGGCTTCTCTATCCGCAATGACATTCGGGTCAACGGATTCGGGTTCACTGCTTGCCAGGCTGACAATGTACGATGGATCCTTCTCTGCTGATGACTGCACTGGTCCATCGTCTACTATAGAAAGTTGCAAGCATTATTATCCATGCATTTCTGTCTCTGAGATGTGGAGCCTCACCTTGGATATTCTCATTTTGTTCAGTCATGTTCAAGTTGGGGCCTGTTGTTGAAGCTGAATCTACAACAGCCATTCACACACACAGAAAAAAAAAAAAATAGAAAGAATAGAGATGTAAAAAGGTAAAAAGGTGATAATGTAAAAGGCAGTGGAATAAAAGTGTAACAGCAATTAAATATTTTATTTCGGAGTGCTCTGGATTTACAAGGAAAAAAAATGCTTGCAATTAATCAACAGTTACGCGTGAATCTACATAGGGGAACAGTTGAAAGAAGGCCTACATTGAAAGCGCATAAGTCAGTCAGTCAAGTTTAGCTACAGCGGTCTACGTACCTTTAGCAAATCAGTGCCATTCTTGACATCATCGACGCCTCCAATTTCTCGAATAGAATGCATGGACAATTGAGGGTTACCAACATCTGCAGAAAAGCTGTGTTTTAGGAGCATATCACTATCATGCACGTATGTATACTAGTTACCAATGGTGCGAAGACCAAGTTTAGCACTCAACATGGGCCCAATCGTAGATCCGCAAGATGAATCATTGCGCACAACAAATTCCTATCATTCGCATGTTAACTCTTGGTATCCATCTAACTGAATGGGTCATATCTCGGTACCTGAATAGGAATCTCCTTTTGGCGGGCAATTTCCTTCAAAATCAAGCTAGTAGGGGCTGTGGTAGCATAGCGCTGATGTGCAATGATCATTGCTTAGTCTTTATGAATGCAACACAACCGTACACACCGCCACTTACCTGATTGGCATTGATCTTAATAACAGTACCTTGATGCATCTGAGGTCGATGATTCTCCTCGTACTTTTCAGTGTAGTTGGGGTGCACAGCATGAGCCATATCCGCACTGACCAGCATACTCTTATGTATCGCTTGTTCAAATGCAACCTTGGGGTTCTTTGGTGGTGATTTACTGCCAATAGACGAAGACAGGATTCTCTCCATGGTGCTAGGCAAAAGGTTAGAGTTGGCGCCGTGAGCGGATGTGCTGCCAATTTCCTCGTTGTCAAACAATGAAATGAGACGAATGTTGGTTTCATCAGAGAGATCTTCCTTGCTGGATGCAATCAATGCTTCAAGTGAGCAGTAAGACATGCCCAGATTATCCAATCGAGCTGAAAAGATGAATTCATCATAGGCGCCACCCAGTGTAGCAGGCTGTGTATCAAACAAGCACAATTCAAAATCGCAGATTTGTCGAGCTATACACAACACAGCTGTTTGAGCATCTTGCTGAATTATGCCTTACTACCATGACTTACCATCCACTTTCATCGTCTCTGCCAGCATGTGGATCAAGGCGGGATGATGGTTTTTGGTTTGATCCGGACCCCATGATTTCTCTTCTTTGACAGCATTTAATGTCCTATCAACACAGTTAGCATTCTGGATGAGTTTGTCATCGTGTTCACTTACGCTTTAGCAGCAGTAGCCAATACAGGCAACATGTGTGTTTCCTTGTTGAACTTGAATGCTTCATTTGCAGATCCATCAAGATGAATAGCTAGTGTGGGTACACGCAAAATAGGCCTACCGTGCAGCTAGTTAGATGCCACATTATGCATGAATACAGTCCTCACTTACTTTTTAATGTGAACAAGCGTATGTTTGTATGATCCGTCTTCTTGTTGTACCATCACACGGCCAGCAATGCCGAGGTCACGATCAAACCAAGTATGCCTAAACCCGTGTCAATACACTGTGCAGTTTGCCTTGATAGACACCTACCATATGCCACCGCCGTACAGCTGAATTCCAACTTCGAGATAGCCCACTTGTTCCTTCTTGGAGACAGGCTTCACTTTTAAGCAGGGAGAATCTGTGTGAGCACCTACAATAGAGAACCCGCCCTTTCCGTGCTGATAGCTATCGCCAATGACAAATGCCACAATGGATGACCCGTTGCGAGTAAAGTAGTATTTTCCCTTTCTTTTGAGATTCCATTCATCCTTCTCACTGATACGCTCAAATCCTGCTCTTTCCAAGCGATGAGAAGCTTCGTAGACAACATGAAAGGGCGATGGTGATGCGTTGACAAAATCGATGAAATCCAGTGCCTGGCTTTTATGGTCAAGATGGTGATGCTTGTTGGTGGTATTAGTTGAATACTCCATGGATGTGTGCTTTTCGGGTGAAGCAACAAAAGACGTAGCAATGAGTGTGTTGGAGGACGTTGTTGACATACCAGTGGATCTTCGTTTCAAGGACTGGCTGATTGTTTTAAACAGATTTCCACAACCTACCATAGTAATGAAAAGGAAGACGAGAAGAAAAGATAAAGAAAGGGGTGTGAAACAAAATGACACTATTTGTATTCCCCAATGTGATGTGCATTTAATTGCCAGCACAGCTGATTTGAACGCAAGGCATTATCGAGTGCACCACTGAGAGAGAGAGAGAGAGGGCTGGAGACTGATTAAGCTCAGGCATTGGTTCCTGATGTCTGTCATTTGGATACAAACGCCAGCAGTGAAGCATGGCCCTCAATTTCAGAATAGTCCCCCCTGGAGTGGAGCTCTTTTTCTGATAGTCTCATGTATGATGCGATACTGGGGATCGAGAGTGGCCACGTTGAAACTGCCTGATTAACGCTCGTCATGTGTGTTCAAGCAAATAGAATGCGTTTCATGTCGACTCGCTAAGCATGCGCAACTGGGACAATCTGTTTGATGACAGTGCACTTTTGTAGAGATTTTTTTTTTTTTGCCAATTGTGATTTCTTTTTGCGTTTAGAATCCGATAAAAAAAAAGCCTTCTGCGCCTCTTTCCAGGCTATGCAACCTTTTTCTCTTGCAATTATATAAGCCTGTATGTCAAATCATTTGGATAAGCCTGTACACAAAGTGTTGGAAGGCTATGATCTTTTAGAGGTAAGCTCTATATCCAGCCCGTTGATCTAAAATGCCCACATTGTTTCTTAGGTCAATGCCATTCAAAATCGAAACACATTAAACATGTCAGCTGGCATGCTCTGGGTAAGCAAACACTCGCAGGATTCTGAAATACCATGGTCCAGCTAAGCACAACGTAGCGTATGAATCTATGTGCCGTCAGTGATGAGATACCATGTACATTTTTCGTTGGTAGGTTGCATTATTAACCCATATACATCCATAGTCCACTGATTCGAAATGACATAGCCATGAACTACAGAATCCACGTCTATACACTCGACACAATCAATTCGCCCTTCAAGGACCCTGTCAAGACATTGACCAGCGACAGTGCAGCAAGAACAGGCGGTGGAACAGAATCGGTAAAAAAAAAAAAAAAAAAAAAAAAAAAAAAAAAAAAAAAGTGGGCAGACAAGCTACATTAGCAAACCCTTCTAACCTGATTATACTAGCCATTTATCATCAATGCAATCAAAGTCGGAAGGATGCTGGAAAAGGAGGTTCTTGTCTCCGTTTCCGAAATGGGAGAGATATGTATATGGAAAACCGAGAATTTGGATGAACCACCACTTATACTCAAGTACATGCTGAACTTTGCGAACGGACTGTAGACAGACACTAACAGAGGCAAATAGTAATAATGGCATTGCAACTTGGGGGATCGCTATTCATGGAGATCAGGGACTACTGGCTGTATCTGCCAACAACTTCAAGATTGCTGTATTCAACATTGCTGAGATGACAGCCAGATTCGGCAAGAGATTCAGCAAAGAACCCAACTACCTGGGCACAACTGAAAAAATCGAGCTAGAGGGCCATGAACACAACATTCCCAACATTGATTTCAATGAGACAGGAAGATACATTGTCAGCGTATCTGTGGACACTACATGCAGAATCTGGGACCTCTCGACCCGACGCATGGTCACTCATAAGCGATCTTCAAGCCGACAGCTCCCTCACGATGCTTGGTGTTGGTCAGCCAAATTCATCAAGCCAGGAAGCTTCAAGCATGTGGTCTGCAACGACGAAGAAATCAGCAAACTATACCAGCAGCGAGTATATCAGGGCAGATCCACTTGCTTGGCCAGTTTAGGCTTGTGTCATTCAGCTACCAATCCAGCGTTTCCTATCAACGTATCCAGAGTGTTTGATTTGGAGGAAGAAGACGTTGACTTTGAGATTTACGAAGGAGAAGGTGAAGGTGAAATAGACGATGATACGTGGGACAATCGTTTGGTGGAAGAGGAGGACAATTACATGGAAGAAGTATATGAAAGACAGCGCATGCAAGATGAGCTCGAGTATAACTTGGGAGACCAAGATCAGGACCCAGACGAAACATCAGAGATAATACACCCTGCATCCCAGCAAGGCAATAATGACAACGGGGATGAATATGGGACGGATGAGGATGGCGAGGACTATCATGATGACGACGGTGGAGGTGAACCAGCACAGTGGATGCTCTCATTGATATCTGCCGCAGTAGAACGCCCAAGAACCCAAGCAGAATGGGCAGCTACCATCAGAAGCTCATCAGATGCCAATGCTGATGGATGGGGCGATCCATTGCCTGCTGTTGCTGGACAAGACAGCGCTTCTATTACAGATGAAAATAACGGTTGGGAAACTACAACAGACTCTAATGGGACAACACAGATGGAAGAAGATCTTGAACCTGAAGCAACACCCAGTGGTACCAGCAGTCCCTCTTACTGTATACCGAATATCATTAGAACCACAAGCAGCAGCAGTATCCCGCAACTTACACAAACAGCAACAACAACAGAGACGCCCATGCCGCCGCCCAAGGATAAACATTTGGGAGAGTACGTCATGATTACCACTGGCAAAGATGTGATGCTTGCAAGCACTACCTTACCACGCATGAACAAAATACGAGCAGAGCACGATCTAATCAACAAGGTAGATATCAGATCAGATCAACTTCTCAGCGTCTTGGATCGTATCAATATGGTGGAGTGGCTGCCAGAATTGGAGTTATTTGTTGTTGCTAGTCAAAAGGGTACTGTGGCATTGATGAGGTTACTGCAAGTGGAGTTTGAGAATGGTCATCAAGCATGTTTGTTCAATAATGAACACTATCTACCGGTCAATGTGCTTCAATCCACACCACTTTACGGTAAGTTTCTACAAGCAATTGAAACACATCCAGACATTGATAAGGCTTATTTTTTAGGTTTGACGGTGAAAAAAGTGGAGTCAGAGAGATACGCTCCTGTATCCTACCAGATATTCCTATTTTACTACAGTGGAAACGTGCTGGCTTACACAGTCTCTCGTAAAGATGACACTTCCGTAGTGAATAGTTTATTCTTTTAATAAAAACATTGAAACTGTAATCTTGTCATTTCTATGCTGTAGAATATAAAGGCTATTGATACCTATCTATCACAACATGTAGTCTATTCAGACTATACATTTTTTCCTTGGCGTAACTTAACTGCTACATTGCTCCATGCCAAAATCCCTCTCGTCATAATGAATACAAATGCCAGTAGCAGACACCTTGATGGAGCACTGGATGCGTATGGTGAATTTTAATGAGCCCAGTGATATATGATTACTTTTTTAGTCGCTCATAATATACTGTTGGTATTCTTCTGTTAGTATTAGCAGATGCTTGCCTTCTCATTTTATCAGAGCCAATGTTCAGTCCACTGTAAAATATTATGTATATTCGAGCTGAATGCAGTGGTTAGAACAATACATGTTTAATTTCAAGTTGAGATTACTTTGATTGCAGGATTCAAATGTTTGTTATCAGATGCTAGTTACTATTAGAAGTGAAAATTTATACCAATTAGGCGTCCGTTTCCTGTTCTACTCATCAAACCAAGTCGATGCTGTGTATTCACTTCAATTTCGTAAAAATGCAGTTTAAATTCGTAAAAAAAATTGAGAAAGAATGGTTGATATTGAAACGCAAGACAGACAAATACAGAGAAGATTGATTTAATATAAAAGAGGAGATAAATTTAATAACCTTTAAACAATGGCAAAGTAATGATTAGGTACTTGAATACCTCGCTACACGCCCTTTGAAGAAACGTGGGATCGATCCAATGGACCCGTAATCTTAGGAGTGCTCAGCTACTTGAGGACAAACAAACTATAAATTTACAGGCCCTCAGAAAGAGACGTCAGGAAAACAATCATACACAAATAACAAGGACATAGTGATAACATAGAAGCCCTTTGAGTTATATGGCAGCCTGCCTTTAACGCATGTTTGGCGAGGCATTTCTTACAGAAATGATCTAGTAGTAGTACTTTGTGTACTACTCTACCTATCAGCATACATATAACTCTCCCCACATAATAAAATTAGAAGACGTCTCTTACATGAAACTGTTTACTCGATGCTAGATCAAGATGACTGCACCTTATTTTACTATTATTGAATAAGGAAGAACTTAAATTGTAACTATTTGAAAACCCTTTTATTACAGAATGAATGACAGATCAGTAATAGGAATTCAACGAGTTGTAACCCTTCGCTGCTTTAACCTCTTAGCCAATCAGATTGCTTGAAAACTCCGCTGACCTAAAAAAAATTTGCGAGGGTTTCCCCCTGTTTTGATGTGAGGCAAAATTTTAAGCGCCGATATAATAACAATATAGCCGCTGCTATCATCAAATTTCCCTCAGGTGCTAGAGCATGCCTTACTTACACCACCTAGCTTTAGATTCTGGCGTTGAGACCCTCAATCATCACTAAAGTAAGTAGTGATAACCAAGTGGAGGCGGCCTATCTACCTCCTAGCCTCGGATAAAGTCTTGTTGAGCTTCAGGGATAGGCACATCCACACAACGTAAAAAAGGTATGCTTCAAAGAAACATAGTAATAATAAAGGAAAGAAGAAAAGAACATACTACTATAGGAGTCTAGTAGTACGTAGGCAAAAAAGGGATACTCACACAAAGTGAGTCAAAGAAAAGTATAACAAATACAACATCAGAGATGTTCAGAACAGCTCGTTGTTGTCGCAACAAAAATACATACATGAGCAACATGCATAGGAATAATAGTCGCATGTAAAGCAACACAAACACGCACAACTGCAAAAGCAACAGTGGTATTATAACTTTGCAATAGAACATAATGACTACTAATGTTGTTTTATATGAAGCCGCAGAGGCAACACAATCAACAAAAGAAAAAGAAAAACGCGACAAAACAAACATGATAAAATGCATTATCACGAGAAAGGAAGCAGTAATACAAACGTTCAAAGAGGTTTTATATCATTACGACCAGAAGAAAAAAAAAGTTACTTACCACTTACCACAGCCACGGAGAGACCAGAAGAGTATAGGGAATCGCCAGAGATAGACCAGAGAACAAGCATGCAACAAAGACGGTAGACCAGGAAAGACCATATTAGCAGCAGCAACACCAGCAGCAACGCCAGCAATAAAAACATCATTAATAACACCAGCAGCAATATCATCAGTAGCCCCAGTAGCAACACCAGTAGCAACAACACCACCAACTCAGAAAAACCAAAGAACGAGCGACACCAGAGACTAGACAAAGATTAAAGAAGCAACCGCTAGAGATAAAGACCAAAGAAGCAGACAGCAGAGATAGCAGAGAAGTAATGGCAGCAGCACCCACGACACAGGCAAAAAAAAATTATCGAAACCTAATAAACAAATTCGATTAGTGCTGATTCTACGTCTTCCAGTGCTCGTTTATCGAATAATACCTACTATATTCCACGTTAAAGAAGCAGTATTAAGCTCTTTTAGCAATACAAGGCAGTGTTATCAGAAGTTGGAGTGTTATTATCATTCGAACGGTTTCTAAAACCAACATGGTTTGATACTAAACGCGTTTTGCAAAAGGAAAAAAAAACGGGGATATGGAAAAATGAGAGGGCGCCCTATCCGACGTCACGGCTAGTAAATTTGGCCTCAGTCTTCTGCCACAGCAGCTGTATTTACGGCACTCAAATTTGGATTTGTGCAGTTGTCATTTTTGTGTTCAAATTTGACTTGATCTGACATCCTTTAAACGTTTTTGCTAAATTTGACTATGAAATTGGCATTGTTATACTTTACTTTCTAATGCATCTATAAAGTGTCAATGAAGGCGCATCGAATGATGCTGGCTCCATTCAGCTTCCACACCAACAATAATGAGCAATTTACAAAAATATGAAAACAGGTTTTCTGTGGATATGTCAGAATTTAGCACATACAAGCCTCATAGAAAGAGTTTCCAGCGATGTATTCCATCTTTACGATCAATTTGATCTGATATGTATCATAAGAAAAGTCTTTATTTTTGAGGTGAAAAACGCGATCGTTTGATTTTCAAGAATTTTCCCTCGCTAATACTCATGAAAAAATGATGATTTTGATGAATTTGCAATGATCCAAAAAAAATTGAGATAAAGCATCAGTAAGTAAGGCATATCAAAGGAGAGCCGTTTGGTACTATTCCAGACGCTCAAAACGTTTTGTGGCATGAGTTATTCGTGCTTGAAAATGGCTAGATTTGAACAGAATTCGACCTAAAACGAAGATGTAATGAGTTGCATTGCCAGAAGAGTAAGTCAATTACACTTCTGTCTGATGATTCAGATGTTCTGCATTGTACAGAATTCAACTTTCAAGTAATAGTCACTTTTATTCGAGTTCCATGGCTCAGATCTTGCTTATTTTTAAAGGTTTTTATTACTTGCTCCGCGTAGACAATAGTAGCAGGACTATAATCCAGCGGCGGGCGCAATTTTCTGTGATAATACTATATACGTTTAGATAAAGTATGAGAACGGTTTAAAAGAGGGACTATTATAGGCTGGCATGAATGAGAGCTTCGTCGATCATCTTTTGAATAATAATGTCGAGTCGGATACTATTCAGCAGAGCAGCGGGAGCGAAGGAAGTTTGATCGAAGATAAGACGATAGTGAGCCTTCCAAAAGTTAGACATTGCAATGATGACTGTATGGTGGGAGGAAGCACGAGGCCGCTGACTATATCGAATATTGTAAAAGTCGAGAGTGAGGAGGGAATGGCGGATATCATCAATAGTTACCGTGGGCCAGAGGAACTCAGAGATAATACCCTGCCAGACCGCTGCCTTGGGTGGGCATTCAAAAAGGAAGTGGTCAGTGGCATCTTCAACTGAGGAACAGACAAAGCACAAGGGGGGACAAGTAAACAGCGGGGAACCTCAGATTCAATAGGGACTGGTGGGGAATGCAATTTTTGATGAATTGATATACGACATTTCTTTGGATCATGGTCAGGGGCAAAGACCAGAAAAACGACCATTGGGGAGATGCTATGGCAACCAATCGTTGAGGAACGACGGAAACAGAGGAGCATGCCTGCCGAAACGATTTGGATCTACAGCCAGTGGAAGTCACTGCAAGGTTGTTGTCAGTTGTGAGGTGATCAACAAATGGTTGCAATGAAGGACTGGATGATGGAGAGACAGCGGAAGAAGGGACACACAGAGGGAGAAAGGAGGGTTGCAACTTGAATGTGCCTTTTGCAATGCCTTGAATCAGTTGTCGAGGTGCGCGCTGCCATACGGCAAGTGTGGGGACGTAGGAACGTTTCCAATGGAGAAATTGCTCAGTTGTATGCACAGCAAAGACGTCGGCGACAATCATTGAGTGTGTTAAGCACAAAGAATAAAAGGATTATTATTTGTAGCTTATAAAAAATGTTCGATATTATAAAAACAAGAAAAGACTTATTTGAATAAGATCAGACACAAAAAAACTAAAGATTTATTGATGAAGACAAGAGTTATTCTATTTATACTAAGTTCTGAATGCCAAAGTAGCAATTTATCTTGTACAACGCTTATCACATCTGGTGAACCTCAGTATTTAGATAGCTGAGATGCACTTCACTTATCATAGCTTGTCCATGTTGTTGCACAACACAGACATATCTACCCATCAAGAATACCTTAATCTTTATAGACAGTTGTAGCCCTTCTGGCACAACAGAGTGGATTTTGCGAGGCATTTTGACACCAAGCAGTGAGTCGGAATATATGACGATGGATAGAGGTAGCATGAGAGCAGTGGGCAAGTTGATCAGGACGTCTTCAAAGTTCCTGGGTAACATATCGATGGATTTATACATCATGTCAATGGTGTTCGCCCGTCGTATTGTTGAGAGCCGTCGTCGTGCAACTAGAAAGAGCAGCGGTAGTTGATGATGAGAGGAACAGTTGTGATTGTTGATATGATATATGAATATGGCCGGTAGTGGATTATTAGTGGAAGACGAGGAATCCAGTTATAGTAAGGGAGATACCCAACAAAAGTACAATGCAGCATACTGGAGATTGACGTCGAGTATGCCGAGACCACCTTGGGAGCGGAGGAAAATCCATATTCGCCAGGGAATGATAGGAAAAATGTCTTGTTTAAGAAATTGGATGGCAACAGAAGTGATTTGTTGAAGGTTCTTTTGTGTCAGCGGCATGGTGCGAAGGATGTACCAGCGTTTGGACAGCAGTAGGGTATTGACAATTGTGGCTTTCCCAAGAATTGATACGGATCTACAGGAATGGGGTTATAGAATGTTCCTGAGCTTAACAATAAGGGCAGCCATGAAGTTGTTGATGAATTCGTAATAATAAGTCGATGATAATAATCAGTTGTCAACTGTATCTAAAACGAAAGCAAAGAGCTTCTTTATTACAGGGCATCTAGCTTGCTTAAATATGGTAGATCCCTGGTCAATGACTACTACGTTGAGATGGTATATAAATAGCAGGCCACTGGGGCCTTATGGATTGTTGGTATAGCTTGTTGAGAGGCCACCTAAGTCGGTATGTTTCATGTAGTGTAGGTGGATCTCGATATTTTGACATTGGGGAGATTGAATGTATTGTAGTTCCTGAGGCACCTGTGCACACACAATTGACTGGACTTGTAAACATAGATGTGATGTGATACGATAAACATCATCTATGCTGCTACACTGTAAAAGGTGGCTTGAGGAGAAAGTGAATGTAGCCTAAGATGCATGCTTGTATGCAACATTACCCCCACCCAGCTTTCGACCAGCCACAAACTAGGATATCATACGAGCCGAATGCAATAATCGAGGATACAACACAGAACGAAGAGACAGAACCAAGAAACAAGAAGGCGATACAAACAGGTAGACAGGCAAAGCGATGGAAACCAATATGAAATAAAAAAACCGAGATGGTGCCAAAAAAAACAACATACATGGGGTATACGAGGAGAGGTTATCAGAAGATGATAGCAGCAAAGGGAATAGCAGATCGAAGAAAAACCTTGTAAAAAAAAAAACCATATTCAGGCCAAAAAAAACAAATCAAGGACAAAAAGATCACGGCTATTGCTGAATGTTGTGGTTACGAGAGTTTGGAATCGACGGATAACGCAATGTGACGGACGGTCCTGCATGCTTACGACGACTATAAATCTTGCGCTTATTGACAGTGTTGGGAAGGAGTCGATTGGGATTCTTGTGATCCGGTGCAATGCGATCCCAGTAGTCGCGAATAGGTCGTTTGGAATCAAAATCGCTTTCATATTGCCAGGTATTGTCCTTCGAGGACGGATAACCTACCCAATTGACAAGAAACTTCATTCGACCAGTCTTTCTTTCAACGCGATGATTGATGATGGCTTGCACTTCATAGTGGCGAGGAAGTAAGCCTTTTGTAACATGATTGTCCGAGAAATCGACAACGCGAATGTGCTGGGTAGGCACATCACGGGGCAGCAATTCACCAGTAATGTCGGCTAACGTATAACTACCATTGCGAGTATAGTTCTTGATGAAATATGGACCGAGCCATCTGGGGTGAAGTTTAGTTGATCTGACAGGGTCGAAGAGCATGACCTTTGAATTGATGGGATACTTCTCTTCAATGATCTTGTGATGCTTTTCGAAGCGCTCATGGTCGCGCAATTGTGTTTCTTTGATACGCTTATGGATGGCAGGGATTACCACATCCTTAATGTTCTGTAAGCGGGCATCAATGACTTCCTTGGTAGGATCCTCGGGTGTCTGGTCAGCATTAGGCAATTGAGTGTAATCCTGGAAGAGATTTGGGGCACGCCCAAACATGATAGCAAACGGCTGCGATTGATGCAATCTAGCGTATTGAATGTTCATGGCATACTGAATGACATCGAGATACTCATCCCATGCCTCAGGTTCTGCAGCATCGTGTGTCAATGATTTAATGATAGATCGTTTTGAAATGCCCACATACGCTTCGACAACACCATTAGCTTGTGCAGCGTACGGCAACGAAGTCAAGCGATCCATGCCACTAATCTGACTGAACTCTCTCATAAATGCTCCAACAAATTCAGAGCCATTGTCACTAGTGAGTCGCTTGGGAAATCCAAATAGACAACATACACTAAGCAATGCTCTTGCAACAGTGATTGGACTCTTATCAGGAAGAGCTCGTAGAATGGTGAATCGACTGAAATAATCGACAATGACTAGCAGGAAGTTATTGCCCGAGGTGGAAGTCGTAGCGAAATCACCTAAATCGATAGCTATATGATCGAACACATTGTCTGGCAACACGCTACGAGGAGGATGATATCCCACTTGGTAGATACCATGCGATTGACAAGCATGACAATCCTTGGTTACTGTGGCGATGTCATTGCGCATGTTGGTCCAATGTACCTTGTAATCATTGTGCAAAATCTTTTCCATTGAATTGATGCCCACATGACCGAGTAAATGCACTCGCATAACAAGCTCTAGACGATCCTTCTTCGGAGGAGTCATGTAATCAGCATATTTCATAGCACGTGAAATAAGAGCATTACAATCTGACTGTCCACCAGATGAACCATTGTATGAACTTTTGGCATCAGCAGTCTGTTGATTCTTTAAATCTTGAGCGCTGACAGATGGCATGTTGTAGGTGCTCGCATCAAAAATATCAACATTGCTATCATTCAATTCCTTGGAATAATAGTGTGGATCCAATTCGGTTGGCATCCCAAAGGAAAGCTGCTGCAATTGCTTTTGATTGTTGAACTGCTTCTTGCGTTTGAACTGCGTACGATTGGAGTGATTGGGCTTAGCAAGAGAAAATTGAGTGACTTGGGACTCTTTGGCGTTGGTGAAGCCATGTTTGTTCTTTCGCGTAGGTTTACGCTTTTTTTCAGGTAGCATAATACTTTGATTGTTATAACGATTACCCCCACCCAGGTTATTGCCACCCTCGTCATCGTCAGAGGTGAATAACCGACTGAGTGCATCAGGTAACAGGTTACGCGTACCAGGGATATGAACCAGCTCATACTTGTAATCAAAGAACAGTTTTTCATACCACGTCAACAGCATCATGTTGGGCGTACTTTGCGTTTGAAGCCAGATTAAAGAGCGATGATCTGTGTGCAAGACAAACTCAATACCGAAAAGCCATTTGTGGTATTTGGTAAGCATGTAGACAATGGCAAGCAACTCACGTTTGGTGGTAGAATAGGCCATTTCAGAAGGGGAAAGCTTACGACTCGCCATGACAACGTAATGAACCACGCCATCCTTGATGTAGTAGATGATACCACCGATAGCAGTAGCTGAGGCATCAGTAGCGACGTGCAGCTTGTAACGAAAATCAACTGGGCTGAGAGCGACTGGAGATGACAGAGCATCCTGCAACGATTTGAATGCCTTGGTGTGCGCATCAGTCCACAAACCAGAAAGGGATTTACAATTGCGCAATGCATCGAGAGGTGCTGCCAGTTCGCTGTATCCAGGGATGACATTTCGAAAGTAATTGCAAAACCCCAAGTACTTCATCAGCTGCTTACCAGTGGTAGGTATAGGCCACAGATGAAAATTGGTCAATTTGCGAGCGTCAGGCACAAGGCGGTTCTGAATGATGCTCCAACCCAGCACATGAGTACTGCGCTGAGCAAACACAAACTTGTCCTGGTTAATTTGGAGATTAGCCTTGGTCAGACGACGGATCACCTCAGCGACTAACGCAACGTGCTCATCCAGAGAGTCAGTGTACGTAAGGCACCCTAAATCATCGATATAAAGTGACACCTGATCAAGCATGTCGGTAAACAAATTGGATATCAAGCGCATAGCTAAATTGCCCATGAAATTTACTCCAAAGCAAACCTTCCTGTGGACCCATTGCGTTTGCGTGAATGGATCGGTAAAGGTTAACTTGTGGCGATGACGTGGATCGACCAAGAAACTCGTGAAGAAACTTTTGATGTCGATGGAACTTGTCATGACAGCGCGGCTGTGACGAGCATGGATCTCATCAATGCGAGGCATAATGTACTTGTCAGTGGAGACCAAGATTTGGTTGAGTAGGCGAACGTCAGCAACAATACGTGGCTTGTCAAACGAATATTCACCATTAGAATTCTTTTTGGCAACGACGAGCAACGGAGAATTCCAGCCATTATGACTTGGACTGCGCTCAATGACACCATCTCGTTCCCACTCCATCAACTGCTTAGACACAGCTTCCTTATAGACAACTGGAATAGGATAGGGAGCACGATAGGCAACCTTACCAGGGATTGTCTCGAGTTGGACAATCGCACCAGGCAAGTTACAATGAGTAGTGGCAAGATCAATGGCAGCATTTTCTACCAATAACTGTTCAATAGGTTTG